ACTGAATGAGGATAAGGAAGGAATAATTTTTTTTCCGAGACTCTTCTTATCGGTCGCCAAAAAAGATAAAGGCTCTTTATATTCAAATGACGCAGGAGTTTCTAAGTGAGATGTTTAGCTGGAATAGATTCCAAGAATTTCCCAAAAAAGATCTAATTTTCTAGAAGTCACAGAGAAAGAGAATACAAATAAACATTTGAATTTTCGTCATAAGTCACATTATTAAGCATAAAGAGTGTTCACGCCACAGTTCTAGTTAACCGATGCCTGATGGGGATGGTTCCCTCGTCATTCATTCATTCCCACAAAATAGTATCATTACCGTAAATTCTGCATCTAAAAAGGAGATTTAAATATCTCCCCGCCGGTTAATATTAAAAATAACGAAACAGCAACATTAGTTTTGTTTGTAATAGACACAAATATTACACCAATGTTAATTATTAATTATTACTCCCTCCGTTCCTGATTATAAGAGACACTTGATGCTTATGGCATGTTCTCATATATAAGAGACACTTAAAAGTTGTCTCTATTTTTTTTGTATTGATTTCTTATTTAACCCTATTTATTTTGTCTCCAACTCATACTCTCTCTCCTTCTCACTTTTCTTTCTTTTAATAATTTAATTGTTCTTTCTCATACTCTCTCCTTATTAATTGGGGTATTGTTAGAAAAAACATTATACTTTTTACATATTAATTGTCATCAACTAATTTTAACTGTTTTTTATCAACATAATTTGGTTATTTATCTCTTATAATAAGAAACGAGAGGGAGTAATTGATTGGTTGGCTTAAAGAAGTTAACATTTAAAACCGCTGGCAAAAAAAAAAAAATTTAAAACTAATCGAGTTTGAACAGAAAAGTTTTGGCGAGGTACGCGATCCCTCGTTCCCTCCAGTTTTTCCCGCCAAAAGAAAGGGGGGGGGGGGATATATTTTCGGAGAAGGAGAACTTCTACAGAGAAGAAAAAATCGAAAGGCAAGAGTGAAATGGAGGCGGCCCCAACAGGATGCTACAAGTGTGGCCGACCAGGCCACTGGTCGCGTGATTGCCCCTTTTCTCCTTCAAACCCTGATTCATCTTCCTCTCACAAGCCTACTCCCGCTGGCGATGGAGCCCCTTCCGTTCGCAAGCCGGCCGATAAGCCCAAGAAGCTCCCAAGATCCAGGCCTAAACTCACCCCTGATCTTCTTCTCTCCGATGACGGCCTTGGTTATGTTCTTCGCTATTTCCCTCGCGCTTTCAAGTACCGTGGCCGCGGGAATGAGGTATTCGCTGGATTCCTTTTCTTTTCTGTTTTTCTTTTTTATTTGGTAACCAGATTCTGTAATCACAAAGACTTTGTCATGGTTGTCCTCTTCTGGAGGAGCATTCTTGAATGAACGAAGATTGATCTTTGTTTCAGTGAAGTAGTCATGTTGACATGATTTTTATAGCCATCAAACTCGATGCTCTGAGGTGAGCAGGCATCAACGATGTTTACCTCATTTTTTGACCAATAAATGCGGTTTATAAAAAATCATCAATTAAAAGGAAATTCATAAAGCTGTCTTTGGTGACGGATAGTACATCATTTGGCACAAGTTGTCTTGGAATAAAACATATTTGTAACTTTGATATTTTGAGGTGAGTTGACATCAACCACTTTCCTGACCAATAGATGTGATCCATCAAACGAAAAATCCGAATTGATAAAGAATTTTCTCCTTATAGACTATCCACGCTATGATATTATTGTACTCTCATCTACATTTAAGCTGTTTAAACTTAAAACTGGGCATTTCAATTTCTTTCTTATACGTCTTTTGTGCATGCTGCTTTATTTAGGTTCGTGATCTGGGTAACCTTCTTGAGTTATACTGTGAATGGCACTCTCGCTTGCTCCCCTATTACTCATTCAATCAATTTATTCACAAAGTGGAGCAAGTTGGTACTACGAAGCGTGTTAAGGTACGGCGATACTTCTGCATATTGAAAGTTGATAATCATGTAAATTCTACCTTCACAGCTTCAAAAATTTCGCGAACTATCTACGAGCGTGTATGCCCAAATATGTAGTAGACCTCTTTGCATTATGATCCCCCATGGTCCCATTTCTGTCACTTTTCTACTCACATGATATGCAAACCATCATTTAACGTTTCATGATATTTTGGTTTAGTTTTAACATTTTAAAGTAACAATTTTCTTAAGAAGTCAATTTCGTCCATATTTTCCTACAAGACAATCAAGTTTGCAAAGTGACTCAAATCGAACGAGAGCAAGCAAGGAGAAATTTAGGTTGTATCAGTATAATTTATCGGAATTTGATCCATTCGCTCTCCTCAATTACTAGCACTTACTCTTCTTTTTTGGTCGAAGAACATGTCAATAGACAGACTACAATGCATGTTAAGCATATGATAGTTTTGTCCTTGTTACTGCAATCATAGCAATGTCTGTGTTGTGTGATTGCCTGCATGCATGCTTCTTACTCATGCTTGTTAAAATTCTACGGGTTCTCACGTTGATTACCCACTGCGGAGAAACTAGACTTGCCTCAGGGAATTGAGAGAAAGAGTTGCTAATGGTGGGGATCCAACAAGGCTGCGTGAACACCCAGTTGAGCATGATTTTCCGGCTGATAACGCTGGTATGATGTTCGCTTTACAGTTTGGTATTAAGTTCTCAAGACGCATTAGTTTCATTGTGTTAAATGTTGCTTTCCGGAAACTTGTGATTATAATCTTGCGGAACGAAATCTAACGGTGCATAAGGGTTATAATGCACTTTATCATGTGTTGGTTGCTCAAGCCATTCGACCTCTTGCCCATTGATCGTAAACCCCTCCAAACAAACCCACCCCCCGGGGGGGGGGGAGTGGGGGAGGGGGGAGAAAGAAAAAGGGGAAACGTAGCCATAGAGATGCGCAGTGTTGCAACTTGGTATGACAGATGGCAATATCTTTTCTCTTCCTTCGGAAATATCCATTATTAGCATGAAATGTATCCATTTTCGTCTTATTAACTCATTAGTACGTTTATTTCTTAGATCCTTTTTTTTTTTCTAATTGATATTGGTTTTAATGCTATTTTGTAATTTTGATTAGTTTTATTCCTGTATCTATATTTCAATTATTGACTTGTATAAGTGGAACGAGCTTATTATCTTTGATTTGATCCTGGGTAAGATCCTGTGACAAACTTGCGAGCTTTTATACCCTGCTGGCTTGATGCAATCATTCAATGCATTTCATAGAATCGTTTCTTTGCCGATTGACGAGAGCATCGTTCATTTTGTGTTGTCAAGCATTTATGCCAAATCTCTATATTCTGGTTATATTTGCAGAAACTGGGGAAGCCAGTCATCAAGAGGCAGACGTGTTTCCAGAATCCCAAAATGCTGAGAACACTGAAGAAGATATTCTTAACGAAGTTTTCGAAGAGGCTACTGCAGTAAGTTCAATTTCTTCTAAATCAATTTTCTTCACTGTCGTGCAAAACGATCTATCTATTACTAGGGAAACGTTTGACGGTTTTGCTTTGCGAAGGATACTAGCCATAACCTTCTGCTGCGTATCTTCAGTATGATATGATTGGTTAGAAGCTTTGTGGATGTTTTGATTTTTCAAATGCTTCAAAATCAGGATAGTAACGCTGAATTTTTTTTAACTGATTTTGTTTTATGGGAAAAATGTTTATTCTGGCTAAAAATGATACTATGAATGATGAATGCTTGATTGGGATTTCCATGAAAATATTCAGAGAATGTCCTTATGAATGTTACTCTGAGGCCCGCCGTGTACGAAAAGCAATGTTTAGTTAAACAAGGCTAACGGCTAATAAAAGAAAAGAATGAACAGAAGCTATTGATGATGCGGTAGATGAGGAGACTCCTTGCCTTTGTTGTTACAGGAACCTTCTCAGTTCATAGATTCCATCGCGGAAACATCAAATGGAGTTTCAAATAGCGGAACCAAAACTTCTGGCAAAGCTGAAATAACAGAAGAGCAGAGGACTCGTATGGAAGCAAATAGGTTAAAGGCTCTAGAAAGGCGCGCTGCTCGAGCCCCCTCATCACAGGCCACCTGACTCAAACATCCCTTGTAAATGGAGACCTTTTTTCCCATTTTTCCTATTACGTGGTGTGCAAAACATGCTTGTTGCCCATGGAGTCACTTTTATGCCTCGGGTTATGTGCTTATCTAGAACAACAATTTCGAACGAAGATATGGCTGTATTTTCATTTGCTACCTAATGTAACAGCCTCTAGAAAATGTTAATAGTGCGTCCAGTTTCGCAACACTATTAAGCATGATTGGAAGACAAGCACAAAGTACTTTCCCAAACGCACCAAATTGTCGTATACAAGGGTGTTGCTACCACTGTGTCAGGATAAATTCAAACTGAAAGAAAGCTTTTCCAATATATGTGCGTGTTTTCATCCCCCCTGAACTGAAGGCACTTACGAAATGCTAAGCCTTTTAACACTGGATTCCACTCAAACTTTTATTGGAATTTTAACCAACAATTACTGGTAATTTCAATGCTTGTGAGAGTATTGCTCAATGCTTGTCAAATGATGACTCATTCTTTTATCCTCCTGTACTCTAAAAAAAAAAGGAAAAAGAAATAAATTGAAGGACCTATGAGTTAATATTTAATTTGAGAAACTATTAAAACCATGATTAAAGTAAATGATTAAAAGACAAATCAATAACTATATTTACCTGATAGAAAATTATCATCTAATTTCTCTTTTTATTGTTTTTCATTTTCTTCCAACACCCAATGGTAGGCACTCCATTTGAAAAAAGAGGGGTGGCTATCAGTGCAACTATTGTGCAAAACAATGAGATTCTGTGACAGGGGAAAAAGTTACAAGAAAAGAAAAAAAAAATTATGGAGGTATTCTATGGTCATTTGATTGTATTTTGGTGCTTAAATCAAACTGTAACTTTTAAGGCCCTTCACAAAAAATGTTCACTATTGAGTATTGAGTATTGACATCCTTTGAAAAAAAAGAACGCCAAATTCGTATAGCCAGCAATACATTAGAAAAATGTTTGACATCATATCTTGAATGAGTAAAGTTAGAAGCAACTTCTGCTTTGGACTGGACTAGCCATAAGAAAACCGTCCAAGCTTCAATAAGCATGTTCGATTTAAGTTTAACTAGTTTATAACTCGGGATGTCAACAAATGACTGGGATTTTGATGTCTATAAGGGGGAATAAAATAAAATAATTCAGCAAAACTTCATCATCCCTAGCTTCCTGAAAAAGGGAAGGGAAACCTCACTTTATTTTCTCACAAGAGATTAACATGTAAGGATGAAACTCAGCAGCTTTCAAGACAACAGTTAAAATAGTGTCTTCATAAAGCCGGCAGGAGAACAGAAGAGGCATGTTTAAGTTTAACTCCACCTTCTCCTGTCCTCCTCTTCATCCACCGGAGCATACCATTCTGGCCTTCGCTTAGAGTTACTCAGTCTGTAGTTCAAGAGCAGCTCTTCATCTTGAAGAGCCCGAGTAGCCACCAAAACCAAGGTTTTGAGAATAGGAACATTTGAATCGCTACTTCTCGACATGCCAGATTTAAACCAAAAGCTGCCAAATCTCCTCATATTTACCTCTGCATTTCCAAATAATATGTTTGGAATATATGCCCTCATGTTATTTTCGGTCAATGGGAAGTCATAAGGACAGATCATCACATTTGGTAGCATCCCTTTAGCCGGGTGGTTAGCAAAATGAGCAAAAGCTAATGGGTTTCTACGCTCTAGCACATCACCAGTATTGCCTCCTACGGTGCCTTCCAAAGGCTTACTCAGTAGTTTCCAGAACCGGTCTGAACCTTTCTCAACTCCTTTCTTGTCGCACTGGATTTCCCTAATTTTTGTGCCACTCCATGTTTCTCGCTTGTCACCTCCAGAACCCCAAGGTTGGGCATTGATGACGGCCCCATCATATCTTGAAATTAAATATGAGTTCTCTACATCAACCCTCGGGTATCCTGGAATATACCGGTAATAAGCCGGATAGTATACTACACCAGGATATAAGGCTACAACTGCACCAACATCAGCTTCCCCATCCAAAAATAGACCTTGGCCAGCTTCTTTGTGGAATATTTTTGAAGGTTTAACATTAAGTGTGTAGCCAAGAAGATCCTTTAGCTTCTGAGAAACTTCAGCTTGGCTTAACGGTTTTGTCTGAGGGATAGCTGCATTCAAAACGCATTGTTGACAAGTGCTCCAGTAGACAGAAAGCAAGTAGAATACCTCAAAAACATTGAAATTATAATGGTAAAGTAGTCATTGTTACTAAAGTTAGCCTTCTCATTTCAATAATAGATCTAAAGGTCAGTAGAAGAGGACCAAACTTCAAACAACATAGATTAACTTGCAGCATTAGCATGTTATAGTTATACATAGAAGGGTATTCCTCATCCATAATAATCGCACACACTCATTCACAAAGGACGAACTCATAAGTAGCCAAGGTCAGTATCATATGCTAGGTCTTTAGATCCTACAGGCAATAAGGCCATGCGTCAACCACATATATAAGATGCGCTAATGGAGCTTATGTTCTATCATTGTTAAATTATTTAATGACAAATAAGTAAAAGTGAAACGATTCCTAAGGCTTGATAAAATGATGAATTTCTGCTCCATTAATTGTACAAATTGAAAGGAGTTCCTCTCTCAAGTTAGCTTATGACTAATGACCCCTCCAACAATATAGTTCTAACTCTTCTGTAGTGGCAGACTGTTGGAAAAATCTTGGACATCAGCCAAGATTGGGATTTTTTTTTTTGGGGGGGGGGGGGGGAGGGGGGTGTGGTGCTCACCAGGATGATTGGGAGGTGGGGCACTCCTACCCACAGCCAAACCAAGCCCACTTCGGCGGGGCAAATCGCTTGCTTGTTGACAAGACTCAAGAGTGCCGCTCATCACCTTATCATTAGGAAGAAGAATTTCATCCATGAACTTGCAGAAAACTTTAATTTGAGAATGAACATTTTCTTGCACTTGCGCTTGTTGATCAGCAACAGAAGCTTTGCTCGCCATTTCAATAATTTCTTCTGCATCGGCCTCAACAGCATTCTTCCCCAACCGATTGTAGCTGGATATTCAAGTCTTTGCATGAGCAAAACATGTAACATTAAAAATGGGAAGAGTCACGCTTGCACAAGAGAAGCCGGAGATATTACAATATGTGAACCCACAACAGCATCAAACAGATAACAAATTTCAACATCTTGTTGACAGTGAATATGTTGCTTGACCGCAGATATTATATCTTATCCAATGCAATGGAAAAATTTTCGAAATAGAAAAAGAGTGTGACAGACTGATAAAAGTATTATATTGAACAGATGCACATGTGCAATATTAAAATCTGTTGCATGCGTTCATTTTTCAAACCCATGCAAATTGAAAAATTATAGACAGTGAAAATTTTATCAAACAGGGAGGGTAGAAAGAGAAGAGGACAACGAACAAGAGACGGAAATTTGAGTCTGCCAGTAAAGTCAAGAGATGGAGATACAAAGGGGAAAATCCACATATCCGTCTGGGGCATACGAGTGCCATTAGTAGCTTGGTTAAGGTATATAAAAGTACTTACCTTGTGTAAAGCAACAAGCGATTGATGTCAGCTTCAAATTGCAAATGTCTAGGATCCCTAGCAAAAGTAGGACTTTTTGCAAGGGTTTTTACAGCCTTAAAAAGATCAGACAAATTATTGTGGTGAGTTTCACGGGAAGAACAAGCATAATAATTTTAGATGATCATACGCTAGGAAGAAACCTCTTGAAATTTCTGAAAGAGGAAAGCCATGAGCGTTCAGATGGAAAAGACGGCGCTATTCAGAGCTGAATATAAGTTGAAAGCAATAACGAAGTTCAGATGCTGGAAATGAACAGCAAAAAAAGGCAGGATCAGCATTAGTTAGCACAAAGAAGCTAGCTTGAAATTTGTTTCAGCATTGAAGCGACTTGTATGGCCAGCCCAATCCAGTCGACTCAATGGAAGCATGATCGTTGGAAAGAAAGCAGCCAGATGGCCAATATCGCCAGAATGAGTGGAATTAGAGAAGCAGAAATGTGAGAGAGAAATGGAGAAAGTAAAGTGGAAGATGATGCCCGAGACGACGATACACCGCAGGGCGGCACCTGGCTTGACCGTCACTCCCATCACCTATCAATACGTTCGCAAATCTCTCACACTTTCCCGCCCATTCAATTCCCTTGATTCTGTCTTACCGGATTATCTTCGCCGACGGCAATGAAAAGATGCGGAGCTTGCTTCAGCAGTGATCTCGCCTCCTCCTTCTTCAAATCGCGCCGACGAGCCCTACCCCTAGCCTAGCCCCCTTCCGCCGCGCGTGGGAGTCAGCAGCCACCCCGGATGGCTCTTCTCAATTAGTTCAGCTTCGTCTTAACGGCGTCAATGACGCGGGGGGAGCCAGATATGAGCCAACAGATATCTTGTTTTCTCTAGGCCCTAATTTTGAAACGAATTTTTAAATGCATAATTGTTTAGAAAAACTTCTGTTAAGTGTTTGTTTAGGAAACTCTCATCATCAAATTACCTATTCCCATTTATTTTTCCAAATTCAACCAAGATTTTTATACTTTATGCGTCATCTTTCTTTTTCTAATGACATACCATATAAATTTGATCTCATTTTTATCAATTTAAAGTTTCTCTCCTTAAAACAGTGTTTTTGTTCTAAAATAAGGTTTTGTGAATTAAAGCCCCTAATTTCAGATTTAAAAATTAAAATTAAGATTAAAATGAGATTAAATTTTAGAAATTAATATTAATATTATTTACATTATGTTACATGCTATTAAATTCCTTATGATTAACCAAATGGGCCGTAATAGGCTGGTTGCCCACATTAAAGTAATACCTCTGGTAGTTAATATGGCTATTTTAACTTTTTACTTGATTTTAAATATAAGATCTTAATTTATGTTTCTCTTATATTTATCCATTCTTCACAAGAAACTTCTTGTAGTAGTTGCACATATTAAATACCCTCACAAGTAAGGGTATTTTAGAAAAAACAATACTTATTTATTACAAATAATTAATTTAACTAATTTTTTTTAAATTAGTCAAATAATTTTTATATTAAGAATAAGAAGTAATATCATCTATTAGGTGATAGCCACAGAGGCCGTCTCTATGGTGAACAAGGAATGAGCCAAGTTGTTCTGCAGTTGCATGACCAATTAATTAACTAACAAGCTGTTTGAATTTCGACAGACATGCTTATTAGGATGGTTTTAATCTTAAACGTTCTTGGTTTGATAGGAATTAATCTTAACCCAAAATGATTTGACGAAACCCTAAATTGCCTCTAAATAAATTTGAATTGTTAAATGGGTTAACGTGAAAATTTAATAAGAATCTACAACAGTTTATTAGAGGAATAATAGTAATAGTAGTGATAATAACAGTAGTAGCAATAATAATACTAATAATAAGATCTTGCACCAAGGGCCATGAAAAGGAAAAGTTTAAAACACGACTCTTGTTTTATTCAATTTTTAACAAGATTTCCAATTATTAAATGTGATTATTGTGGATGGAAGCTTTACTATTAATCCAACTAATTTTCCCTTTACATAAAAAGACAATCAATCACTACGTGATGTATATAATACAATATGAATGAAATTCATTGAACCAAATTAATAGCATCAATTTACTTAGGAGTGTTCACTATGTCCCGTCCCAACATCTTGTTTTTGTCTCAGTCATTTTGGAAAAAGACAATCCCGTCCTAAAAGTTTCTGGAATGGAATGAAAGGGGAACAAGACAAAATTATTTCGAAACGGGATGGGACGAGATGCGGGACGCGAGTGTCCTGTGCCAATATCTTATCTTTATTTTTAGTTATTATAAATTTATTTTATTTATTATTGTAAGTAATAGTATTTTGGAATTGATATTTATCAGTTATTATTTTTTTATTTGTTTATAGGTTGTTTCATACGGGTTATATGATATTCTTTGTAGTGAACATTTTAAGTTTGTTTATTTTTTGTCTTTCAAGATTAAAAAAATATTTTTTTCTTTGCCATTGGTTCCTTATTTTTATCGATTTTCTTCATATAGTTTTTATCATAAGTTCTTATACTTTATGTATAATTAGTTTTTAAACTAAAAAAGGAAAAAAAAAGAAAAAGAAATGGGACATTCTTATCCTGTGCCAATTATGTTCCGTCCATATAGTTTCTCCTACAGATGTGTGCAAGAAGCACAACCATTGAAATTTAATGTTTTAAAAGAAATGGATTCAAGAGCACATCAAACCAAACTAGGATTAGACTAATGCTATGTTTGGATGGAGAGAAGATAAAGGAGGAAGGAAAATGGATAGAGAAGTGGTTTTTCTTCTATTTGGATGAGGGAAGAAAAGTAGGAGGAAAGAAAAGTTGGGAAAAATATAAGGTGAGTCCCACAGCCTATTTTTCTCCCTACTTTTCTCTTCATATATGGAGAGAAAATGAGAAGAAAATATATTTTTACTCTCTACCTTTACATATGTTTTTTTTAAGAAAAATAATACATATTTATTTTTTTTCATCTTTTCACTTTATTTATTATTACCAAGTCTTTCTTTTGTGTTTGCCTGATTAAAAAACAAAATGACTAAAATTACAAAAATCCTTCTAAAATGAACTGAAAGGAAAAACAAGTAGAATTGTTGTATTGTTTTTTTTAGCATTACATTACACATAATGTTATTTTTTTCCTTTTTTTTACAAAATTATTTGATATTAAAATATAATAACATGATAATGTATCTTTATCAAATAATTTGATTTTAAATTATATGATTATGTTAATGTAAATATGGTTTTTCATTATGATATTTAATTTGATTTTAATCAAGATATATTTTGTTATAACAGAACGAGTATTTTAGTTATTCATATATTTACTCATTTTTTTTCCTTTCCGTTTTCTCTTGTCCATCCATGAGAGGTGATAATATTTTTTCTCTAATTTTCTCTTCTCTCTATTTTCTCTCCTCTTATTTTCTTTCCTTTCAACTTTTCTTTTCATCCAAACAGAGAGTAAATGTTCATTCATTTCGTAATCATGCACATATGAAAAACTGTCGTACCTAAATAGTAAACACAATATAAGTCATTAGAGGCTTAATTAATCAGAAAAATGTGACACGCTTTCTTAACGAATTTGCATTGTTAATTTGTGATATTAGGTGAGCAACAAACTCCGCCTCTTGTATTGTGTTCATTCCTCTGTTTTCCTCTGTTTTCTAAATCTGTACATCAGCAGAGTGAAATCTGAGCCACATCCATGTATGTGTATGGTTCATTCAAACTATTCTTTAACCAACGTCCAACCAATCCGACCTATTGCACTTACAAAATTTGATTGTTACTGTATAAGCCCATGCTCACCAATTTATGAGAGCCAATCATTCCATGCCTTTTATGATTATTATTTTTTTCAAAGTAAGGCAATAAGTTTGAATGTTATAGGTAAAAAACAATGACATTATTATACAGTCAGACAAAAAAACATATATTTGCATTACAAAATGAGTTTTACATTAATATCGGAGGAGTATTTCTTACCCTTTGCTTTTTTTTCATCTTGCTGCTCTTCTAAGAAATTCCTAATGTACCGTCTGCAAGGGCAACCCATTTAAGAAATCTCTTGACTTTTAACTACACGGTAATTCGTATGTCATTGCAATTTTTGGATTGATTAGGCCTTTTCTAGTGTACTTAACTATCGTTAGAAATTCTCTTCTCTAATAAGATACCAATCCAATCAATTTAGCAAACACGTATATTCATTTTTAAGCCACAGAAAAAGTGCCAGTCAGACTTAAACAAATCTTCAAATTAAAATATAATACATAAAACAAAATTCAAAATTAACCAAAAAAAATTAAACAGTTATTGATCACCAGATCACACAGTTCATAAAAATTTGATAAGTTCAACTATGCACAGTGGACATGCATACGTTGTGACCGAAACAGAGCCTAACATGAGAATCGTGGTCAACAGAATGGCACAAGTGTGAGTGATATAGCAGCAGCAGCTGGAGTCCCGTGAAGCACGAAGAGAATTATGTTGTTTTGGGTAATCCTATGTGCTGAACATTAGACAAAGGAATTTAATCATGAGGATATGAGGAGGAAACTTAGGACGCTAAAAACAGAACAAAAAGTTGCTACTTAGGTTACCGTCCCACACCCACTTCTCATCCTCCTGTTTACCACACAGAAATGTGTCAACTCATATAATAAATTCCCATTTGACACTCAACCCTCTTGCATGCTCACATCCTTCTTTTCACCCTTCAAGTGCACAAAAATCCTTAGTTCTAGTAAATATTAGTGCCAAGCAATCGCTAAAGTAGCAAGTAATTAATAGGTCACTTGAAAAAGACTCTGATTTGATGATTCCTTGGATTTCAGCTTACCAAACCAAAAACCGTTTAAGCAAGCCAACAAAGACAAGCCACTCCCACCCTCCACATATATCCCCCATGACCACCCCACCACCCTCACCCCCATTTTACACTTGTTCCTTCAAACACATTGCATAGCATGCTCATGCATTCCCACAGTATGGATCCCTATCATCATCCCACCATGACACAACCTAAACCTCTCAACTCTACCCTCTCCTCTCACCCCCTTGCCCTCGCCGGAGACTCCTTCTCCGGCCGGCTCTTCTTCTTGCGAGATGTCCAGGTCTTGGAGATCCTCCTTGCTGCTATGGTCTTCATAGTCATCCATTCCATGAGACAGAGGAAACGCTATGGCTTGCCCGTTTGGCCTGTCTTTGGAATGTTACCTTCCTTGGTGTTCACGGGGCTTAGGACCAACTTGTATGAATGGGTCACCGATGTCCTGAGCCGGCAAAACTGGACGTTTCAATTCAGAGGGCCTTGGTTCAGCAGCCTCAACTGCGTCGTCACGTCTGATCCTCGCAACTTGGAGCATCTTCTCAAGACCAAGTTCCCTCTTTTTCCGAAAGGAAGTTACTTTAGGGACAATCTGAGGGACCTTCTTGGAGAAGGTATTTTCAACGCAGATGATGGGACATGGCAGAGACAGAGGAAAACGGCGAGCATTGAGTTTCATTCTGCAAAATTCAGGAACATGACCACAGAGTCATTGTTTGAGCTAGTCCATTTGAGACTGTTGCCTGTGTTGGAAGCATCGTTTGAGAAATCCACGTCCATTGACTTACAAGACATCCTATTAAGGCTTACGTTTGACAACGTGTGTATGATAGCTTTCGGTGTTGATCCAGGTTGCTTGAGCCTGAACTTGCCGGAAATCCCATTCGCTAAAGCGTTTGAAGATGCAACAGAAGCGACGGTGCTTCGCTTCGTCACGCCAACATGGGTGTGGAAAACCATGAGGTGTCTCAACCTGGGGATGGAGAGAAAGCTGAAGAAGTCGATAAAGAAGGTGGACGAATTCGCAGAGAACGTGATTAAGACAAGGAAAAAGGAGCTGGCTTTGCAGCGTGAGGAGGAGAATACGAGGTCAGACTTGTTGACAATATTCATGGGGCTCAAGGATGAGAAAGGGGAGGCATATTCAGATAAGTTCTTGAGAGATATATGTGTGAACTTCATATTAGCAGGGAGGGACACGTCTTCAGTGGCTCTGAGCTGGTTTTTCTGGTTGCTTCATGAGAATCCCGAGGTGGAGGAGAAGATACTGCAAGAGATTTGCAAGATAGTGAATGAGAGGGAAGAAGATGAAGCAGCGAAGAAGAAGAAGGAGGGACAAGAGTTGAGATTTAGAGCGGAGGAGATTAAGAAGATGGATTATTTGCAGGCTGCTCTTTCTGAGTCACTCAGACTCTACCCTTCCGTCCCTGTGGATCACAAGGAGGTAACTTTTCCGATTCTTTAATTTTTACCATTCATTCATTCACTCTGTTTGCTTCATAACTCATGTCAATGATTTTTTTTTGTTGACCAGCATGTTAATGATAATTCAAGCTTATAAGATTATCACCGAGTATTTTTCTTGAAGTTACGGTTTGGATGAAAATATTTGAAAGATTAATTATAACTTATGAATCATTAACTTTTTATGGCTGCATGCATATCTCAAGATCCTTACTCTGCTTTCTAGAATCACCGAGTCTTTCTGTTGAATGATTCATTAATTGCCTTTTGGGAACAAATAGATGAGCAGTTAGTTCTCCTTCCTCCAACCAATTTAACCAATTTATACAGGTGTTCCTTTTGCTACTTTATTAGATCGCCATGGTCAACTGTGTTGGTTACCAAACATACGTCTTCTCCTTTTGGCGGAAAAAAATTAGACTCAGGTGACCAAAAACAGTGAAGTAACATACTCCTCTGGTTCTATTTATAAGGCAAAGAAAGAAGATATCTTTTGATTCTATTTATAGGGTACTAAGAGAAATTTTTTGCATTGATGTATATTTTACCTTTCATTTATCAGAGCTGACTTTGTTTACATGAGGTATAATGTATATTAAATAAGGATAAAGTTGTTGAATTTTAAATAAGAGTTAATAAAATTTAAGGTTTTTCTTAGTTTGTAAGCAACATGTTGAAAATGACTTATAAATATGACCAGAAGAGTAACAAATACAGAAATTACACCTTGAAAATAGTATGTGCCAAATTTTATTTATTTGTCTTTGACTTCATTAATTTGAATTCTCTCAATTTTAAACGTCTTTTACTTAATGCACCGAATGACCTTTGATAGAGTGCTAGTTCTTTCCAAAATCCCAAATAGCTTCGCAATCTATCAATTACTACTCTTTATCAAACATCCATTCCCCTCCCTTTTGGTCCAGAAGAAAAATCAGCCATGCGCCCTTATTTAATTTAATTTACCATATCACACAGTCCAATGTGGCATTTAAGTCAGCTATCTAGGGTCTTGAGTTGAAGTCAACCGAAGATAACGTTCAATAATGGCTATTGTTTTCAGGTAGTTGAAGACAACACATTCCCAGATGGAACAGAGCTAAAGAAAGGCACCAAAGTCATATACGCAATTTATGCGATGGGGAGAATGGAAGGCATATGGGGAAAAGATTGCAGAGAGTTCAGGCCAGAGAGATGGCTCAGAGATGGCCATTTCATGAGTGAATCCGCTTACAAGTTCACTGCCTTCAATGGTGGTCCTCGTTTGTGCCTAGGCAAAGATTTTGCTTATTACCAGATGAAATATGTCGCTGCCAGCATCATCTATCGCTACCATGTGAGGTTGGCTCACAATCACCCTGTGCTTCCCAAGCTTGCATTAACTATGTACTTGAAGCATGGCTTGAAAGTTAGTCTTGAAAGGAGGGACGCCGCAGAGATTCGGAAACATTTCTCAGATCAGTAAAACGCTAAAGATTGAATTCATGATGGATTGGCTTGCTAGGGTTTATAAAAGTATTCTACGGCCCTTTCTTGTTTCTGATTCATAGGTACTGAGAGGGTGCATTGTTCAGAGTGATAAAGAAATAGTATTGTATTTACTCTTGTGTTCTAGGGAGATGAAGTTAAATAATGTTCACGTTGAATGTGATGCTGGAAAACTTTGGGGTTGTTAAGAATCATTTTGTCAATAATATATTTTCTGTTCTCGTCAGTACACCAGTTTCATGTGAGCACAATATAATATCCATTAATACTGATGATTGTGCAGGTAAAATATTGGATTGCACGGAATGGGTTTGTCAGAAAACTAGAAATACCGTAGTATACAAGACAAGATAGCTCCAAAGAAAAATGGTCACATCTACTGGTTAGCTTGAAATGCCTCTACATACCAAGTTTAATAATTCCCATCTTATTAATAACCAGTTTTGATGGTGTAAGTGCCCTTAAAATGTAAATCTTTTACATTACCAGAACTCGAGTTTTATAATTCTTGAGCAAGCCATTCTAAACAGCACCTTCGTCAATGACGTGGGCAGAGTTCAATTTCTCTTTAACATATTTATAGGCCATAGCATCCTTACAAAGTTTCAGAAAAGACTTGGTGAATTGCAAAATGAAGCATGAATGGATATTGAACGGCAGGGGTGAACAGCTTTTGTAGTGGCCTCCATAGTCTGCGTGCTCCATAATCAGAATACTGTCCCAAGATGTGATAATTTATAACCATTTAGCTCTTTCCAAGGTACCAATGCCATATGCCTACGCGCGCGCGCGCACACATACATTAAGCGATGGATCTGGGAAAGAACAAGTTCCTTATATTAAGCCACACCGTTCCATTCCTCATAAAACTCTTTCAGAAACTCCTCCATGAATTTATGCCTTCTCTCAGCCATCCTCTTCCCAGCCTGAAATTTATAGCTCAGACTCGAAGCATGTTTGGGCGATAAAATAAAACGTCTGGGCAAATGAAGATCGAAAATACTGTTGTACCTCGGTTTTCATCATATCTTTAAGCTTCAAAAGCTTCTCATGAAAATGATTGATGGTAGTTTGCTCATCTTTGTTCACATATTGCTCCTTGGATAATTCAGACCGTGGCAAGATAGCAGGATCATGCAGCTTTATGTTCCTACTTCCACCGAAGGTAAAACAACGAGCAACTCCTAAAATTGAAGGGACAACACTCGAAGGTCAAAACAGAATTCATATTTCCCTCTAAACCTTTGCATCTATGATAATATATTAAGACAGGGTCCAAAAAAAAGTACCAGGAAAAATCAACCTATATGATAACATTACAATTGGAATAATTGATACCTCACAAATTACCTATGGCACCAATTGCATCAAGTCGATCAGCATCTTGCACAACCCCGAATTCAGGAAACCCTTCACGATTTGCATGTCCTGCCAGTTCCTCTTTGAAACCTGGATTTGGCAACGAGCATCCAGAATGAACTTTTAAACTGAAATGAATAACGAAATTTAAAGTGGTTTAAGATATTATGAAGAAAATAACGGGCCCTTCAAAGAGGTCTCAAATTAATAAAAGGACAGAAGGTCTTCTGCACATGCTAACAGTAGAAAGTATTCAAAATACACCATAAAAATCTTTTCTTATTGAGAAAAGAAGAAATTTCGCCCCAAACTCATACTGCCATGAGCAAGTCTTGGAAGCAGTTTTTTGGAATGCCTTCCCCAAACATCACTCTTAACTGGGAAAAAAAACACTGCGGTAACTTGATCACCCAGAAAAGAAATATGCGGTAACTTCTTTTATGGTTGTCATAACAGTGTTACAATCCACAGCTTCAATTACGTTTCTTTTGTTTTTCCCCATCCCTGGGGCGGTGTTTCGGCTTTGTGCTGGCATTCTTTCATCATTTCACATCTTTTTATGAATAATTCTTCTTGCCCTACGTGTTCCACCACCTTCAATGAAGTGTAACTGTATTTGGGCCCGGGGGGGAGGGGGGAATTGAACCATAACTTCTTTCACTAGGGACACTCATGACCTTGAGTGTAAGGATCTTCTGCCACTTGAATTCACTCCTATTACTGGCTTGTTTCTCCAAGTAGTTACTGTTCATAATTTTGACATTAAAGGTTTTGCCATAAGATGGTCTTTCCAGATTGCAGAAAGCATGACCTCCCAAATGAACCTGCCCTTGGTTTCTTGCCACTCCCTTTCTAGTTTGCTTGATGAGAACTCAGTTCTGGCAACTTTGCAATTCTCATAGTACCCAGGAAAGTCCTAAATCTAAACAACCTTACACGTTTTGTGATCTCATCCTCAACCACGAAGCAAAACGACTAATCGGCCGACTTTCAAATAGCTTCTTCTACAAAAGAAGATCAAAGGCATCGGGGTAGTCACCAACACTTACCATTGGCCTTTGTTGCATCAGCTCTTCCATTTGGTCTTCACTAAGAAGGCCTTAACTTTTTTCTAATGGCAGTTGCATATATCTCCCCCGAGATTTGCCAGCCTTCTTGATTGTTTTTCAAGTCTTATGCACCTGAAACTCCCCTCATCCAAATGCAGACTCAAAACCATGACTTTTATCGCCTCTGATTTTCCTTCTAGTAAGAAATATGTTCACACTTTTCAGTCCAATGTGAAAAGTCTAAGATTCATCATTCTACTCTGGTGTTGTTTATTTCTCAAGAATCCATCATTCCCATGAATGCCGGAGATTCATTGTTCCATGTAAACACTCTGATCAACCAAGCTACACCATTATTTGGTCCATACTTGCTCAAAAGTCGTCTCCCGTAACATAAATGTGAGGTCACAAATGTGTGGCATTAGCCATGGTCACAGGATTTGTTGCTCTGAATCACCCGATAGGGGGGAAGGAAATAGAAGAAACACTAGGAATGAAGGCGAGTGGGCAGATGAGAAAATGCTCCTTCCATTGATAGTTGAAAAGCAGTGTGCATATATCGAGAGAGGGTGAGAGGGTGATCGGACATGCCTCTCCATAAAGGAAAAAAATATGAAAACAATAATTTCTGAAAATTCTAAAATATAACAGTTAAATCTAAGGCTAAGACTAAAGATAAAAGGATAAACTATGGTTATGTAGTTATGGGCCCAATAAGGTATAAGCCCACATCAACAAGGAAAATAGAGAGAGAGCTGAGAGAACTCATTGATGACATCATTCATAACTTTTCTTGTGGCTAACACAACTAGGTTAGTATGGGCAACTAGAAGCAACCAACTATTAAGTACTGATAACAGATCAACTTATCAATAACCTACCTGCCAAAACTAGCTTCCTCCAACGTATCCCTTCTGTCTAACATGTTAAATATAGAGAAAAATAATTAAAACAACCCCATAAATCCTAACTTACCCATTCCCTTTATTATCTTCAAAATGGCCGACTTCTTGTCCTTCTCAACTCCCTCTTCCTCAAGGAAATTCTCCACAATTTTTTCCTCAGATGGATCCCTGTATTACAATGTAGAAGCTTGCGTAAGAGGAAACACAATGAAAGAGGAACAACAATGCAAAGATGGAACGTACAAAATTATAATAATTAAAAGAATGGATGGGATGGAGGCATTAAAGAAATAGAGCAGCCACATAGTGGAACACAAGGATGTTTAAAGAAAATTAAACCCGAGACTATCCACATGTTGCAATTGGGCACATATAACTAATTTTATAACATATTATAAGCATGTTTCACATATTGAAAATATGACATAAACACCCCATCCTTCATCCTTTATCATGTCGTTCAAAGGTGGAGATGTTTCCTGGTCCATTACAAATTTTGAAGGATGCCAACCAGCACACAATAATAAGGAGGTTATAAGTCCCTATATATATGCAATATAAGAATAAGAACATCATCTATGGATATGCAAAGAACAAATTTCATCAAGCAAATAGTTGCAAGAAAAGTCTGCATACATATGATATATTACTTGATATTCCTCTACCACTAGTGATACAGTATAACTGAAAATAAGGAAACCATACTATAACTAAGAGACTTTTTGCAAGATTTTGAAAAGATTTCTCAACATTAACCTAATACAATAATGTTGCGAGGACATACAGAAAAACAGTTAGGAGTCTTACTCCACAAATAAGAGATGAAGAAAATTACAAGCATAACAAACCTCAAGTATTTGTAGTCACCTGAAATTATCAACCAGAAAGTAACGTTATTAATATTGCAACCCTTAAATAGGAATGGAAAAGTGAATAGGCATTACTCAGAAACATGATTTATTTTTGTATGTAATAGAAAATTGCAGAATAATAAATGAAAAGTACAAGAATATAGCAGTAGAAGTTATGAAAGGGGAAATCCTCAGGTTTTGATAATAATTACTCGAAGAAACCAAATCAGTGTTGTGGAGACACTCACTGATTTTGGCCAGGACCCTATTCCCCTCTATAATCAATACAGAACTAACACAGCAACAGAAATACAGAACTCAAGGAAACATTTGCAGCAACATACACTCACTGACATTCGAGAGGCCAGGCTCTCCTCGCCACACTCAATACACAAAATACATCTCTGTCTTCCCTCACAACGCAGAAGGCTTCTACTACCCAAAATCTGGCTCTCATACAGCCCCTGCTCCCAAAATAGACTCCAGCACATCACTAGACCATGATTTACTTTTCCTTATGGCCAGGATCGAAAGGATAAACATGTATACTAGTCAGAGTGTTTCCCTCAAAGCTACTCTTCTACTCTGGCTTCCTCTTATAGGTCTTAGTGAAATTATGAGTTCCATCAGTATGCAATATTATAGAGACTCGAAAAGTGATTAGGTTTGGACACTATATAAAGCCCTCGGTAATTAGGAGTTTAGGATTAGGATAGCCTCTAACAAAATTTTCTTGGTTTGCAAGCCATCTCAACCTGTCCTTCCTTCTCCTTCTCTCATTTTTACTCTATACATCTCCCCATTGGATTTGGAGGTGAAGATGTGGGATCAAATCATTCCTCAAGTATCAAAATTTAAATACCTAGGATTCATTATATATGAGGATGGGGAAATTGATGGAAACGTCTCTCACAGAATACAAGCTGGCTAGTTAAAGTGGAAGAAGGCTACCGGAGTTATTTTATCAGATTGCTATAAGACCAACTATGTTGTATGATAGTGAATGTTGGGCAATAAAGGGAAAACAAGAGCATAAAGTTGAGGTAGCAGAAATGAGGATGTTGAGATGGAGGTACGGTCATACAAAAAAAGATAGGATTCATAATGAAAATATCATAGTAAGAGTCGGTATGGCACCTATCCAAGAGAAAATAATTGAAAATCGCTTAAGATGGTTTGAACATGTGCAGAGAAGGCCATTGGAGGGCCCGATGAGGAGGGTAGATCAGATAATATGGAGTCCTATAAAAAAGGATAAAGGACTGGGTTGTTGACAGAGCACGATAGCGTCGTGTGATTCATGTAGCCGACCCCACTTAGTGGGATAAGGCTTGTTGTTGTTGTACATCTCCCCATTCTTTTCCTTCTGTATCTCCCTCATTCTCCATCTCTCCCCACTTTCCCTATTTTCTTGCCACTGGTTTGGTACGGAGAGAATTCACAAAAGCTGACAATTCAGATTTCCACAATTCCACCCACGTCCTATTTCATTGAATCACATAGGCAAACACACCCTGAATCTCTTATTTATACACCAAAAGAGTTCTTCCAGTTTTGCGACCGTATCTGCAAATAACCCCTTCTCACTTCTATTAGCACTTATTTTCATGATTAATCCCTTCTCATTACTTCTCCACGTATCCTGGTTCTACATCAAACTGTTATTTTCAATAGCATATTTACACTGAAGAAACCAGAGTGACAACATCAGAGGTATCAGATTCAGCAATTTAACTGAATAGTGGACATTCCTTGTGTAAATTACACCATAAAACTAGACAGGCCTTAAATATAGGGAGCATTAGCTGGAACTTTTTACCCTTAGAAAGGAATGAATGTCAGTCCTAAATCTTACCAAAATAAAGATAAAATTTAATATCTCTACATTACCTTGAGGAAAAGCTTCTCATAATACTCTCTACAGGTCCTCAGAATTTTCACAATAAAAATATAAAATGCCGTTCTATAAATGTAATTTTGTTTGTATGGAGAAAGAGACAGGTCATTACCTATATCATGAAGCAAGGCAGCAAGCTCTACCTGCAAGGCACCATTTCAAGATTTAGAATGATGTGAGGATGGCAAGTAAAGAAAATGTTACAGACACAAATGCTAAAGCTTTCTCCGAGTCGTTTTTTCTTTTTGGGTGATAATTCTTGGAGTCCTTTTAAATTAGAAATAAATACAATAGTTTAAAGAGAACAACAGCTCAAAATAGAATGGCACAACATGCTGATAAGAAACGAGATTAATTAAAAAATTTACTCTTGATGGAAGAAATTTTGTCTAATATGATTAAAATGATAGATGAACAATTATATTGCATTGTATAGGTTTTTCGATAAACGAAATCATCAAGCACAGCATGACAAGTACAGGAGAATTAGATCCATGACTGAATGATGGTAAGACTGAGTGATTCACCCAAATGACTCAATATCATCTGCCAAGCAGTCTATGCTTTCCTCATCTTAAATAGTTCACACACACACACACACACACCAGTTTTTATTTCAGAACTCCCGGAAATGTCAGCAACTGAGGCGTAACAATTAAAAGGAAATCCATCACATCATAGACCGCTATTTGTGCAGAATTTTAATCGCATTGTGACAGTAGTAACGCAAGAGTGGTCAGATTTCAACTTTTGTAAGCTCAGAGCAGATTATTATGCTAATTTGTCGAGAAACCTTGATCTTGAACAAAATATTTATTGATATTAATTTAACTCGACCCACGAGAGAATATGTAAACGAGATATTGATAAATTTGCACACTCCTCTGTTAGAGAAAGAGAGAAGACATTTTTTGATTCTATTTATAAGAGACCGAAGGAAATTCTTTATATTGATGTACAATATACAAGACATTAAGATAAATTTTATAATTTTACACTTTATTTATTATTTATTATTATTATTGCGTTGATTTTCTTTATATTATATCTTAAACAGGGATAAAGTTGGAATGAAATTCAAGGTTTTTAAATAGGAGCACAGGAGCAGTAATTCTCAAACGCAGGCAACCAGGTTCTGTATCCGCTAATATCAATGATTCAGCAATACAGCAGCCTACAACTCAACGCCACTGTGAAGTGGAATGTGCCATTGCCTGTTTCACATTTTCAATGTCTAACAGTGGCTGGAAGAGACTAGGGGCCAAAAGAAGGCGCTTACAATTTCCATGGAGGTCGGGCTGGAAGAGAGGCCTTCCTCGCGAGCAAGGGATAGAGCAAGGTCACGGACCCTCCAAACGTGAGCTGGGTCATGGGAAGCATCGTTCCCTTTCATGGCTTTCTCCACAAGCAGCTCAGCGTTCCTCACCGTCTCCGTCCTCGCCATATCTTCCGTGTAGTATGAGAATAGCAGTCTGCCTTTTTATCGTGGGGAAAGAGCTACTTTGGGAGTTCGGTTGCCGTCCTCCCCATGCCCTGCAGAAAAGGCGTCCGGATTCAGGACACCGTGATTGACACAGACCCACGTCAGATAATTTGATATGACTCTCGCTGAGGTGGCAAGCGAAACTTTAACATGAAGACGGAGAGGGTTAGTTTAAAATTGTGTATTACTACGTACCATCCTAAACATAAAAAACTAATTATAAATTTAATTTAATCTTAAATATAAATTATAAATTTATTTTATTTTTTATATTTATTTTTTAAATAATCTAAATGATTGTATATATTATGTAGTTTTCATCCTAATACACATAATTAATAAAAATATTTTAAAAATAACAATATTTATTTATTACAAATAACTAGTGTAATTAATTTTTTTAATATTTATAAATTAATTGCCTGACTCTTACAACCAAAACTCTTTGACTAACAAAATTGACAACTAAAATCTTGAAAAGATTGAGATGTAATACAAATAAAGGATTCTGTTATACACAACGAATATTGTAAGCTTTTTTTAAGTGCATGAATACATACACAATTTTCAAAATGGTGAAAAATGGCACAACTGCTAAGTCAATTAACGTTGATTTTCTTACAAATACACCAGTCAAGAAAAATAGTGTAAAAGTATATATAAAGTTTTTAAATTGATTTAAAAATGTCAAGATTTTGCTTCTTTTTTTTTTTAACCTTGAAAATGCCACGATTGTTGAGTAAATTGACGTCGATAGTTTAACAAATAGTCCCTGCATGTGTTGCTTGGTGTTCTCTCTCCTAACAATCCTATCTATCATTACGGTGTTTTCTGCAAAACGTACTGGCTGCACAATTCTTTCATTGTCTTTGGTTCTTCATCGTCAATAATTTTTGTTCTCTTAAAGTATAAGTATTCTTTTATTGGAAGCAATCCTATTCGAGATACAGTTAGACACTAAATTTGGACATCTCTCCCAACAGAGATTCGAACCTTAATTCACCACATTGCGGGAGACTAGTCCCTTCTGTTAGGTCGAACTTCTGTTGGTTATCGTCAATAAATATTATCAAAAGATTTGAATGTATTGATGTTCAAGGCGGCTTACAAGTCATATTTAACCGTCATTTTCTCTCTTTCGAGTACACGACTAATTTATGACAATCGTGTAATTAATTTGTAACATGTTAGCCCAAAACAAAACCATCAAAAAAAAAAGAAGGAAATGATAGTGGATAAGGCAATGGGGGAGTACCTTGGAGCACCAGATAAGTATAACTATCTTGTAAAGGACCCCACAGTAATAGATAAGGTAACTGGGAGCAAATTACGACGAACACAACATGTGGGAACTGTTTGTTAAACAATCAAATTTTATTCGACTTGATAATTATGTCATTTTAATTTTTATATCATTTTTCTCACTAACATGTTTGCCAAAAGATTGATTGATGATATTTTTATACCATTTTAAAAAATTCATGTTTTTTTTTTTTTAACCTAATGGGAGGATTGGCAAAGTACTCAAAAAGATTTGGCCCTCAGCCCATTTTAAAATTTCCAATTTGAATTTTCCCAACTCCTTTTTCTCACACATCCGAGGCCACGAGCCAGAAAGCCTCGGCCCAAGATGGTCCATTTCAAGAGCCCGGATTAGCCCGCGTTTCCTCCATCTCTGAGACTGAAACCCTTGCCCTACCCGCTCCTCCGAATTCTGATAATCTTCTGAGCTGCCCCCCATGAGAGGCCTTTTCTCCACCAGCAAGCTGTTTGGCAGCGCAAAGGCATTGTTGGGAAGAAGCAATCAAAGCGCACGATGGGGTCGTGCATACAGCTTGATCCCAATGGTGATCGAACACTCTTCCAGAGGAGAGAGAGCATACGACATCTTCTCGCGTCTTCTCAAAGAGCGGATTGTCTGCATTAACGGACCCATTTCCGACGACACCGCCCACGTCGTCGTTGCTCAGCTTCTATTCCTTGAGTCTGAAAACCCCTCCAAGCCCATCCACATGTACCTCAATTCACCCGGCGGCGCTGTCACTGCAGGCACGTCCTCTTTCAACATGTTTTTTCTTTTCCTCTATATAAAATTCCCTTCTTTTATGTCGTCAATGGGATTGAATGGCAATGGGCGAGTGAAAATTGTGACTGTTCTTTCAAACTCCTGATTCTCTGCGCGCTAACATGTACCTTTCAGTGGATGTGAAGGCATTTTCTGCAGACGAGGATTATTTGAAATTCTCAAGTTTATTATCATTTGTTTGTTTGAATTTGTCGATAAAACAATGACTTGGCTATATTAGATTGCCCGTAGATGATTTATGGGGCTGCTGAACAAGCACATGTGAATATGTGATGTACCCGCCATAGTTGTTTTCGGCGCATGTAATTGTATAATTAAGAAGAAAATGAATGACTGATAAAATATAACACGCATATATGTAGAAATAAAAATACACAGCGAGTTTTCAACTTCTGGTATGATCTGCCCTTCAGCTTTCCGTGCAAATTCTCTTATTTCCACTCCATCAAACTGTCTCATCTGATCTTTGTATGTGCATATTGGCCACTGCAATGTATCCCTTGATCCTAACGTTTATGGAGAATTAGAAGAAAGAAATAGATAATGTGAAATTAACTGACAGTCACATAGAAGAGGTGAAAGAACTAGGAGGGAGATAGGAATAAGCAAAACTGAGGAAGAAAAATAAAAAGAAGAGAATCCGGACCTGATGCATTAAGGCTCGGAGAGAGGGTGAACAAAGGCTTGAACTGGAGCCTGGAGCTAATTGGCGTTGAAAGACCCTTAAGATTGGCCCTTTTCATTTCGCCCATCTCTCGTGCGCTTTGAACTCATGGCATTGCCACTTTATACCAAGTGAACATTTTAAATGCTATAGCTGCATGCCTGCCTGCAGCATTCTGCTGCTCGATTTTGACAACTATGATTTGCACCATGCATTCTGAGTGCTAACTGGTTTTGTTTCTGATTATCACTCATTGTTTCTCGAGAGAATCTTGGGCAGTGCTCATTTTGTAGATATGCTTTATTTACGACCTACCACATTATACGACTTTGCAGACTCCTTGCATTATAGTGGAAATTAAGTATTTTTGGCAAAACAGAGGAAATTAAGTATTTAGTAATTTTTACTTATGGAGTGCATCATTTTCAATATTCTTCCAACCGATGATACCTTTCCTTCAAGTAATCTCAGAAAGTAAAATAATAATGACAACATTTTCTAACTGAATTTCTGAACTTTGAATCTGATGCCATGCGTTACTGCCGGAGTTGTGGCCTTTTAGCACTATAGCACAGTGACCTGCTGTTCGTACCAAATCTTCATTCTTTTAATAGTTTCTAACCCTTATTTTAACTTAATCGGTCTAACAGTACAGTTGGCGATTAAGAGGTTTACAATATTGTCTTAAATCTAGTTGTGGTCCGTCTATTGTCTAAAAGCTTTCGTTCTTGAGAATCCTTCAATGATAAACCCTAAGAAACTCAAGAAATAATTCCTGAAATCTGGTCTACCCCACCACTGTACAAAACACAGATTTGCGAAGTATTTTGAATCTTCGTTGATTTGTAGAAGTTAACAGGGCCTGCATATTGAAATTTGAAGATTCTTATTTTTCTTTTGTGTGTGTTCGTGTTCCTAATCCTATGCAATGTGCAGGCCTTGCCATATATGATACTATGCAGTACATTCGGTCTCCCATCAACACAATTTGCTTGGGCCAAGCGGCATCTATGGCTTCTCTCCTATTAGCTGCAGGTGCCAAGGGTGAGAGGCGATCTCTTCCAAATGCGACAATCATGATTCATCAACCTTCAGGTGGCTATACTGGGCAGGCAAAGGATATTACTATCCATACAAAACAAATTGTTCGGGTTTGGGATTCATTGAATGCTTTGTACTCAAAACATACAGGACAATCATTAGAGATTGTTCAAAAAAATATGGATAGAGATAATTTCATGACTCCAGAGGAGGCAAAGGAGTTTGGGCTTATTGATGAGGTTATTGATCAAAGACCAATGGCTTTGGTGACTGATGCTGTTGGTAATGAGAGCAAAGATAAAAGTTCGAATTAGAACTGGTAGGGTAAAATTTCTCTGAATAATCATTTTGTTTTTAAATGCCTCTTTGCCGCCTAAGTTATACATGGCTGTTGATAGAACATTATCATTATCAATTTGATATAATCTTTGCCGGTATGTAATTTAATTTATCTAGTTTTCTTTCAGCCCTTTCTGATTTAACTTGTCATGTTTAATATCTATAGATTGGACACCTTGCCTCATATGAATGATTATTTTCTTCTTGTGTTCTTCATCTAACCTTTATTCTCATTGCCAAGAACTTGCAAATGCTGGCGAAGGAACTTTTGAAGTTTACTGCATGTCAATGAATCTTTTACAGCTTTTCGATGAGCTTGATCGGAGTTCTAATTTCCCACTCACTGTAGCCGTAACTCTGCTATTTATCCGATGCATTCTGAGATTTTATTCGTTTCTCATGTTACATGCTTGTCTGTATGCTGGTTTCTTGATGTGGCATATGAGTCGATGAAATGCTAACTTCGTAGCCTCACAAAATTTGATGTTGAATCTAATAATTTGTTATTTTGTTAGTAAAAGTGTGAAGGTATAATGGAGATAGAGGTTACATGGTTAGATTATAAATATTTTTTGTTTGGTGAGACACTAAGATGACATCTTGTCAGCAATAAAAGGCTAATTTAATTCAAGGTATCAAGGAGATGTTAGATTATGAATATTTCAATAATTGCAAAGATAAGTTTAACAAAATGTGTGAACAGTCAAATCTGTAATTAACTCCTTCATTGAGGATTGAAATAGAGTTTCTCTCTCTAATTGATACTTGTCTGGCCTTGAAAGTACATTCGGCTGCAGGAAATAGGGAAGACAATGATTCTAGCCTTTTAGACCATCTAGTTGAAACTTTCACCAGGAGTTGTTTTTCCTAGAGACACTTTCCTCTTTGACACTGTCCTCCTCCTCCACCATCCTTCGCCGAGTCCACCATTGCGACTGGTGGCGATGAACCTGTTCCTTTCTCTCATTCGGCCCTCGTTCATTTCATGTTATTGCCATCCTTTTGGTAGCCAAAGGGGCCCTAACTTTACCTAGAGGCTTAAATTAGATTATAAATACGTTAATTAACAATTAATAATTTATTGATTGAAAGTTCAATTTCCTCTGGATCTGATTTTTGATACATATGTTTTTAAAATTTAGTCTTTCAAAGGTTATGCCTCTAGTTATGTAATTTTTGAAATGCATAGTCTTATAATTTACTATTTGTATTTCTTCCTAATTAAAGTAATTTTTCTTCAGTGAAAAAGGGGATCTCATTTGGTCATTAATTGATGGCATAAATTTGGGTGATCGTTCTCGTTCCTCTGTTGTTGTTGTTAATAACTTTTATTATGTTTGGTTTTTTATATAGGAGCTACTTGACTAATTTGAGTGGATTAAAAAAATTAGTTTAGTTAATTATTTGTAATAAATAAGACAAAAATATTTTTGCTAATCATGTGTATTAGCTAGTTAGAACTATCATTTGATGAAATATTTAATGTGTGACTATTTTAAGGATTATTTTGAGAAAAAAATAGATAAATATAAGAGATAAAGTAGATTGGAGTTTTAAATTTATAATCAAATTAAATATCAAATTAGTTTTTATATTAAAAACTAAAAGTGAGTGATATTATGGGAGTCCTTGATTAATTTTCATTATTAGGATATTAGTGAGGTGTCATCTCCTTCTGTTTTAGTTGAAGAATAATTTGAGGATAAGCTGAGAAACTTGTAGCTGAATGTGTTAAAGTTATTGGATAATGGCTGTTTGAGAGCTTAAGAACCAAATTAAATTAAACTTTATCTTGAAGAAGAGGTAAGCAATCCGTTTGAAAAAAAAATTCATGGGTCGTGAAAGGGGGCCACATTGCATCTCACAAACAAATAACAAACACCTTGAGTGCTTTAATGTCATTATTCCCTGATAATTTTATTGAATTAAGCTAATTATGAATCGATTAGTTAACTAATTAAATAGGTTTCTGTAATGGCGGGTAAGTTCTCAAACTTAATTATGATCAAGCATAACTAATCTCACTCAAAAGCAAGCTCAATTACTGAATTGTTTTCAAAGATGCAAAATATTATAAAAAGCAATTATAAGAAATGTGATGATATTTGTTACAGATCTTAAGGGGCTTATATTAGTATTTATTATAAAAAAGAATATGTAATTGTCGCCAATAATGATGTGATTTGTATGCAATTTAATTTAATTAAATTAAATTATAATGATCATATTATTACTATTGAAAATTTATATTATAATTTTTTTTGCCAACGAAAATTTATATTACAACGAACAATACAAAATATGATGATCTCTGATATCTTTCAAACATTAGTAGGTTTAGATGTTTTCCGCTAAGGAAAATATGATTATCCAATGATGATTTGTTCAATTTTAATTTTCATTGGATGATTGGAGCAAAGTGACAAATGAAAAATTGAAATCAATAACAATCGTGTTGTTGGGTCCGGGTTCTATTTCTCAGAAAGTGCAAATATTCAGCGAAAAGAGAAAGAAAGAAGTAAAATTAAGGAGAACGAAGGAAAAACATGAGAAAATTCCATTAGGTCCCGTAATCCCCCTCTCATCAGACATCAGGCCGAAGCCACCCTCTCACAAAATCTACTCTCTCTCTTTGTTTCACCGCCTCAATCCCATCCGAATCCCTCTCTGCCATCTTCTTGCTCAGATTCTTTTGCTTCCGTATCCTCAATGCTGGGTCCTCCTTCGCTCTCCGTTCCTCCGATGCTTTAGCCGACTCCCGTGACGGTGCTCCGCCGCCGGAGACGCCCCCGCCGAGGATCCCCTGCGGTGGTTCTGCTGGATTTTTCTAGGGTTTTCCAAATTGTCTGGTTCGCTCAAGTTTTACTTACGATACTCCTGGTTGTTTGATTTTACTCATTCTCTATCAGCATCCGCCCCCCGTCATGGCTCCGCCACGTCGACGCGGAGCGAACAAGGCGAAGGCCAATGGGCACCTGAGTCTCGGGGATCTTGTTCTTGCCAAGGTCAAGGGCTTCCCAGCTTGGCCTGCCAAGGTGGGAATTCGTTCCGTGAACTTAAGTTAATTTTCGAATTTTGTTGGCATCTCAACTGTGATCATTTGAGTTGCGGGGCAACGTCTTTGTTTGGTTATTCTTACTGGAAATTTGAATATTCAAGTATTGCCGTCCAATTTCTGTCAGCTTAGTTGGTATTATTGTGCGGATGAGGAGTTTGCATTCTTGATGTGTGATATACTTCAGTTTTAGAGCGTACAGAGACTCCTTTCCTCAATCATTGTTAAGCTTTTCCGTAAATTTGATTTGTATTCTCGGCATCATTACCTTGTGTCCCCGTTCCTTCTTATTTTTTCATTGGATTTTATTCATTGCTACATTTCTGAGTTGGTAGTTCTAGAAGATAAATTTTAGTTATCAATAACGGGAACACTGGTCTTTTTGTATTTTGCTCCAGATTAGCAGGCCGGAAGATTGGGAGAAAATCCCTGATCCAAAGAAATATTTTGTTCAATTCTTTGGTACAAAAGAAATGTAAGTCTCTCTCTCCTGTCTTGACTGTAAAGTTTAGCCTAACATTCTCTGGGAATGCCTCTAATCAAGGACCGTTATATGAGTTAGGCTAGAGGGACAAACTTAAACAGCATATCTAGAAGCAGAAGTTATCAGTGATGGGAAAATGTTAACAATGACGTAACTGCAATTTTGCCTATAAGTAGTATCTGGGAGATAGTTTCTTACTGTTTATGAAGTGTGCTCTTCATTCTGAGCCTTTGACTAGTTGCTGCTAAAAAATTACATTGTAACTTAAGGTTCTATGTGTTGGCTTGCGTCATTTATCCTAGTGTAAAGAGTTCAGTGTTATTGGAATTGAGATGGCGGGATTTTGTTGCTTACCAAGCTGCGAAGAGCTAGTAGGACAAGGGTCAAAATAGATTGGACTGTCTGATTTTGGGTAAGGGCCTACAGCTTATGACCAAAAAATATAAAACAAGATATTTCCTCCAGACCTAAATGTAGGGGCTTACTAGATGATTGTTTTGATTCTGAATGTAAGACATCAATCATCTTTGCCTCCTATTTTTATTTACCTCCCCCCTTCCAAACTTCCCTCGTAGATTCCTGTATGATGTATAAGCTATATTAGTAATACTTCAATGTAAATGATTAAAATGAGGGTGTTTTAGGAAAACCAAAACCAACACTTTTTTTTTTTTTTTTTTAACAAAAAACTAACCTCATTTTCTTAGCCTGTTCGATTTATTTAATTGGCTCTTACATTTAGGATTGGATGGAGCATATGGTACTTAGGAATTTATGAATGATCATAAAACTATTAAAATATCAAACATAAATGTAACCTAAATCCGCGAACTGTCAATATCCATTCACATGCAAGTTTTCAATATGTAAATGCGACAGATTTCAGATGCCTAGAAGTAGCAAATATCAAACTCCAATAAATCTCAAGCACTAACAAACATGAGGACAGACAAGAGCCGTACTAAAACCAATGGAAGAGGGTAGATGGGAGACTACATACCAAGAAGAAGGGATACTGCTGCAAACTTTGGATGGAGGTCCGAAAGCAACCTAAGTCAAAACTCCAGAACAAACTAGCAGGTGTTAACAAATGCAGCAGAATGAAGAGAGGAAGGAGAACAATTTGTAGGAGATGAAATAATGCTTCTGCTACTTGGGAGGGGTTTGAAATATTTAATCAATGCACACACTTTTGGGAGGCCACAATGTGTAATTCTATCCTCCAAAACAATGCATTTTTGAACAAGTTTAATGAATTAAACCGCAAGTGATCATAGTATGGTATTGCCACTTTCAGTCCTGCATGTTTCGAGGTGCAAGAGCGTGAGATCATTATCTGATTTTCTTCCAAGTGATCTTGACAACGCTGGTCCTTAGCAATGTGTGCTTTTAGCGCTTATATGGTATTTATGGACAGCATCTTCCCCTCTCTTCCCTGCATTTATAGACTGATCCTATCACTATTTTTGGTTTCACTTTCTGATGGATTGGAGGATCGTCTGTTATGCCTCTTAGGGAGGCTGCGTAGATGGTAGGGCTGTTGAAGTACTGGCATAAACAGTACTATATCTTAATTTGTTTAGAGGTTTTGGAGATGGTAGGGCCGTTAGAGTGCTGGCATAAACAGTATTACATGTTGTAGATGAATTTTAGTTTAGTTTAATAATATGGAATCTTAATTGCTAGATTCAGTTGGGGGATGCTATTGTGGAGTGATGCTATCTGTAAATACCTTTTTTTTTTTTGGAGAGAATGTTGACTTTGCAGTTATTGCTTATTGCTTTCTTGTTTCTCCATTTTCATTTGAATCATTCAACATCTGTTTTGTTAGTATTAATCCATGATTGGCAGTAGGAAAATGGTTGATGGAGGACTAGTAATCTGGGAGAGTTGCGGTGTTTATTAAATGGTAGACATTACATTTTTCTACTGGCGGCAAGTAGGATTTATAGTGACAGCAGAAAATGACATTGATCAGCAATGATTTCATGTCATATACATCAAGCATTTATTGGGTGATGCCTATACTATGAAGATTTTATAAACGTATTGCATACCCTAGTTCTGGAACTTGCTATGGAAGAGAATTTATTGTGAGGCACTTTGGTCAGTCAAGTTCAAGAGGACATTAGAATGATATGAATCTGTTGAAACTGTAATTCAACTCAAAGCTAAGCCGGAATAACTACTAATGCTGTATTTCCATCAGGTCGTTGAAAATAATCTCGTTTCTATGGAGGAAATATAATTTGATAAAAAAGAGATCTGCTGCTTTATTCAAATATCTTCGTTATCTGATTTTGTGATCACTCTGATGCTTTACTTTGTATACCCTTGTGCGCTCTTGTTCATTAGATTGTCCTTCCTATTATGTTCTTACGTAGCATCTATTTTGGTTATTTTCCTTCAGTGCTTTTGTTGCCCCAGCGGATATTCAGGCATTCACCACTGAGGCAAAAAATAAGTTGTCTGCTCGTTGTCAAGGCAAGGCAAAGTACTTTGCCCAAGCTGTGAAGGAAATCTGTGTGGCATTTGATGAGTTACAGAAACAAAAAGCCAGTAGTTTGCGAGATGACACTGATGATTCACTTGTTGGCTCAGAGGTTCCTTCTGTTGATGGGATTACAGGTGACTTAAAGGATGGTACCGATAATGTTGTGTCAAATGAAGAAAAGGCTAATGATTGTGTGGGTAATGCTAGCTCTAAGCTAGAGCGCTGCACACAGAGATGTGGGGAAGGTAGCGGTCAGGATGAAAAACCTTCTAGTGCTGAGCTAAAGAAGGATGCTAGCACATCTAGTCTAAATGATTTATCAAGTATGAAGGGGGGAACTTCTGATTCTAAGGATATGAGCAAAGTTAATGACCTCAAGCAAGATGACAATGGACAGAAGGCATTGACTAATGGGAACAAATCAAAAAAGCTAGTTGCTGTGACAAAGAGAAGTGATGGTGCAGATGGTGGAAATAAATATGGTAGCTCTGATGCTGTAACACCTTTGAAGGCTGAAAAATCTGAAGGCTGTGCCAGTCTTTCCATGTCTGGAGAGTCATCAAGAGGGGGAAATAAGGGGAAGAGTACATTTGGTGTTAAATCAAATTCTCCAGATGCTCCTAAATCAGGCTCTGATATTAATGGAGGGAAAAAAGATAAGAACTTGCAAAAAGTTAAAACAAGTCTTAAGATGAAGAATGAGTTCCAAGAGATGGTTGATTCAGACGAGGCTGATGGTGGAATTTCTAATAAGCCAAAGAAGACCCAACTTGTTCGTGCAAAGCATAATGTGGGAACAAATGAAACTTTACATACTACCAAGAAATCTCCTCTTGAAAAGCCAAAGAGTGCTTCACCTACTGTTGTTGAAGAAAAAGAATTTAAAAAATCAGACTTGAGGAGGTCAACGTCACGTTTGAAAACAGAGAAGAATTTCTCTTCGAGTGTTCAAGCTGGTGTTTTTGGTTCTGATGATTTTAACCATGAAGTGCAACCAAGGGCAAAACATCGTAGCCAAGTCCGACGGGTTAAGTCAGATTCTTCTAGCCCTGCTTCAGATGGAAAAATGGATAGGAGTTCGGTTAGATTGGAAAGTGATGGGAATAATGTTACAGAAAAGGCAGTAAAGAGGAAACGTAGAGCTGTTTGCCTTTATGACGATGATGATGAAGAACCTAAGACGCCAGTCCATGGAGGAACTGCTAAAACTATTAAATCACCTCTGTTTCTTAGAGAGTCAAAGGGAAACAATGCACACTCAGGGAATTCTGATGTTGCTCAGCTGCCCAACAGAAGTTCTAGTGGACTTGAGGATAGCCGGTTGAAGGAATCATCTTCTCAAGTAGAAAATGATTCGTTGTCCAGGCAGGTTAAAAAGGAGAGGACTGAAGAAGGTATTCCTGCCCAGATTGTTCGAAGCCCTGAACATTCAGATTTAAAGCAGCATCCAACGAAAGTGGCAAAAAAAGTAAGCTCCTCATCTCCCATGAAATCACCACATTTGATTCCTTCTTCAAAGTCAAATGCTGAGCGGAACAAATCTTGCAAGTCTGTGAAAGTTTCCTCTAATGATACTCAAAAGAAGGCTGATCTTGTGTCTTCAAAGGGTTTGAATAGTACCAAATCTTCTCAGAATCATTTGACAACTCATAAAAAGAAGCCCTTATCTTCGATGGAAGCATCTAAAACTACTCCTACCTTGAGAGCTGAAGTTCCTGCTGCAACAGAAAACTCAAAGGAGCATGATGGATTTCATGTTGATAGGTACTTATGCTGCTTATGCTTTTGATTCTGATTTGTTCAGAACTGTTTACTTATGTTTCTCTTCTCCTCCCTTGTCTAAATAAATTTTATGGCTTATTACAGATTAGAAGTGGGCATGGATGAGAAAAATAGCCTGTACACTGGTTCAAGGACTGCTGAAGCTGCAAAAACCATGAAGCATCTTATTGCGGCTGCCCAGGCAAAGCGGAGGCAATCTCATTCTCAACTGATTCCTCTTGGGATTCATAATGTTCAGGAAGAGACTCCCAGCCCATCTGCTGTTCAGCCATTTCTTACTGTCTCAAGCAATTTTCCACATGCGGATGTACTGGGAGTCTATGAGCACTCAACATTGGCTTCTCCATCAGCACATCACTCTGCTTCTCTGAATCAACATGAAGCTGAAGAAGCTGAGGAAAGAATAGTTGGTTCAGCGCAAAGGGGGCCGGGTGGCTCACTTAGTGGTGGTACTGAAGCTGCTGTTGCTCGTGATGCCTTTGAAGGGATGATAGAGACTTTATCAAGGACTAAGGAAAGTATTGGACGTGCCACTCGTCTTGCCATTGACTGTGCCAAGTATGGCATTGCAAATGAGGTATGCTCCTTTCTATCATCAATTATGCTTTTTCTTAAATCAAGGCTTCAATTAATGAAGCTTGACCTGTTTTCTCTTGTCAATATCTTTGCCCTCAAAGTGTTCCTAATTTCTGAAGATTTGCAATTCTCATAGGAAATAAACTTCATAGGATTATTGTATTTATAATGCTTATCATTTTTTCTTCCATGTGATTTGTAGATTTTCAGGACAATGGCCTGCTATAGTCACTGTACTCTTCACCTGCTTTGTGTTCCAATAGGGTTGAAATATATACACACAAGGAAATAAGAGGTTGCTATGTAACCCCTGAAACAGGAGAGAAGATTGCAGTAATCTTACAGCGTAACAAATAGGCCCTAATCTGGTGGAATAAAGATGAAAAAAGGAAAAAAGAAAAACAACATAACCATCAAATTCCTTCTATCACGTGACAACTAGCAACGAATTGTTTTGAGAATATTTGACAGTTAAGTGACAGTTAGTCTTGGAAATTGCTTAACGAATTGGTTAGTGTCATCCAAACCATACTCATTGCAATATTGAAGGGAAACACAACCTATGGAAAAAGCTCATCCTTCAGTGATAACAGAGAGTTGGGAATAGTTTTGTGTTGCAAACATTGTGTGGTTTGTAGTTTAATTTGAACTAATATTGGTTAATTATATACATTTTGTATTTTTTCCTTTTGCCTGTGTGGATATTTAAAGATTTTAGACTGTCATAGAATATTCTGGAGTGGGAACATTGTTGATCAGTAGAACTTATTTGGTATTTATGTTACACTTGTTTTTTACTATGCCTATAGTGAGCTTACTTGCAAGGTCATTATGTACAGGTTGTTGAACTTCTTATCCGAAAGCTCGAAAGTGAAACTAGTTTTCATCGTAAGGTGGATTTGTTCTTTCTCGTTGACTCTATCACTCAGTGCTCACACAATCAAAAAGGTAGCTGTGCATGTGCCTGTTTTCTACCCTGCATTCTCAAACCTGAAAGCATGTGTTTTAAGGATTGTTCTCTTAGTGGCATTATTAGTTCTAAGTGTAGAGAAAATTTCAGGCATTGCAGGATCTTCCTACATCCCTACAGTTCAAGCTGCTCTGCCTCGCCTACTTGGTGCTGCTGCTCCACCTGGAGCTAGTGCCCGAGAAAATCGCCGTCAGTGTCTCAAGGTTGGCTCTTCTTATTCCTGTAGGATATGTCAATTAGCTGATCACAGTCTTCCTTTTATAGAGTTAAAAACTTCTTTGTTTGATGGAGTGGTTTGTGTGATTTTACTTTTTTTATTGAGGTTATGTCTATGCGACATTTATTTGTTTTATTTTGTTGTTTGATTGATTGCAGGTTTTAAGGCTGTGGCTTGAGAGGAAAATCTTCCCAGAGTCTGTGCTTCGTCGATACATGGATGACATTGGAGTTTCCAATGATGATATGGTTGTTAGCTTTTCTTTTAGACGTCCATCTCGGGCAGAGCGGGCAGTGGATGATCCTATTAGAGAAATGGAAGGCATGCTTGTGGATGAGTATGGAAGGTATGACGTTCCCTTTAGTTTTGTCAATCTTGGTGAATCATCTTTGAAAATTACATATGATAGTTAAAAAGTTACGTTGTTATCAGTCAAGGACATTGTTTGGTGCTTTGTTGTGATGTTTGGTTCAATGCCTGGTTCAGCAAGTGTATATTATTAGATATGCAGTGGGATTGGGTGACTTCGCTGCATGTTTAAGTTTCTTTTATTTTGGTTTTGTCATGGTTTTCAACTTTGTTCTAGGAGGGTGTCCTGTCCTTCTTGGCTCCTTTTTTTTTTTTTGGCTAAATATAATGTTGTAAAAGTTATATTTAATGAATGATGATAATGATAACGTTGTGGACTAACTAAATGTAGCAATTCTGGTTCATTTGCTGTTGTGATAATTTTGCTACCCTTTACACATTTAAGACGAAATGTGTCCATACTTTTGAAAAGTCTTGTATCGAGTTGTTACTACAGATTTGGTATGAAATGGTTTGATTAAGGTGCTAATTTGCATTTGCCTATTCTACCTGTTTGGACTTGTAAGCAGCAACATATGCCTTTATTATTCATACTGTATGTTTGAGAAGAAAAATTTTATTTGTTGATTATTAATTTTTATTTATACTCATTTTTGCTAAATAATTCATATTTCTGATTTTGCCATATTTCTGTATCTTTATGTCAGCAATGCTACATTTCAGTTGCCTGGTTTGTTATCCTCGCATGCATTTGAGGAAGAGGAGGAGGACGATCTTCCTAATGGCTTATTTAAAGATTTACATGATGTATCTCCAGCAGATCCCACTCCAACTATCGGAGAATCAGAAACTTCCACTATTACCCCTAGCGATAAGCGCCACTGTGTCTTGGAGGAAGTGGATGGTGAGCTTGAAATGGAAGATGTTTCAGGTCATCCAAAGGATGAAAGGCCTGTAATATTAAATAATTCATCAGAAATGGACTTCCAACTTGAGGGGTCAGATAGGAAATTAGATTCTGCTTCTAACGTCTCTGCAGAGATACCTGCTTCTGATGGTTCTCCACCATTGCCACTTGATTCGCCCCCTCCTCTCCCTCCTCTGCCTTCCTCACCTCCACCACCACCGCCTCCATCATCTCCATCTCCTCCACCGCCACCACCTCCACCACCAGTGATGCAACCTGCACCTCCTCCCTTGCCACCTGCAGGTCCTCCACCATCATTGGTTCCTCAATCATCCGGACCATGTTGGCCTTCAATGCTTGCACAACCTATAATGCCACCTCAACCATCACTCCAGTCGTCACCGCCACGGGGGTTTCAGCAGAGTGTATCTCATGACTATAATAGCGGTAGCGCAACAAGTGTAAGTCTTTTGAAGTTATGATCCCACGTGTCTGATTAACATCCTTGCAGTCATGATGTTGACTTGTGCAGTCTTTTATACAGGGTAATCAAATAGTTCAAATGACTGGAAATTCCTTTCCTGGAGGTCTTAATAATGCCGTTGTGAAGGGTGAAATGTTCCCACCGCCTGCTCCAACGGCTGGCTGCAGTTCGCAGGAGCCTACTGGCTTTAGGCAACTAGAGTATGGGCAGAATGATATGTATCTAAGTGGTCAAGGTCCTCAACTTAATCAGCAATTTCAGCAGGGTAACCCCGCATTTGCTCAGAGACACATGCATTCTGCTCCACCCCAAAATCCATCAAATCAGTTCTCATATCCAAAGCCCACAGTTCAACAACTTCCTCATTCATTCCACCCTCCCTACTCTATGCCATCCCTTCCTGATAGCCGGAGGCAATTTGCTTCTGATGAACAGTGGAGGATGCCATCAAGCGATTTTAAAGCAGCTAACCAACTTGGTGCATGGAGAGGGAGAAACCCTCCGTGTCCAGGTCCACCCTTTGGACAGGAAGGTACGTGAATAATCTTAGGTTACAATCTGTTAGGTTTGTTATAGTTCTTTTCTTTTTTCTTTTTGTTGTTCTGGACTATATTATAAAACATGATTTTGTCTTTTAGTCTGTAGTATAGTTCTCATGGTGTTGCATCTCGTGAAGGTCGTTGGTTCTCCACCATGTCCTTGTGTTTTGCAATTGGCTTTTCTGTTGCTATTCAATTGTGTGTGGTATTGTCATAAGATCAGCCAAGATGTGTTTCAGATTTCTTCTACCTTGATAATGGCAGGGTACTTTCGACCTCCAATTGAAAGGCCACCAAACAACATGGGTTTTCAGTGTTCTAACCCAGGCAACTTATCTGCTGCTCCTCCAATATCAGGTGACTTTTGTCTATTGGTTGATCTTTTTTTATCTTCAGCATCCTTTTTAATGAGATGTGAATCATCAAGATCTTTTCTTTCTCCCATTCAGGACACAGTGTTCCTCAGATGTTGCCCTGTAGGCCAGACATGCCCACTCTTAGTTGTTGGAGACCCACTTGACGCTAAATTGGAGTTTTCATTAGTTTTAAAGTAAGTTTTTTCATGTTTTAGAGGTTTGCTTTCTGGCATAATAGTGGGTTGACTGTTTGGTTGAAACATAAGCTTGCTTTTTTTTTTTTTTAAATATAAAAAACTTTTTATATCTCACTTGCAAGTCATAATTTACAAAGCTTAAAATGAGATTTTTACTTGTATAATTGACCCACGGTTTTTGGGAATAATTTAATAATTGAACGAAAAAGGAAGTACAGAGGCTCAAAGGTGACTCTCCAGTTTCTCAGTGCATATATTACGTTAAGAATTATGAAGATCAATGCAAAATACAGAAGGTCTAAAGAGCCGCAAGCTGTGAAGATTCAAGCTCATCTTGGGTTCTGTGCAAATATATGTCACCTACTAGAGTTCCCTTCTAAAAATGAATGAGCTGATGTTGATGAAGATTTAAGAAAAAAATTATCATATCTTGAAGAAGTTGCAGGTGTAAAAGAACCTCTGAAATTTCATGTGGCACCATTCTCCCATTGAAAGGGGCATAGCTCAACTGTGCTGTTATCCTTTCTTAACGCTGTGTTTTGAAATGTAACCTAAGCAGATGCGACTGCTAGATTCATACCTTCTATAGCAAATGGTGCAAAATCAGTGTATAAAGCATTTGCAACTTATATAGCCAGATAAATCCAAGTAACTTATCTTTTGTTCTTTTTTGTGTTTTTCTTGATCAAAGTTATTTTCACTCCAGTTACAGATGAGATTGGGCAATAATAATAATTGGTGCCCTCGTAATTTCTGACTTTCATGGGGCAACTCCGTCTCTAGTTACTCAAATGCGAATAGTGCCATATGTTTGGGATGTGTAAGGCTTTCTGGCATGGGGCGCTATAGAAGAGCTCTGTCTAATGGACTTAGGTTCTTGAAGTGGTGGAGAAAAAGAATCAACATATATCTAATGAGAGAATGATTACATGTAAGAAAGTAAGCGCGCGCGCGCACACTATTAACTTTAGCTTTTCAAGCTTTAGTTCATAATTAGAATTTAAAAACACACGGAGAAAAATAAGATATTTCATATATTCAGTTTTCCCTTTCAGGGTCTGTCTGCAGATTCTGGTTCTTAGTTTTTGGCTTTGATGAACATGGGTGAGGTTTTATATAAAATATCATAAATCGGAATATTTTCTCAGTAAGAGGAAAAGGTGGAAAAGAAATGGGTTGGGTGGGCCAGACTAATTCATTGGAGATGATTGAGAAGAAAATTGCTGGGTTCTTTATAGCCTGACTATTGTAGTAGTTACCAGAGTTGGCAGAAATTGGCAACTAACACTTGTGGTTTGACAAGTGGGTGGACTTTTAAATTTCTCTTAATGTGCAGCTATTCAGAAACAAAAAATAAAATAAGTTAGCTTGAGTTTCACTCAGGTGAAGTTGGCATCGGTGGTGTTTCACACATTCAAGCAATACTTGTTAGCAGAGGCTAGGATGCTTCTATCACTTTGTTTTGCCTCAGCACCTTAGGCATATTTCATCTGCACCTTTGAATATGCTTCTTCTGGGAGATCTCCTCGGTTATAACTTGCTTGGACGCAATTCCTTGCCAGTGTATAAAATAGATATTGGACAGTGGAAACCATGTGTCCCTTTTTGTATGGGATGAAATTTTCTGTTAAAACCAAAAAGATTTTGATTTGTTAGTATGTGTTAATTTTTACTTTAAAGACTATTTACTTCTCTGTATTGACTTATGACTGCTTATCATCTTTCAGTGATGTGGCTGGTTAATAAGCAAGGTTACATTCTGTGCCTCAGTAAGACTTACCTGTGGAGCACCTACAACTACCACTCAGAAAATTTTGAAGACTTGTGGAGGCTTTTGGCAGGACTGTGTATATTGTAATTTTCCCTGACAATGTATCCCAGGAACATTTGCTTCCAAGTTATAGGCCGTATTTCTGACTTGGTTAGTTTATCTGTTTCCCATCTCTTGTAAATTGTAATTATTACATAATATTTAGATGGAGAAATTAGTTGTAGGCACTTAATTTCATCTAACTTGATTAAATTGTGATTTATTATAGAACAAAAACCCAAAGTGCCAGACATTGCAAACAATGAGATATGGACATTTTTATTTGTTTTCTTTTCTATCGACAAACTTTAAAAGCTGGTTTTAGAGTGTGCAACACCACCAAGCTGAACCTTTATAGCATGAAGATATTAATACTACTAATCCTACTACTACTATTGTTATTATTATTGTATATAATGTTTAGCAGATTTATTTGTGCCTCTATTTCTATGTTCTATAGTAATATTTGATCTTTATTCTTGGCTTTGTTATTTCCCTTGAGGGAGAATTTTGTTGCAAGTTTGGGTGATGATGAACTAGTTTTTATTTATTTATTTATTTTTTGGGTCGGGACATTAACCATACTAGGAAGATTTAAGATCTTCTATGCATGCTTTTCAAACGAAAATTAGAGTATGGATTCACGGCATGATGAATTTCTAATATTTGTGTTTATTATGTTATGAATGAAATGAGGTGCCAACCCCTTCTGGTTATTTATATAAAGGTCCTTGTTTATAATTCTTATCAAGAAAAAATTTTGTTTTGATGGGACGGGTACATAAGTAGGATGGGAAACCCTCTCTGAAAAGTTAGGTATGTACACAGTGCATTACATTGTGTTCTCAATGTGTGGCCTAAGCATATTATATCTTGGTTATCCTTAATTGTTCCCTCCTCCCATGGAGAGCAGTCATCTCGGTCTGCACTTCAACCAACTTACTCATTAGTCAGAATTCTCTACTAGTCAAGGTTCTCTGTATTACTGACCACCAACTTTGATTCTAATTGATGGGCATCCACATGGGGTGGGGAGTCCTCATCTAAGAGCTAGCTATTGAGGTTCAAGAATATTGCCCCTTAGAGCATGTTATATTGCTCAATGTGGGGCTTAGGCATTTCATACTATCTTGGTTTCTGGCATCATGTCTTTTTCAAACAAAGATTCTTTGTCATATCTCAGTGGTTGTAGTTTTCTCTAAATTTAGTGGTCCTTGAGGTTCCGAAACTAGGTCTTTGTTGGCATCATTTTGTGAAACAGTCAAAAATAAAAATAACTCAACATCATAAACTTTAGTCTTGGTAGATAAGCAACAAATGACAAAAATAATCAACAGGCATTTTCTTTAATGCTCATGATCACTTGCATTTTATTTTTGCATTTTTCTTGCCTTAGCTTTGCATTACAGGAAAATGCTTAAAAATTGGTGCATTGAGGTGTTCGGATCTCGGCCTCACTCAGCCTTAAAATATAGGTGCAAAAATCTAACCTGTCGATCTCTTATGAATCTGGAGCAGTCAAGTAAATTTATAGACACCGACCTGTGAGTTTGAAGGGAACCCAATTTTTATACAAGTCAACCAACATGCTTTAGTGTATTGGCCTTGTTATGCACGCTGAAACATATTATCTTGAATGTATTGAATGCAGTGTGCACACCAATGACGTGCATATCATGTTATGATTTTTTGTTATACATGAAATGTGTGTGCATTATTACATTTAGAATTTCATTTGCAGCGTGTGTTGTATGAATTATGTACCTCTAACTTTCTTTTGCCTTTCTGCAAAAAAATTACTTGTGGATAGAATAAGCATCAATCTGCCTTGCCTTTGGATTGGTGCATGGTTTTGAAACATTTCAATGTTGATGCCATGCGATAGTTTATGGGAATGAGCACACATGAAATTAGATTTATTGCCCCTTAATCTTTTCATATTGCTGAGGAGGAATCTGGTCTCTGAATAAGTTGATTGCTTCAGGTATTGGCAAAACAAACAGAGAGATGGTCGTTTCTCAGGTTTTAAATGTGATCACCCACCCTAGGAATAAGGTCAAACTTCATCACATACAAACACTGCTGATCATTGAGGTAAATATCTGACACGGAATCTAGACCAGACATTACCTTAATTATGTAGTTTACTGACTCCAAGTTCTATGGAAGGGCATCTATCATTGTAAAGATAGTTCTGATTGATGCTTAAGAACTTCGGTAAACATAATTTTGTGAATGTTTTACTCTGCTGTACATTACAATTCTAAGTTATTTCTTTTTATTGTATAATACATCCGTCTCTCCATGCAGTTAGCGTTCTTATAAAAAGTACAAATAAGAAAGCTGCCATTAGCTGCTTAAATATACTTGGTTCACAGCCCTGCCTGTCTATTTGGAGTGCTAATATGCTGATGACTTGCTACAATAGCTAGCAACTGATTTATCGCAATACACATAGATTTCACATGCATAATTTCCGTGCTTAGTTGCGAGGGGAAGATAGGAGTTTGTCAGTACTTGTCTTTTTTACTCTCATGTTAAATTTGAAGGAGGTTATAATTATGCTGATTCTCTTTTACTAATAATTGAAAGATAAAGAGGCATGATATTAGCAGTTGTAAATGAAATGGTCTGCTCGTGACGGAGATAGATGAGTAAAGGGCTAAGACAAAGTGTTGAGAAGGGTTGTTTAAGGACGTGTATTTACCCGGTTAAATAAAAGACATAAAGGCTGTTGTTTTCTCCTCGTTAATAGGGTCCTTTTTTCCGTCATAAGTGGTGGGGGGTGGGGGGGGGGGGAGAACTGAGTGCCATTTGGTGTGGGAGATGAGATGACTATGGAACACATCTGATCACTGATTTTAATATTGGATTTGGTGATATTTGGCACCGATTGTTTTGAAATTAGTCAACTTCGGATTACTGGTTAATTTTGCGCCCTATTCTATCTTTAAGATTGACGAGGACAAGGTTTGAGGAATGGAAGATTTTGTTGTGGGTTCTTCTCCATGGTTGAAAATAAAGGCTAAGCTATAGTATGGGTTTGTAGTTGATGCGAAGTATGTGCACCCCAGCGCACAAGTATGATTAGAGCAAGTATGGGTTGTCATTTTATACATTTCTTCTCACATTCAGTTTTAATCATGCTGTGTATGCAAAAGAGGAATGCCGCGGAAACATTTCATTTTCACTTGGGGATACAAGCTAATGTATTTGACGCCATATATCAATTCCTTTATCTATATTATTCACTTGAGAAATTAGAAACTGATAAACGTCGTCTTGTGTATTGCTTAACTAGGAATTCCATTTCAATTTAACACGCAGAAATTAATTTTGGTTGTAAAATTTAATGTACTGTGGAATTGCTTAGTGCCTTGTTTGAATGGTGTAGTTCTTTAGAACCATATTTCGGTTTCTTATTTCATAAAGATTAATTAAGAGAAAATGGTATAGTAGAACGTTCTGGTATATGGGAGCTTCCTTCAATCTAACATCACAACGATTTCAGTAATTTTAAATCGTTTTGTAATATCCACGCGTTGATTCATGGATGACATTCCGTTCACTTTCAAAACTTCAATAATAGTTGACTGTAAGGTACTAACAGGGTTACTTTTTTCTGAACTGATGAATAGATTAGGCGGTTGAGCGTTCCTTTTACCATGTTACGTACTCCCTCTTCAATTATGTATATTTATGTGAAAATGTTGATTAAAAAAATTGCCAGCTAGAACCTGGCCAAATTGACAAATAATGTCTGTTGAAACTTCTCTCTTTTTATTTTGTTTCCAGTTGGAAATAAATCATTAAGTGCAGTGATTAGATCAGCCTCTTGAACCGGAGGGCTATTAAACTAATGCTCTGCCATAAGTTGTGCGAACCAAAGTTGGTATCACCAGGATTGGGCACCATGTGTAAAGCAAGAATGCCATAATTACAGGGACTACTCCTTTCGTTTCTATTCTCTCAACGTGGCTAAGGAACAAAAGACCATCGAGCAAAGTTTGTCTCCATGGTGAGTCATTGGTAATTCGATCATTCTGTTCAAGGCTTAAATGCGAAGGAGCAACAAGACTATAAGAGAAACTGTAGATAAAAAAAAAAAAAAAAGAGAAGCTGTTTAACGAGTGATATGTGATATTTGATTCTTCTAAAAGAAGAAAGGAAAAATCTAATTTACCTCCCAATATATCCATCATTAACACAGTTGCTTGTGATTTGGAGAGCCTGGTAAAAGGATCAAAATTGTGTAAGCTACTATATATGTTTATCGAGTGCCGCCTTGCTTCTTCGAACAGTTGTGGGTTTGGGCAAGCCATCAAACATTGGTTTTGCAGCTGCAAAGGCCTGAAAATCTGGTCTTAAACTCCATTTTGAGGTTGGCCATATAAATGATGGGGAGTTATCCTCGTCATATAAACATGATGCGCTGGATGATTTCTTAACACCAAGAGGACCATCAGTTCGGAATATATCCTCCAAACCAATTGGCCCGGAATTTGAGCCACTAGCCTCTGAGTCTGCGGTCAGTGAAGCTCGGCTTGCTGATTTCTGTCTGAGAGCCAAGCCTTTTCCTGTTCTTGATGGGAACCCAGAGCTGCTGCTATTATCCTCCCTCAGGAGTGTCTCCGGTGCGGCGGGCACAATATCAGGCTGTTCCTCAATCTCACTCAAAATGATATCAACTAGACTTCTAGATTTTCGGTGACGACTCAGGGGCTGGTGGGGCGAAGCTGAGTCTTCGGAGAAGTCAGAAGCCCCTTTTCTGTTCACTGCCATCTGGAAGTCATCGGATGTGGTTTTCTTATCCGTTGGTCTTATTCTGTAGAAGCCTTGCAAAGAGTTCCCAGCAGAGGAGGCCTTCCGCTGGGGAGAATTTGTTGTCAAATGTTGCAAATCAAACAGTTCATCCGATGTCCTGTATCTGCAGAGCAGGGGAGCATTTTGGTCATCACTATATCATATGTTAAAATCACCCACACCCAAAAGAAATGCCATTAACATTTAACAGATTGTGTGTACCGCAACTATTATAGAGTTTTCATTTAAGAGGGAAGCGGAGAGGGATACTTGTGTAGTTTATGTTTTCACAGCTTGCTATCTTTTAGCCAAGTCAGCAAACTATTTCATTTTTTTATATTTTGCCTGAGTTCAAATTCTTACCTTCGATGTTTGCCTTCTTTATATATTAATAAACTTTATGGGCGAAAGAAATCAATGGAATATGGCAAGTGCAAATAGATGTTTATGCGTCGCAATTGATGCATTGCAACTTTTTTTTTTCGTTTTATTTTTCCAATGCATGTTTTAGTACTGCGGAAAGAGATAAATAAATTAAATAGAATAACATACTCTTATTTGTATGCATACATATATTGACATATCTATTTTATTTACTAAAACAATTAATTTCTTATTTACTTTTCATGCTAAGGAATCCAAATTATTTATGCATACATATATGAAAACACGCAAGAAGAACTTTTGTATTTCCAATAGTTTAGTAACTGAGTTTCTTTATAAGCCCAACTTATATTCCGAGGTGTTAAGCCATAGTAAATAAAACAGTGGCAAAACATTATAGAGGTGGCCAGGCACCATGGCGTCGCCAAGCAATTGGTCGAAAAATCCTACCTAGGATGCAAGGCTACTCCTTTGAAAGCACACCATTCAAGAGAATAGTGAGAATCATGAGGCAATACCTACTGGGCGACAGCTACACCAAATGTCCCTAGCCATTACTATCACCACCTTGTTTTTACCATTGGCCATTGCTGCATTCCACGCAATCTCTCAGGCACTATCAATGTCATTGCCTCAATTTATCCGCATTACAATTCCTACACCTTTACTTAAATTAGACCCTGTTGGACAAACGACAATCTTACGATTCAACTGCATCACTATACGCCTCTCAAACATGAAGTAGATAAATTAAACCAGCATCATGGTTATCAGATATCTAGAACAGCAAATTCCAATCACGTACTAAACTGTCATATTAGTCTACTAGCCTAGATAAATAGAATTATGAACAGTAGTAATGCGAACAACTTCTTGGTAAAAGGGATTTGGAATAAAGGAATAATTTGAAACGGTAATTTTACAAATAGTTAGGAAGTTGCTCTTTTAACTAATGGCAGTTGGATGGCGGGCGCTAGTGACTTGCCTTGGGTGCATTAAGGCACGAGGGGTTCTCTTGGGATTTAGGTTCTGACGTAACAAGAATTCAGTTCCATTATTCCTGCTTCCCTAAAAATTCTGTCTACCTACATATTCCTTCTCTTCTCCTATATCTTCTTCTACGTCTTTTTTTCTTATCAGTGGCATCATAATAGCATTATAAACATAGAAGGGTTCAAAATAGATGATAATAAACGTTATAACAGAAAAAAGGAAAATCTGTAATGTATATAATATCTCTTGTTTGCTCTCTTCTTTTCTTTTTTGACCAGCTGCTCTCTTCTTTTCTTTCACTTTGCTTTCTCCATTTTAAATTTTTGGTGTGTATAGCATTCTTTTTCAATAGATCTTGCTCTAAAGAATATCTATTATTAAAATATTTATTATTATATATCAACAATTATACCATAGCATCTCACTTTAGATCAAACTTCAGCCTCAACTTTATGTTCTTGCATTATTGACCAAAAAGATTCTATATTCATAAATGAACAAAAATCAATAGACTGAGGTTTCTGTGTACCGTTCCTCAATTCAGCAGACATACGTACCCTGTTGTAGTGGAATCATCTGACGGAGGGTGTCTTCCCCGTAGTGGGATGTGAAGAGTTTTAAGAGCAAACATCTGAAGGTCTGTAACGAGGCCATTCATTTTTTTTATGTCTGATACCTACAATTGATCAAAGCGTTATAGTTGAAGAAAGAAGGACTCCATCATAAGATTCATATTATAAAGTGAACGGAACTTTGGAATTTGGCACAATTTTCCCCTTTCTGAACGGATGAGTAATGCAGCAAAGTATTTAGTTAAAAAAAAAAACTAGTAACTTGTCAAAAACGGATTTCATATGGTAGCATCAAGAAGATTCAAATGCTTTAGGTGGTTTGATTTTTCCCCCCAGTCAACTTCCGTTGCATCAAGCTTTCATGATTGAACCCAAAACATTTTGCACCACAATAGAAAGATGTTCTACCCTCAACAAGGACAAAACTGCACGTGGTCTGATTGACATTACTGTTTGAACATGATCATTCAGCATCAAATCAGATTATAGAATAAAAAAAGGGGACAAGAAATGATTGAAGAAATACCTCAACGCCGTACTTGATTGCGATTCCAGCGAGAGTGTCCATTTTGGAGACAGGATGCTGGATGTAGCCTAGGCTAGGAGGAAATGCACTGGGTGGAAGGGGCGGGCTATGCTTTCTATTGGATACGCATCGATCTAAGACGAGATCATCATATTCAGACAAAAACTGATGATTATTTCCATTGTACTCTTTCCACCTGTAGCTTTCCATTTGAATTTCCCGAATCAACAAACGAATCCCATATGAAATGTTATCGTAACTTGAGCGATATGAGCCTTAGGAATTGAAAAGGGTATTTCGATTATCGAGAAAGAATGGAATGGAGGAATTTCCTTCGTGTTCTTCTCTCTTCCTCAATTCCGATCACTGTTTCTTCCCCAATCTCCGGGTAGCTCCTTCCCATTCCTTCCTTTGGAGAAAATGAAATAAAATAAAATATTGAGATACGAAATCCAGTCAAAGGCTTAGCCATAAGCCATTTTTACTTATTTGACGTATATTAATTTTATCATCGTGATATTTTCCTTTTTATCATTATTTGAAATGAAAATTATGTTCTTCAGTTTTTTCTGAGTTAATAATCAAAGTCAAACTATGAGTAATTATTTGTACTTGATTATTGTCACATAATCTTATCCTCGTTGAAAGCGCACATCGGAAGATTAGAGACTTCTCTGGCTGGTCAAACTTTCCCATTACACTGAGGGCCGGCCGGTCCAGTTTGTGGGAGGGGAAGGCTCACCTCCACTCAGATAATAAGACTCCAATATTACCACAAAAAGATTTTTTTAAAAAGGGAATTAGGTAACTCGTTTCCAGTGAACTAGATACATAAATCTACAGTTTTTTTTTTTTTTTTCAACATTTAGAACATATTGAATCTAAAATAACAATTCGCTCAATGTAATGCAATTTTTCATTTGTCATGCGAAATTATATAAAAGACTGCAGGAGTTCTTGAAGTGACCATTTTCAGATTTCATCTCCGGTATTGTATTCTTGTGATCTTCGTAGGTCTTAAGGAACTAATGTTTGTCATCGACAATGAGATACTAATGCCATTTTGGGAAGAAAAAAAAAGAAAAAAGAAAAAACAGAATGTGAGCTACAGCCACCGGAATGAACGATGAAACAAAATTCGGGTGGCAATTTCTATATAATTACGATGCGGTTCACACAAATACCCAACGGCTTCCATACAAAATACTGCATTTCTTAAGAAACAGCATCGTTCAACCAATCCTCCTCATCTTCCTTGTCTTCTGAATCTTCTTCATTACCATCCTCATCTTCAATGTCCTCTGAATCTTCCCCATTCCCATCTTCATCTTCGTATCCACTATTTCCATTCTCCCGCGTCTTGTCATCATTTTTTCCATTGCCACCATCGTTCCCTAACAAGGGAGGGGAATCCAATTGCAGATTTCAAAAAATCGTGATTAAGGGAAATGAAGAAAGGAAGACAAAGGAAACTGTCAGAGGAAAATAGACCACAGGTGATGAAACCAAGCAACCATCTGAGGAGAATGACAATCTCCACTCTACAACGAGTATCGTCACCTCTCTAGCGGTGATTTCTTTCAACATCAATAATAATTGTTCAATGAAAGAACGCTGGCCGGATTAATATTAACCGCCGTCCAAGACTCTGAACGCTAAGCAATTTGCCATTCCTAGTAACAGATAATTTTCTTCCTGAAGGAAAAATAAGAGATACTGTACCATATTCACTGAAGAGGACTTCACCCGAACACAGCCCTTTTTCAACCTTGATTAGTTTGAGTGTCATCCTGGGCCCGACCTCCTGAAGTTTCACAGCACTTTTTGTAGAAGCACGATTAACTCTACCGAGATCACTTGCCAAAGTCACTGTTGCTGCTTCATCATCTGCTTCACTCTCTGATCCATATCCAGCCCTTCCAAAGCACAAATAAACGAAACCTTAGAACAAGAACAAAAAGAAAGAGGAATATCCAATATGAGTAACTCTTTTCTGTTCTCAACACAATTTTTCTCCCATTTCCCAATTTCTGTTCTTTCTCAGAATGTAGAAGATTCTCATAAAAAGAACTAAGCAAGAGTACAATTCAAGAAATATTTCAAAGGAGAAGAATCCTTAAAAAAAACATTGGGATAAAGCCCGTTAGGTTCTTGACAAAATTTTTCGGAAAATCAATCGGAAATAAAATTTCAGACTAATACAAACTCAGGAATCTCAATAGCAAATCAGGCCTTCATGTTTTAAATGTAATTCTCAGTTTGCAAATGACAATCCCATTTGTAATTGTTTGGATTGATATTTTTAAATTAATTTTTCAGAAAATTTTATTTGGGACCTGTCATTAAATGAATATTTTGGGTTCTGACTGACATTCTCCCAAGACCATTTGGTTAATTAATTTGCATAACCGTCTCAGATGTCAATCTCAAGTTCTCGGGTAAGTACTTCAAAAAACATAAGGGCAACAGATCAGGAAAACCTAACTACAAATACCATGAATAAACTATAACAGCTCTCTTCACATCCATTATTTAAAGATTAAAAACAAAAAGCAAGATAAATAAAAGAGTTAAGCAAATATCTTACTTTGCGATAAAATCACTCACATCATGAAGATTCCTTAAATCAGGGACCTGATGGTTTTGCACAAATTTTCTTATTCTGCGTGAAACACCTACAGGTTGTAACCTTATGGAATAATGCCGAAAATCAATAAGCTTCGTCTCTTTGTTGTAATTAAGCAACACAATTCTCTGGCAAGAGGAGAGTTTAACCTGAAACAAAACATTAAGCAACAATAAGGACTTGCACGTCCGGTAATTCATTAAGCGTGCTGTGGGGTTTAATACTTACAGTTTTAACATCAATTGTTGGGAATATGTTCTGAAACATGTTAGTTGTAAGCTGTAGATGAAGGTCTCCACTCACAAAACCAGAAAGCACAATCTACCAAATAATTAACCAGCATAGCAAATAATGATTTCTCAACATTCTACTAGCAAACTATAAGAACTGGAAATTGAAGACAAAAGCAAGGAGCTTTCAAAGAACGGCTGGGGATAAGATGTTTTACCAGAGCTGAATTTTTGAAAAGATCTTTTGGGCATCGAGGACGCAACTGAGACTGAGCAATGTCTGCTGCCAATGAGTATTCATTTATTTTAAAAGTAAGAGTAGGTCCTTGAGGGGTTGTTGCAACCCTCAAATAAGATCCAGTTGCAGTTTTTGACAATATTAGGAAATGTGTAACACCCATAGGTCCAGCAACATTCAGAAAGTCTTTCAGATTATTTCTTTTCTTTTCCTACAGACAGAAGAAAAAATGTATATTCAAGAAAAAACGTTTCAAACTGGAGCAATATATGCAAATACATGCAGAGTGCCGTCTGCAGATTCCTAATGAATTACAACTTGCTGCAAATCAATAATCTGGCTGAGAAACATCAACATTTGCAAACGTCAAGCAACCAATAATCAACTTTAACTTCCAATAGTGACAGTCAAAGAAGCAATTTTCTTCATGTTTTAAACCCTTCATGGTATGACAGTCATTTTACAATCAAGTAGACACTTCATAATAGTAAATTCCAAGAATGCACGCTTCACTTCTAATTATGTTCATAGAGATCTGCCCATTTGTTAGACTGGCAAGCATACAGATGGTGCTTCACAATTAAAAAAAAAAAATTCTTATAGTTGGATTAATCTTGTGTAGATAACATATACAGCAGAATATGAATAGAAACTCAATAAAAAGGGGAAAAAAAATAGAAACATCTACCTTGAGGTTGAGAGCAGTATAAGGCAGCATCAACTTTCTCAGGTCCATCTGAAGCTGCTTGAGAGGACCAGGCAACTTCCCTCTTGAAAACACAAAACTCTTTGGGATTTTCTTTCCCGTAATAGGATCCACAGACGGTTGCTGTTGCTGCTTCTGATTCTTGATGACAACAGGCTTTCTAAAGAAGTTTTTCTTTTTCCTCTGTTTCATTCAAAAGGATAACGAGTAACAACAAACGGTGAAGCCAGAGCTGAAGACCATAAAATAGAAGAACCAGAAGGGGGGATGAATTTCTGTCGGATGGCCCAGAAACTTGAAGAAAATCTAGCGCCCAATCCAGTAACAAGGACACCCGTACATAGACAAGAAAAGATTCAAACTAACAGTTCTAAAGAAAGAGCAAGAGTGAATAGCTCATCTTACCATGGTTGGAGGAAGAATGACTCTGCAGATCCCGAAGGAATTTAGCCCCACTTGGCGCAGTATTTATGGAGTCTGATAGTGCAAAAAGAGTTGCAGCAACACTGTCAAATAGATAATTCAAGCTCACCATTAAACCCAGCAAAGTTTGGGTTAAACATTTAAGCACAAGTTTCAATTAGTTGTAGGATAAATTAGAGAAGAAGAAGGGGGAAAAAAAAAAAGAAAAACAATGAGCAGTCCCCGTTTAGACACCTCCGTGTGAGGGGGGCGGGGGGACGAAGTTACTAGGAAGGGGTTTTTGGGGTGGTGAAGAAGAAACTAAAAACAAACAGCGAAAGAGAGGGCGAACACACACCAAAGATGGAAGACGCAGGAGAAGCCGCAGATGGTGAGGCAAGGACGGCGGCGCCAAGCTCAAAGTTCGGTAGCCAGGAATGGAGGGCTTTAGTCCAGGCTCCCCGAGATGGTTACAACTTTGGAGGGGGAAAAAAACGTTGCAATTTTTTTTAATAATAATAAAGTTAATACCATGCTCATGAAATTTGATAGGCAGAATTATTGTGAGGTTTAAAAATAAAATAATTATTGACAAAGTCTCCGTGACAAGTGTGAGTAGTTGAAATATGTTTCTATTTTTTACATTAAAACTTGTTATTACAAACTATATGAAATTTTTTAGTAATAGTTTTATTTTTTTGAGATATAGCAATAAAATCTAAAACCAGTAATTTTAATTCCTAAAATTTGACTTTTTTTTTGTTTTAATGCTTGAAGTTTGAAACTAATGATTCTAGTTCCTGAAATTTCATCTCATTTTGGTCTGCTTGAAGATTTTTTTATTCTAAAACAGTATTTTTTTTCCTTTGAAACAGTTATCAAAATCAAAATGATGTTAAATTTAAAAGATGAAAATAACTAATTTCAAATTTTATAAAATAAAATTCAAATGAAGTCAAATTTCAGAAACTAAAATCAATTGTTTCAAATTTCAAAAACCAAAATGATATTAATCCAAAAATAACAAATATATTTTTTTTGGGTGACAATAAATAGAGGTGTTTGCTTCGATATTATTATTAGATCAATTTTTTGCCAACTATTATCACATCACAACTCAACGATAAATCATTAGTATCCCTAGATTAAGGGATACAAATCTACTATTTTTAACTTAAAATAACTTAAGTTTAAAGGTTTTTTTATAGGAAAAAAATTTACATCAAGTTTCTTATATTCATTATATCAAATTCTCCAATTACATATGGACATGTATTTTTTTTGTTTTATGTGGGTTTATAATTGAATATTATTAAATGCTAATGTTTAGAAAAGAGAAAACCATATTGAAAGTACCTATACTTTCTCTCAATTTTTAATTTGGTACCTATGTGTTTTTTTTTCTTTTAATTAAACATTTAATTTTATCTTTTTAGCAACATTAGCTCTTATAACTTTGTTCTATTGATATTTTTAGTCTCTACATAAGGATTAATGATGTTAATAGAGCAAAATTAAAGATTTAGTTAAAAACAAAAAACACATAGGTACCAAATTGAAAATTGAAAAAAAGTTTAAATACCTCCAATATGGTTTTCCCTTTAGAAAATAGTATTGTCTTTTTTTTAAGGGAAAATATATATGCAGGTCCTTATAGTTTAACTGACTTTTGAATTAGGTCTCTGAACTTTATTTTCTTTTTATCAAGTCCTTATATTTTAAACAGTTAGAGGCATCCATCCCTTAAGTTTAAAACTGTTATTGAAACACTAACTGTGTATAACTCCGTTTATATTTGAATGAGGTGGCGAATGACTATATATATAGGTGGATATGTAAGTCCAGTTAGGCTGTGACTGGACTCCTCTCTTCCCATCATAGAATAGAAAAGGAAGAAAGCAGGACGAAGCAAATGAACAAGCAAACGTCTGGAAGAACAATTGAGCTAGCCAAGACTTAACAATATGTGGGGAGTGAACAAGCAAAATGCAGGACCAATGCTGAAAGGAGCAGGCAAATACTTGAAGCAAGTAAAAAGAACAGCAAAGCAAACACCCAAGCCTTAGCAAAATATGAATGAGCGAGCGAACATAAGTCTCAACAAGAGAGAGGTCTGACATAGATTTTGAAGTGTCTATCAAAGCACACAATCTGATGAGTCTCCAATTCATGTTCCTTCAATGTTTATGGCGTCATTTCTTCTTGTTCTTCTTCTTGATGAGGGAAATGGATTTGGGTGGATGATGAAAATGGAGGCTCATTGTTATGTTAAATTAAATACCAAGCAATTGATTGATGATTAATATTGCCTCGTAAATTCCTCAACTCAACACAATTCACCAGCAACATATACTCATGTTGTGAATTTCAACTTTGACATGAACTCCAATTTTGTCTAGAAAGAAAATAGAAAAGAGAAGCATGAAAGAGACAATTCAAGGAAGGGAGTAGTTTTTTTTTTTGAAGGAAAACAAAATCAGCGGAGTAAGAGATGGTAGATGAAAGAGCTTAGAGTCTGTCAGACCAATTGCTTTTGTAGAATAAGCCATGGATAATTTGATTATACAAGGAGTTGATGAAAGAGTTGCAGTAGACAGAGAAGATTTGACCAACTCTGGTTTGAGTGTTGGAGAACCAAGCAAATAGAGCCACAACAATGATGCAAGAGGTGAGAGTGTGTTCGAGCTCGAAGACTTGAAGAACCACCCTTTATGATGCTCGAAGACCTTCTCTTTAGTTACCCGCTTGTCTCCTCCGATGTTGAACTCAAACCCTCTACTTAACATATGCCAGCCTAGCCCTGGAGGAGTCCAGTTATGGCTTAGTGAGAAGCCACCTGTGAATAATCATCTGCCACCTTGCCCAAAGTAGACGGTGTTATAACTTCCGCTCGTTTAAGGATGGATAGCTTTAACTGCGTAAAGTATAAGGATTTAATAAAAAGCAAAAAAAGTTCAAGGACCTGATTCAAACTTGAATGAAACTATAAGGACCCGTGTATATATTTTCCCTCTTTTTAATAACTAGTTAAATTTAGTTTTATTTTTTTGTTGAGAAATATTTCTTTCCAACTTTTTAGTTTTTATTGTCAAAATTATGATTGAGTTTCAAATAAATGACTCATTTATAATTGATTAATTTTTCTTATAAAATTACGTATATGGTATATTTTTTAAATAATTTTATTTTATAGTTTTTATTAAAACATTAATACTTTTAAATTTACAAGTTAACCTTCTCGAAATTCATAAATTTTAGAAAATGATTTGTAAATTTAAAAAGTTGACTTATAAATTAATTTGTAAAATCTAAATAACTAATATAAATAACTAATATAAAAATTATGTAGATCTATTTTTAAACATAAGAGCTTGTCTGGTAAGTTAAAAAGGTTAAATTTTAAATAACACTCATTTGGATCCCTTTTATAAGTTGGTATAATTCTCTGCGAGAGGAAGGGGATGAAAAGAAAGATACAAGGAGAAATGAGTCTCAAATGTTTCATTAAATTGGGAAAGAAATATTGCATTAAAAATGAGTGGGTAAGGTCTGATATAGTAATAATTTTCAAATTAAAATCACCTTCCAATTTTCTCTTAAATGTAATATCATGCAAAATGTTCGAATGGAAATTATTAAGTAGTTTTTATTTTTTTTAAAAAAACCCAAAATTGACCAGTAAAGTGCTGTTGCGCCGACAATTTTCAGGGTTAGGAATCAGGATCTCCGCTGCGCAACTGAAGAGTTTAAGTAATGAGACCTTACCGAAAGTTCAACAAATAAAGAAAGAAAGAAACAAAACTAGATTAATCGTATAAACTAAAAATAAATGTAATTTATATTGAAATGTTAGGAAGAGAAAAGTACTGTTGATTGGAATAACCCGGTGCAAAGGAACCAATATTCAAACAAAAACCGTGTGAGTATGTAACACCCGCAAGTTTTTATGCTGACTAGGAATGACCTCTATCAGTCATTAACTTCGCCACTAATTGTATCCTCTCTACAGTACAGCACCATTGACGTGGAATTGCATTCCAAAATAATAAAGTAACCATTGCAGTGGAAATTGAACTGAACTAATCTAATACAAAGCAGAAGTTTGTTTTTCTTTTGTCTTACTTAAGGTTTCTGGGCAGAACCTGCACTAACTTGACTCCAGTTCAGAACTTCCTCCACAGCAACGGATGATAAGGGCGGACATGTATTCTGCCACAAAATTGCAAGCACTCAGTTGACAAACTGCAAATTCTGAATTATATTCAGATAATCGAACAATCCAGATCAACTTTGAGTAAGAGGAACTGTGATCCCCTGTTTAAGGGTCTGGACAACCCGTCTATACATTACTGGACCCCTAAGATAGATGACGTTTTAGAAAGATCAACATAAATGACGCGAGTAATTTTCATATACTGTCCCTGACAGTTGAAAATGCTTTCAGGCTACTTCCAAACTTGTTCTTGTTCAGGTTAAACCATTCTTCTTCTCAATCTATTCTTTTCTCTCCCACCACCTATTTTTGCTCTCCGGTTTATCTTTCTCTTTAGACTATAAATTAATCCAGAAACATAGAAAGATGTTCTGCAAGCACCTTTAAGGCACAATTCTCAATCTCATTACAACCGTCATAAATTTGAATAGGAGCTAGATGATACGGCTAACACCTACAGTTTTATGTCACAAGTCAACCCAAAAACAGAACATGAATAATTACCATGTTAAATTAGAATTTTATCCAAGATAGCGAAGCAAGACTCCATCGTTCCCCAGCACAAATCCCTTCTTATCATTAATGAACCTGCAGCACATTCAAATTAAGATTTTGTTGATCAAAGTTCTATAAGCTTTAAAAAATTTATCTTCTTCCATTCTCATAACTTCTGCACAATAGAAGTTCATGTGCTGGATTTCCTTCCATCTGGTGATATGATTAAACATTATGGTCCGGTTACTTTCTGTTATATTTTCCGTGCTCTCTAACAAATGAAAAGGAGTAATATCACGAGATAGGTGGACAAGAAAAAACGAAAAAACTTAGGTCAAGTTCCTTATATCCATTATGTCAAGTTTTCCAATCATACAATGTGAATTTATAATTAAATGCTAATATTTTAAAAATAAGACACATTATCATGTGTCATTGGAGAACTTGACATAAGGGATAGGGGGAACTTGATGTAAGTATTGTCCAAGTTATTTTCCCAAAAATGAAAGTGGAGAATACGTCAGCCACTTGAGAATTGTGGCCAGCTTTAAATTAGTAGACGCATATAAAAAGTGTATATGCTGTAGTAACAGTAAGACTAACTTCACTGAGTATAAATTTGCAGCAATGTTATCAGCGGCTTTGTCACGGGTCCATGACTTGCCACCATTGGTAGTTCTCAACAGAACACCACTTCCTCCTGCTGCCCAAGCCTCCTCCTGCATATGTAATGGATAAAATTATAACTGGAAGCTTCAGCATTATTCTATACTTCGCATTAATGAGGGTAATGCAGTATAAAACACAAAACAACAATAATCACAATTAATCAAAATATTATGATAATTATTAATCAATGAAAAAAGGAATGAGAATGTTTATTAACCAGACGGTTATTTATAAGAAACCGAAATAATTAATCCCAAATTCTTATAATATACTTCCATTAACAATCCCTACAATCAAATGCGTTTAGTGATAACAATTACTAATCCTAAAGTTACCTGTTCAAATAATAATAAGACCATACTTGCCCCGATTACTAATATAATTCATTTAAATAATCTTTTTTCCTTATCACTCTGCATCAGTGGGTATCATTTTACTTTTCAACAAGTCTACTTATGGACAAAACAGAAGAGAAATACACACCCATAATATAAATGTTGCAGCCATAGAATTTAACAACTAGAAGTTGTCTTCAGTTCACGTTGCCATGACCCCTTACAGCTCTCAATATTCATGAACTTGCTCGGATGAGTAACCCCACAGGTACTCAGCAACTATTCTAATCACAGAAGTGATGATAATTCAAAGAAAATTAACATATTTTATATAGCCTTCTAAGGCAATCAATTTTGCATGAGTTGGTGCTTTATTAGTCACGTGGTGAACTTTTTGCTTCATGTGATAAGCATGTGATGAGACTGATGTACAAGAAATGGTTAAGCAATAAAGCAATTCTCTGCATGCAGGAATTCATTACCGCTGAGCGATACCCCACATCAAGAATGCCAAAACCTCTGCTTTGAACAGGAACCTCCTCGAATTCTTCAGTTATCTAAAACAATGAAATATTTCCTCTCAGAAGCATGCAACTAAATTACAAAAGAGGCAAAAATCTAAAAGCAACATATGACCAACCCACCAAAGTTAGCAAGGTCAGTTTTCTGGTATTAAATTAAAGATATTCGTCGAGGGAAAGCTTTACACTGCGACCAAGAAGTGGGTGAAAATAATTTTGTTTAAACATTATGTACCCCATTTACTTCAGTTATTGGCCAATCCTTCATTATTTGCATTTAAATATTTACCGTACTCTCAGAATAACCCCCAACATGCTTCTTGATACATTAGAATAACATTCTCAGTGTTTCATACCCCAGTGCCCTTGCTCAGGTAGAGGCTCCCTCCACGAACCAGAAGCCAAAGACCACCATCAGCTCTCCATCCCATGTTTTGTATTCTTCTGGCAACTGCTCTATTATGTGGCTGCCAGAACGCCTGAAAGTTATGAAAAGGTGGGTAAGCGATATTTATTCAGATGAAAAGTCAAGCAAAATGACATTGATGGAATACCAGTTAGCAAGCAATATTTATCTTTTATTTTATCTTTGCTAGTAAAGAGTATCTTATCTCTTAGGATTAACAAGTTTCGCTAGGATTATAATCTGAGCTCTATAAGTAAGCCCTACACCTTTGATTTGTATTCGCCATTACCCATTGATTGAATTATTGAGTATTGCAGTATTCCTTCTCCCTCAATTTCTCTCTATTTTCTCCCTCTTTCTTCTCAAAATCTCCCTCCTTCTCTTCTCTCTCTCCCCTTTCCCTTGTCGTTTTACATCATGAAGTCCTAGATCTAAGGGTAGAGCTAATACATTTTATGTAGACTTTATATTTAGACCGACCATGCTTTCAAAAAGGAAGGACCATATTGTTAAGGTAAATGAATACAAGACAGTTATCAGACATGCTTCAAATCTAAGGGTGGCGAACATCTTAAGATCGGTAAACAAAAAAGCATCTTCAATTAACCATCGAGCTATGTAAGCCATTAACAGAAAGCTACAATAGCAGTTTTCTTTTGGTTTATAAAACTCCTTGCCATAGTTTACGTTGTTCTTTGGTCCACTAGCAAACCAGATACAGTGTTAATATTGTAAAGAAACTTCCGAAGGCTTAAACCATTATTTTACAATCCATTTAACATAACTTTGACGTTATGTCAAGCAAAAAATGATGTGCTTTTGTCTTTCGAAGTTAGAGTAGACCAAAAGTATAAATATAGTTGTAAGGCAGCCTAACCAAAAGTACCAATATGATATTGAGCCAGAACAAATTTCAGCAATAAGTAAAAACTTCACCTGGCCAGGTTCCCAGGTTAAGTAGAAGTTTCCACGACTAGAGACCGCAACATATCTTCCGTCTGGTGAGCGATTGACAGTATTAAAGGTTCCAGTATAATAGCTTGCACCACTAATACCGCTAGAAACTGTTCTGAAGAGGCAACATAGATAAATGTTTCAACATACACAAATGAGTAAATGATAGCAATGTAAATTATGTGCAAGAGATTCCCTGAGTAAGTTTTAAGCATTAAAAATTTGATAAGCCTAATTGCAGCATTCCACCTTCATCAATGCAGCATCTACTATTTTGAAGAAATACATATTTGATAAATAGCATCACAAAATGACAGAGGAAAAGGGGGGAAAAAACAATAAAAGGAAGCAAAAGGATTGGATAAAAAATGATAACTTCAGCAATGAGGCATTATTTTAAATGACGTTCGCTTATTCTCTATAAGCCACTTGAGCATCACCAAATGGAAGGAAGAAATAATATTCGAGAAGAGAAAATTTCTTGTTCATGGCCCGTGAGCAGCTGGACTGGCTGGTTAATTGATTTTGCGTGGGTGGGTGCGTGCGTGTTAGAGAGAGGGAAAGAGATTATAAAGATGAATTGCCATTATTAAAAACAGAAACAGAATGTCATGTTCTGCATCATGACTTTGCTTGAACACAAAACAACGGTACTTTAAAAACACCAACAGGAAAGAGGAGGAATTTTAAGAGGAAAAGGCATAATTAGTGCGCTCTATTTGACTCTTCATCATCCTATCCTGATTAGAGAAAACAAGTATAGCATTGTTTTCACTTTTCATACTTCTTCATTATCTTTCATTGTTTTTGTAATGTAATTCTTCAGTACAATCATAACTCTAATCAACTCCAGCTGCAGTCAATGTTCTTTATGCGTGCATATGAGTTGAAGAAGATTGAAGAAGGGAAAAGAATTTAAACAAAAGAGGGGGGCAAAGAAAACAAAGAGAGAGAGAAACAAAGAAGCCAATAACATCAAAACAGTGAATAGTGATTAAATAGCGTTTGCAAAAAGTTCACCTATTAAGAGTAGCTGACACAGTTTCCTGAACTGCAGCTCTCCAATTGTAACCTCTGTTTGACGTAATATAAATTGCACCTTCATCAGTCACCATCTCTGCACTCTTCTCACCAGTTGCCTTTATGTATACCTGCAGATTTGATAGCAGAATTGCAATCTTTACCAATAATAACCATATAAAGAGGATGTGATAATTTCAAACTTTTCTGCAAGGCAATGAACAATAGAGATTTCATGTAGGCCATACATTAGAGAAGTAAGACCGGAGAGAAGTATCAAATTAAAACAGCACATGTAACCAAGTCAATTTAGTTCACAAATATTATATAGTTCTATAATGGTTATGCAGAGTAACATTCAAAGTTACGCTTTTTATAATATATTTATATATAATTCAACTATTTGCTTGTCTTTATGTTTTACTGTTTATTTATTTCTGTGTCCATTATCATTGTTATATGACTACATAGCGCACAACATATAAAATTGGAAATCATACTAGAAATTCCAAACAAGCATACCATATCTCCAGGAAGTTCAGCGCTAAGTGGTATCCTTTCCCAGCTCTCTCCCGCGTCGGAAGTGTACAGCAGGATTGCTGGTTTTCCCACTATCCATCCTTCCTTCCCTTTGAAACTGATTGAATTAAATCTATAATTAAAATCCTCATCTTCTGCTGAGGATATTGAACGGGGTATCCAAGTGTTGCCACCATCTTTTGTCTCCAAAATGGTTTGCCTGGTTCCCAGAAGAAATCCTACCATGAGAAGCGAGGCCATATTTTAGATGGAAGATCAAACTTAACTAAAAGTGTAATTCATTGTATTAAGAGCATCATAGCAAGAAAAATTAAACTAAAAGGCATATTATAGCAGAAATTTAGCAATGTTACATTTAAGGATCCCAAATAGTAACAACTACAAACTTTGAAGAAATTTTTTGGGGGTATGGTGGTCGCCTGTAGCCTGTAGCTTATTATGGGGACTCCCGAGAGCCACTGCACTACTGGAGCACCCTACCAATTGTAGCCTAAGACCTTAACTCACTAATTTCCCCCCTGTCATTCCCAAAGTTATATCCTCAGAACTTTGAATCAAATTAATATTTTCTCACCGAAAGCTCATAAATAACTTTATTGCTATCTAGATTCCATAAGTTGCACATAATACAAAAGGCCCTTTGTTCTTGAACTCAGGCTTAGGTCATCCTTGTTTGAGTTAACTAAGAAAGTGGCAGCATTAAGCAAGGTGACGGAAAACAAGAAGGCAAAAAAAAAAAAAAAAAAAAAAAAAACAACAGCAACAACAACTACGTAGAACCTAATCAAAGGCAATAAGTGTCCTTGTGAGACTAGTGGGAACAATAGCTATTATTGAAATCCCATTTTAAATCCTGAATAACCTCGATTGCCCAATTAAAAACTCTAATCCATAAATAATATTACATTGTTACATAATAAAATAAATAATGAATTGTATTCTGATAATGCATTGGATTTTTTTTACTACATAATTTTTTAGGTGATTTTAATCAAGAAATCCCTAGGCCAATGAACCAGACTTGCAAATTTTATCGGTAGTTAGCACTTACATAATTAGAAGGTGATAGATTTTTTCTTCAATATATCCTTAGAAACTAGAAGTATTCCAGAGGCACCCAGCACCAGTAGTCTACGGTAGAGTAAGACAGTGTTTAAAAGTGGAATGGCCAAATAACACCGTGCTCTAACAGGTCTATAATTTTCATGTACATTAGTTCCCCAGAAGTCAGAACCCAAACAGCGATGACCAAGAGAAGTAATCTGAAGCTACTAAACTGACCGTGGTTCAAGTCATCGGGCACAAAAGCGATGTCAAGGAGTACAACACCGGGGTCTATAGGAAGGTAAACTCTTTCCCACTCCGACAGTGCTTCTTCGGACCTGGCCAGTTGTTCAAATCCAATTAATGAGGGTATAGACAGCGAAATCGTAGCAGTCTCAGCAATGAGGCGCCGCCGATTGAGCGAGAATTGCTGCAGGGAAGCCTTGGGAATGAAACGAGCAGGAGCTTGAGCTTTTCGCCAATGGCGCCGACGAGAATTGGAGAAGATAGAGGTGAAGGACCTCAACAAGATCACTGGCTTGGAGCAGTCAGTGAATTGCAGAGTCGCCATTATCGAATGAGCTTTTTGCTCGCCCCCTCTCTCTCTCGCTTCGGGCTTCTTATCCGTCTTTGTTATCCACAACGTATTTTGTTCAACGGCTTCGCGGGTGATTTGAAGGCCCCTCATTGCACACGTGGACAGGCGGCAAGGCGCTCATAATTCCGGCTGCGCCATACGACGTCGTTTTCGTCTCAGGAAGAATCCATTGGTGTTTTGACCAGAAACCCATTGGTTTGAATACAAAAATAGGCCCAAACGATGGCAACTTCGCCAGCTGGATAAAAGGGATGTTTTGGTAAAAAAAAAATTTTAAAATCAAAGTTAACAGAAAAATAACGATTTGGACAGATAAAAATAAAATCTTAAATATAAGATGGAGGTCTATATAACATACGTTTTAATTTTAAGAGAGGTTTATGTGTGTTTTCAAAAATAAATGAGAGATTTGTGTAATTGAAATAAAATAAAAGAATAGTCGGTATATTTTACTTATTAATTAATTATAATAAATATGACTCTAAAATAATTTGCCATAATATTAGAATATATATTTATTTATAAGTTAATAAATTAGTTTGGGAGTAAAGCACTTTTAAAACCATAATTTTGTTTCTATCTAAATATTCTATGAACAATGACAAAAAATTTCAAACATTGTAATTTATACTCATACTGTGTCAAATTGGATATTTTTTAATCATAATTCACGTATTCGTGAAAAATGATGATATTTTTTTTTTTATAGAGGTTACAACTTACAACTTTACGTCTAAGAAAAATTTAGGAGACATTTGATATCAAATTATTTCTCAAATGATCCAAATTGCGCCAAAGGATCTTAATTGATGCCGAGGGATCTTAAATCATGTCCAATGCACGTACGTACGATGATTAATTCAAAAAGAGATAAGTCAACTCTACATTGGAAAGTTGACATTTCCTGTAATTAATTATATATTATCCTCTACAATAACTAAGTTGCCTAAGTAAGCCGCAATTAGTGCCAGGAAATGAATTCATAGTAGTATAAATTGCAATGAGGATATTATGTCAAATAAAGTTGACAAGACGAAATCACATTCACTAAGTGCATGCAGGACAATTAATTGAATTGATACGTCCATGTATTTGAAATTTCAAAATTAATGAAAAAATGAATGCGATTGCTTCAGGATGATAAATGCTTCTTCTTATAAATACATAGGCGCACGTGATGAGAAAATGTAGCAGCTCAAAGCTTTGCTCGCAAACATGGGATTTGGCAGAGGGCAGCTCGTGGCAGCGTTGGTTGGGGTGCGTGTGTGTTTGATGTTTCATAATGTTGTCTCTGCAGATTATGGAGCAGCGCTAACAAAATCACTGTTGTATTACGAGGGTCAACGATCAGGAAAGTTGCCTCCCAACCAAAGACTGCAATGGCGAGCAGATTCTGGTCTTAAGGACGGTCAAGATGTCAATGTAATTTTATTCTTCTCTAATTAATTTATTTTTTATTTCCCCTCTTTCTCTCTCCGTTCCTCCCTTTCTCATATCAAAATGGAGACCCCTTTCTTTTTAATTATACTTGCACCAGACATGCTCTGCATCATTTCTTAGCTGATCGTTTCATCCCAACTATGCATGCGTGTTTGTTTATGTTTTTTCTTCTGACAAGATTATTATTTATGTAGTATATATTTCTAATCAATCAATTAAACGTGTTCTTTATGCAATATCTCATACGAAATTTTAAAAATGGAGGACCTCGTGCGCTGTAGAAGAAAGAGTCGCATCAGTGTCACAGTTGCACTGTATGATCTGTTTCATATGTGGATTATTTGAAAGTAATTATGACTGAGGATTTTAAACAATTCCTCTTTCTTGTGATCCCATCCCATACCATTATGTTTGTTTGCATGCATAAACGCATGTATAGATACTGACCTAATTAAATCTCTCCTGATTTTAATACATAATTAGATTGACCTTGTGGGAGGATACTACGATGCTGGAGACAATCTGAAACTAGGGTTTCCAATGGCATTTACAATAACGATGCTGTCATGGAGCACGATAGAGTTCAGAGACAAACTGGCGGCTAAAAACGAGCTTTCAAATGCGTTGGCTGCCATCAAGTGGGGCACTGACTACTTGGTGAAGGCACACATCCAACCAGACGTTCTGTACGGAGAGGTTGGCGATGCCGATTCCGACCATGCTTGTTGGCAAAGGCCTGAGGACATGACCACCCCTCGCTCTGCTTTCCGAATCGACTCCACCCATCCCGGCTCCGACCTTGCCGCCGAGACCGCCGCAGCCTTCGCCGCCGCCTCCATAGCCTTCCAACCACTCAACGCCGCATATGCATCCCAACTGCGCTCACTCATGCAACTCATGTACGTACGCGCCCATATATAACCGACAACAGACCGTTAATTAGTTTGGCAAAAAAAAAAAAAAAAAAAAGACCGTTAATTAGTGTTTTCTCATAAATAATGATTCATGTCAATCCGATTTAAATGATCTGAATTTTGTCAAATGAGTGTTTCGTCTATATAATTCATTTATAGTATAGAGGTATAGATACATGCTATTAAATCACATGACACCATAATTGCCTTCTAGGCCCAAGAAAGGGAAAAAGAAAAACGGATGACTGCTGGGTTCTGATCATGTTGCAGCTGTTTGAGTTCGCACGAGACAAGCCAGGCATTTATCAGGATAGCATCCAAGCAGCAAAGAAAGTATATGCCAGCAGCGGATATCAGGTAATGTAGCTATATTAAATATTTATATGAAAATATGGCACGCACCAAAGAAACTTATTATCTAAGATAAACCCTGGCAGGTTATTTAATATAAATTTCAGTAAACATTTGCTTCTGTAAAAATAAACATCCGAATTGATCGAATTGAAGACCCAATAACAGTAACTCGAATATAATTGTAGTAGTAGTATCACCCTCACATGCATTTACGTTAACTGCATTCATGCATATGGTAATTAAGAGAAGCTAACAAACGTGCATTATGTGTGATTGGTTTGGCAATATTTGATGGCATCAGGATGAAATGGTGTGGGCGGCCGCATGGCTTCATCGTGCGAGCGGATCGAAGACGTATTTGGATTACCTGGCACAGAATAGTCCCGGTGGCCAAAGATCTTCCTTCTCCTGGGATGACAAGTACGTGGGCGCCCAGATCCTTGTTGCCAAGGTAAAATAAATATATATATATTTATATATATGTATGAGTGAACTAAAAGGAGAAGAATAAAAAGCTGATTAATACTATAAATGTGAGATGATATTGAAGAGTTTGATGATTGATATGCGTTGCAGCTGGTGCTGGAAGGGAAAGTGGATGGGAAAGGGACGTGGGGAGATTACAAAAGCCAGGCGGAGAAATTCATATGCTCGTGCGCTCAGAAGGCAGCAGGAGGCAGCAACGTCAAGAAAACTCCCGGCGGTCTCCTCTGGTTTCTGCCTTGGGATAACCTTCAATACGTCGCCACTGCTACTTTCTCACTCTCCGTCTACTCCCAGTATCTCGCCGCTCATAACGCCATCGTGCAGTGCGATGCCGGCACCCTCTCCCCCTCTGATCTCACCTCCTTTGTCAAGTCGCAGGCTGACTACATATTGGGCTCAAACCCCAGGGGAATGAGTTACATGGTCGGATACGGGTCCAATTACCCGCAGAAGATCCATCACAGAGGAGCCTCCATTGTATCGGTGAAGAAGGATCCGTCTCCCGTCACCTGCAAAGGCGGCTATGCACAGTGGTTTAACAGAAACGAAGCCAACCCTAATGTGTTGGAGGGAGCAATGGTCAGCCCTGACTCCGCTGATCACTACGATGATTCCAGGTCCGACTACCGGCTGGCTGAGCCAACCACTGTTACTAATGCCCCCATGGTCGGGGTTTTTGCTTTTCTTGCTTAGATAATAAATATAACATTCCATTAATTAAGTACTGAGACTGATTAATGCCTACTACATATATAATTGTATTCGGCAAATGAGATGCATAGTTTGACTTTAATTTCTGATCATTAGCTAGCCAGTGTTGGGATTTTTTTTTTCTTTTGCAATTTCCAAAATGTTTTAAAAATTAATTATTTTAAATAAATAATTATGATATCTAAATTACACAACACCACTCTGGACCTAAATGCCAACCAAAGAGGACAAACATAAAATCTAAGGGGTGTTTGGCAAAATAAAAAAGTGATTTTCCAAAACACTTTTCCGCAAGACGAGAGTGTTTGGATGAAACCAAACTATGATTTGGAAAATAATTTCTGGAGAATATATTTTGAGAAGAATAAATTTTGTAAAAAAGTGATTATGAGAAATGAGAGTATTTAGAGGGGTGTTTGGGTGATTTTTTCCCAAACTATAGTTTGGGAAAAAAATCACCCAAACACCCTTAAAAAAACCAAAACCATGGTTTTGGGAAAAACAAAAATTTTTTGCTTTTGGAAAAAAAGGGAGAGTGTGAGAACCTATAGGATATGTATCTTGTTGTTTTTTTTATAAACATATTTTTTATAAATATATTTAATCTTATATCTTATAAATATATATACATATTAATTATTTATTAATTATATTATCTTATGTATTATTAATTATGTTAATAAAAATATATTATTAACAATTTTATTCCTTCAAATTAAAATATATCATAAAATATATTTTTTCTGTAATTATCATATTAACTTATGCCTTTGTTAGTAATTTGTACATGTAAAAAGTTTTTGGTAACAACTATCCAAACACTCTCACTTTTTATAATCACTTTTTCACAAAATCTATTTTTCAAAAAATTTATTCTTCCCAGAATCTATTCTCCAGAAGCTATTCTCCAAACCATGGTTTGATTATATCAAAACACCCCCTAGATAATTGTTACTAGAAATACTTTTTACATGTGCAAATTACTAAAAAGGTTATAAGTTAATATGATAATTATATAAAGGATAGATTTTATAATATATTTTGATTTGAAGAAATAAAATTGTTAATAAAATAATTTTTACTAACATAATTAATAATATATAAGATAATATAATTAATAAATAATTAATATGTATATAAATTTATAAATTATAAGATTAAATAGTGAAGGACAAAGTGTGGAATGAATAGTGAGGTATCAATTATGAGAACTGTTTTGTCATGTGCTGTTAGGCCCACACCAAGATCTGAAAAATTTGGATCAGAAACAACTTCAAACCACTTCCACTGAAATCATGGTTTTGATGTTTAAAACCATAGTTTTACCCCAAACCATAGTTTTACATTTTTCCCCCTGTTTGGCTAACTTCTTTTCCAAAAGTTTGAGGAGACATTCAAACAAGACTTAAAAGTACTTTTAAAAACATAATTTGATTTTCATCAAAACTCCTCCCTAGACAATAATAACTTTGGAAATATTCCGTACAAGAGGCGCGCTGAACATTGGTTGGAGGATAATGTCGTGCTCCCCGAATTGGCCATTGTAGGGAGGATTAGTTGTATGGGAAGACTGTCATTGTGGACTATATATATCCATTCTTCTTCTTTTTGGCTTTTTGGTTCTTCACCAGTTTCTCCCGCTTGAACGCGCGCACTCAATCACAAAGCCCGCTACAAACAGATGAGGACCCCAACGACCAACGAACAGCCGAAGACTCTCAAAACACCCTCTACTTATAAATATGAAGAAATTGGTGTTTAATGTTTAATTGAGAACGATTCAAAGTAACACCCAGCATTTTCAACTTGATTTTATTGCTAATGATAATTTTTAAATTATGTGTCAACTGACACATATATATTAAATTTCGAGATCTTAAATTATTATTATCCTCCTGGCTTGGGGGGGGGGGTAAAAAAGCGTCATTTTCCCATGCTTTAGTTTGGCTAAGTAGCCATCGGTCCGGGGGGAAAAAAAATACCGTCAACCTTTGGCTACGTCGACCTTACCGTATAGGAAAGGGACAGGTAATGACGGGGAAAGGCGGAAAGGAACAGAACAACATCGACTGATTCATCGTGTAACCTTGGACAAGAATGGGAACCCAATTTCTCATGATCTAGACCACCAGAATTCCCAATCTCCACTGTTGCAGGAGAAGGGTTTATAAATTGGCCGGGCTATATGGAGTCTCCGGTGCCGGAGTCAATTTTTCTGGAAGACTTTGGCCAGACGGTTGACCTGACCCGTCGTATCCGAGAGGTTCTCCTGAATTATCCGGAGGGAACGACGGTGTTGAAGGAGCTGATACAGAACGCAGATGACGCTGGTGCCACCAGGGTGAGCCTTTGTCTCGACCGCAGGTCCCATGGCTGCCAGTCCCTATTATCGGATTCATTATCACAGTGGCAAGGCCCGGCACTTTTGGCCTATAACAATTCAGCTTTCACGGAGGAGGATTTTATTAGTATCTCCAGGATTGGAGGGAGTAGTAAGCATGGACAGGCGTGGAAGACCGGTCGGTTTGGGTAATTTCCTTATCTGATCCCGAGTTCATCGGATAAGTGGTTAAGTAGTTGTCTGTAGCTTTGAACAATTTGTGTTGTAATGACAAAGACTTCACTGCTATAGAATGAAATCTATGACAGATGTCAAATTTTATTTTGACAAGCTTGAGTTTTGCAGCTCTTGTCGTTGATGGAAAATGCAGATGATTTGTCTTAATATTACACTTATTTGTTTTCCTGCATGTTCTCATTATGTATTATCGTGACTATGTTCGCTACGACATTTGCTATTCATCTAGAACTTTGTAGCGTAGACTGCGGCTGGACTTCCCAACACTACGATGCCAAAGTTCTTAGAATGTGGAAGTGTCATTTGGGAATACTTTAGTGGTTTTCTACTCATTATTATACGTTGCCATAATTTTTTTTTTAAAAACTTCGTTTAGGATAATGTTAGTGCTAGTATTGCTTACAGTAAATATCTTTTTCAGTTCTTTTACATTTAACATCGCTTGGGTTCTAGTATTTCTCTAACTTTGTACTATTTTTCTTCTCTTCATGTTTTTAGGGTAGGCTTCAACTCCGTCTACCACTTGACGGATCTTCCCTCCTTTGTGAGTGGCAAGTATGTTGTATTATTTGATCCTCAGGGTGTATATCTTCCAAGAGTGTCTGCGGCAAATCCTGGGAAGCGGATTGACTTCACTAGTTCATCTGCTCTCTCTTTCTACAAGGACCAGTTTTTTCCATATTGTGCTTTTGGTTGTGACATGGAAAGTCCTTTTGCTGGAACTTTATTCCGATTCCCTTTGAGGAGTGTGGATCAAGCTGCTGGAAGTAAGCTCTCAAGGCAAGCATATTCACCAGATGACGTTTCCTCCATGTTTCATCAACTCTTTGAAGAAGGAGTTTTGACACTACTCTTTCTCAAGAGTGTACTGTGCATTGAAATGTACGTGTGGGATTCTGGAGAAACTGAGCCAAAGAGACTTTATTCATGCTCTGTTTCTCCAGCAACAGATGATACGGTTTGGCACCGGCAGGCACTACTTAGATTGTCGAAGTGTCTAAATAATACTAGTGAAGTGGATGCATTCTCATTGGACTTCTTAAGTGAGGCAGTGCGTGGAATTGAAACTGACAGGAGGACAGAGAAATTTTACGTGGTGCAAACTATGGCCTCAGCTTCTAGCAGGATTAGGTCTTTTGCTGCTACTGCATCTAAAGAATATGACATTCACTTGCTGCCATGGGCATCAGTTGCAGCATGCATATCTGATAATTCACTTTCTCTGAATGTAATTCTCAATATCTTTTGCTATGCTCCTCTCATACACAGCCACATAAGATTTAACCTGTTACTTTTTGTATTCTGCTTCTTATTCACTTCCTTTAGATTAAGCATCAGTAGTTTGAAGACCATCTTATAATTAATGCCCTATTTTTTCAAGTTGTTTGTTCATCCAGCAGGGCATCATTTGATGCCCCTTTTGAGTTTATGATTAAAATATTTATGAGTCCTCACTTAACAGCTTAAACTTTTGGGTTTAAGTGGTCCTTAGCATATTATCTAAGGCTCAGAGACCAATCGGTTGGTCCTTGCTGCTGGAATTCTTCTGATTAAAATGGATTTTAAACTCAAGGTATGATGAGCTTGTGCTTTCTTCATGCTTCAAGCCTGAAGGTTTTTCATGTGAGAGGTTATGTTGGAGATTCTAATTCTCTACTTATAATAGAAATATTCATAGCACTTCACTTAAAAACTCAAGTTTTTTGGTTGAAGTTTTCCTTGATATTTCCTTGGCATGTTGACCATTTAGATCTTGAAGCTTTCCAGGCTGGTCTTTATCATAGAACAAATTTAGATCCTTAGAGTAATTCTAATCTTGAACTTCCTCAATAAATTAATAGATTACAAGTAAAAGCCTTAAATAAAGGTAAAATAAACTTGCTGCAGAAATTGAGCCGCTGTAATGTGAATAGTATTCTAATGCTTTTTGTAAGTTTCATCAGAGAACTAAAATTTAAGGAATATCTGTTCACGTCATCAACTTAGAGCCTGGGCTCGTCACCAGCTCACTGCTCTTCTCGTGCATCTGACTTAACAAATGAGAAAAGTAAACTGCTGTTGGTTCCCTTAATAAATGATAAATTTTAGTATTTTTCACTTATTATTTTAGGAGTTCTTTTGCACTATGTCTCATTAGCTCATGTTGCCATATAAAATTTTTCAGAGTGATGTTCTTAGGAATGGTCGGGCATTCTGTTTTCTTCCGTTGCCTGTTCGAACTGGACTAAATGTGCAAGTCAATGGATTCTTTGAGGTCTCATCAAATCGTCGTGGAATCTGGTATGGGGCTGACATGGACCGAAGTGGAAAAGTTCGTTCTATCTGGAATAGGCTTCTTTTGGAAGATGTTGTTGCTCCTTCATTTATGCATATGCTTCTTCATGTCAAAGACCTGCTAGGGCCAACAGACTCTTACTATTCGTTGTGGCCTATTGGTTCTTTTGAAGAGCCATGGAACATTTTGGTTCAACAAATATACAGAAATATAAGTAATGCTCCAGTTCTATATTCAAATCTTGAAGGGGGAAAATGGGTATCACCAGGCAAAGCCTTTCTACATGATCAGAAATTCTCCAAAACCAAGGACCTTGGTTTGGCTTTGATCCAACTGGGAATGCCAGTCGTTCATTTGCCTAATCCTTTGTTTGAAACCCTTTTAAAATATGATTCCAGCAAGGTGGTTACTCCAGGTACAGTACGCCAGTTTATAAGAGAATGCAACGCTTATGTAAATTTGAGCAAACCTTTCAAGGTTGTAATGTTGGAATATTGCTTGGAGGATTTGGTTGATGATGATGTTGGGATGGAGGCATACAATTTGCCTTTACTTCCTTTGGCAAATGGTGAATTTGGCTTATTTTTGGAAGCTTCAAAAGGAATTTCTTATTTCATTTGTGATGAATTAGAATACATGCTGTTGCAGCCTGTTTCTGGTCGAGTAATTGATCAAAGCATTCCGTCCAACATATTGAGCAGACTTTCTGCTATTGCCAAGTCTTCTAAGACCAACCTTACAGTTTTCAACATTCGCCATTTCGTTGAATTATTTCCTGCATTCATGCCATGTGACTGGAAGTTTAAAAAGAAAGTGCACTGGGACCCAGAATCCTCTCAAAAGCCATCATTATCATGGTTTATGCTGTTCTGGCAGTATCTAAGAAACCAGAGTGAAACTCTGTCACTATTTAGTGATTGGCCCATTTTACCTTCTACATCTGGAGATTTATTAAGACCTTCCAGACAATTGAAACTGATCAAAGGAGACAATTTCTCTAATTCACTAAAGGATATTCTCGTGAAAATTGGATGCAATATATTGAACCCCAGCTATGTGGTTGAACATCCAGATTTATGTAATTATGTATATGATGGTAATGCAGCAGGTGTTTTGGAATCAATTTTTAATACATTTTCTGGTGCTGGTATTCTGCAAACTTTTCTTGGCAATCTAACAGCTGAGGAACGAAATGTGCTCCGTGAGTTTCTTCTTGATCCTAAATGGTATGTTGGGTGCTCTATGGATGAACTTATCTTAACTTATTGCAGGAAATTACCTATATATCAAGTCTATGGTGGGGAGTCTGCTCAAGGTTCCCACTTCTCTGACTTAGAAAATCCTCGAAAGTACTTGCCACCTTTGGATGTGCCTGAGTTTATTTTTGGCAAGGAGTTCATTGTTAGATCTTCAAATATTGAAGAGGATATTCTGTCAAGATATTATGGAGTTGAGAGAATGGGGAAAGCACAGTTCTGCAAGCTATACATTTTTAACAGAGTTGGGGAGTTGCAGTCTGAGGTTCGGGACAACATTATGTTATCTGTTTTACAAAATTTGCCACTTTTGTCCCTTGAAGACATAACTATTCGGGACTTATTGAGAAATCTGGAATTTATTCCCACCCTTCACGGTGCTCTCAAATGCCCTTCGGTTTTATATGATCCCAGTAATGAAGAGTTATTTGCATTATTGGAAAATTCAGATTGTTTCCCTTCAGGTCCTTTCCAGAAATCTGAGATTCTTGATATTCTGCGAGGTCTTGGTCTCAGAACTTCTGTCTTTCCTGATACTGTCATAGAAAGTGCTCGAAATATAGAGCACCTAATGCATGAGGATCAACAAAGGGCATATTCAAGAGGCAAAGTGCTACTCTCTTACTTAGAAGTTAACGCACTGAAGTGGCTTCCTGATCAAGTTGTTGATAATAAACGAACAGTGAACCGAATATTATCTCGAGCAGCAACTGCATTTAGGTCTCGCAACACAAAATCTGACCTTGAAAAATTTTGGAATGACCTTCGGATGATTTCTTGGTGCCCAGTCTTAATTTCTGCTCCATTTCAGTCACTACCATGGCCAGCGGCATCATCAATGGTTGCTCCTCCAAAGCTTGTAAGGCCACAGACAGATTTATGGCTAGTCTCAGCTAGCATGCGGATATTGGATGGAGAATGCTCTTCCACAGCTTTATCACATAGCTTGGGCTGGATGTCTCCACCTGGGGGGAGTGTAATTGCTGCTCAATTACTTGAGCTCGGAAAAAATAATGAAATTGTGACTGATCAGGTTCTTCGGCAGGAGTTAGCCATTGTGATGCCAAGGATATACTCAATACTGACAGGCTTGATTGGTTCAGATGAGATTGACATTGTTAAAGCTGTTCTTGAAGGTTGTCGGTGGATTTGGGTGGGGGATGGATTTGCAACCTCTGATGAGGTTGTCCTTGATGGTCCGCTTCATTTGGCTCCTTATATACGTGTCATTCCAGTTGATTTGGCAGTTTTCAAAGATCTGTTTCTAGAACTTGGTATCCGTGAATTCTTGAAACCTTCTGATTATGCTGATATTCTTTGTAGAATGGCAGCTCGGAAAGGTCCCTCTGCTCTTGATGTGCAGGAAATTAGGGCTGTTACGCTAATAGTGCATCATATGGCTGAAGTGAACCTCTATGAACCAAAAGTTCAGATCTATCTGCCTGATGTCTCAGGGAGATTATTTCTTGCTGGAGACTTGGTTTACAATGATGCGCCTTGGTTACTTGGCCCTGAAGATCCTGATGGCTCGTTTGGTAATGCATCAACTGCAGCCTGGAATGCTAAGAAAACAGTTCAAAAATTTGTGCATGGTAACATTTCCAATGATGTTGCAGAAAGGCTTGGTGTCTGTTCTCTTCGCAGGACCTTGTTAGCTGAGAGTGCAGATTCAGTAAACTTAGGTCTGTCTGGTGCTGCTGAGGCTTTTGGACAGCATGAGGCTTTGACGACGAGGCTGAAGCATATACTTGAAATGTATGCTGATGGACCTGGTACTCTATTTGAGCTGGTCCAAAATGCAGAAGATGCAGGTGCTTCAGAGGTAATACTTCTATTAGATAAATCTCAATATGGGACTTCCTCTGTTCTTTCTCCTGAAATGGCTGATTGGCAAGGCCCCGCATTATACTGTTTCAATGACTCAGTTTTCAGTCCTCAAGATCTTTATGCAATTTCACGTATTGGTCAAGAAAGTAAACTTGAGAAGCCTTTTGCTATTGGTAGATTTGGGCTGGGATTTAATTGTGTCTATCACTTTACGGATGTTCCCATGTTTGTGTCTGGAGAAAATGTTGTAATGTTTGATCCTCATGCTAATAATTTGCCCGGGATATCTCCTTCTCACCCTGGCTTGCGAATTAAGTTTGTGGGAAGACAGATTTTGGAGCAATTTCCTGATCAATTCTCTTCATTACTTCATTTTGGGTGTGACTTGCAACACTCTTTTCCTGGTACGCTATTCCGGTTCCCGCTGAGAACTGCATCTGTTGCCTCCCGGAGCCAAATCAAGAAAGAAGTATATGCACCGGAAGATGTTGTATCTCTTTTTGCTGCTTTTTCAGAGGTTGTTTCTGAAACACTCCTCTTCCTGCACAATGTGAAAAGCATCTCTATTTTTGTGAAAGAAGGAATAGGACATGAAATGCACCTTCTACATCATGTACGCAGGACTTGTATTGGTGAGCCTAATATTGGATCGACTGCATCCCAAGAAATGTTCAACTTATTTAATAAAAATCAACAAGTAGGATTGAATAGAGATCAGTTTCTGAAGAAACTAAACAAATCTATTGACAGAGATTTGCCTTATAAATGCCAGAAGATTTTGATATCAGAGAAAGGCACAACTGGTAGTAATTTACACTGTTGGATAACCACTGAATGTATAGGTGGCGGGAATGCTCAGAAAAGCAGATCTACTGATTCCAATAATAACTCGCAATATTTTATTCCATGGGCATGTGTTGCTGCATATTTGAATTCTGTTAAGCTTGATACAAATTCAAGTCACATTTCAGCAATGCAGGATGATCAGTTAGTCTCTCCTGATTTATTTCAAGTTGTCAGTTCTCCTACCCATGCATGGGATGTTTTTGAAGGACATGCATTCTGCTTCTTACCCTTACCAATTAGCACTGGCCTTCCTGTGCATGTAAATGCCTACTTTGAATTATCATCAAATCGCAGGGACATCTGGTTTGGTTCAGATATGGCCGGGGGTGGAAGAAAACGTTCAGAGTGGAATATTTACCTCCTTGATGATGTTGTTGCGCCTGCATATGGCCGGTTGCTTGAGAAAGTAGCCTTGGAGATTGGTCCATGTGATTTGTTCTTTTCATTTTGGCCAAAGGTAATAGGATTAGAGCCTTGGGCATCAGTAGTACGAAGACTTTACCAGTTTGTTGCAGAATCTGGTATCCGAGTATTATATACAGAAGCTAGAGGAGGTCAGTGGATTTCCTCCAAGTATGCTATATTTCCTGATTTTACCTTCCCCAAGGCAGTTGAGCTTATACAAGCATTATCAGGTGCTTGTCTACCTGTGGTCACGGTTCCACAGTCACTTGTAGAAAGGTTTACAGAAATATGCCCATCATTGCATTTTCTGTCACCTAAGTTCTTGAGGACATTGTTAATTAGAAGGAAACGGGAATTCAAGGACAGGAACGCAATGATATTGACTCTTGAATATTGCTTACTTGATTTGCAAATGTCTATGCAGTTTGATACTTTTTTTGGTCTGCCCTTGCTGCCACTTGCAGATGGTTCCTTTACAACAATTGATAAGAAGGGGGTTGGAGAAAGAGTGTACATTGCACGGGGTGATGAGTATGGCCTTCTCAAGGATTTTGTTCCCCATCAACTTGTAGACTTTGAAATTCCCAAAGAAGTTCACAAAAAACTTTGTTACATTGCCCAAAGTGAAAGCACAAATGTTTCCTTTTTATCATGCCAATTACTTGAGAAGCTTCTGGTGAAATTACTCCCCATACAGTGGCAGCATGCAAGACAAGTTAGTTGGACTCCTGGTGTTCATGGTCACCCAAGTTTAGAATGGTTGCAACTACTGTGGAACTATCTGAAATCGTATTGTGATGACCTCTCTGTGTTTTGTAAGTGGCCTATATTACCTGTTGGAAACAATTGTCTGATGCAGTTGACTCCGAACTTGAATGTGATAAAAAATGATGGATGGAGTGAGAAGATGTCTTCTTTGTTATTGAAGGTTGGGTGCTTATTCTTGAGACATGATCTGCAACTAGATCACCCGCAGCTGGAATACTTTGTTCAGCCACCGACAGCAAGAGGTGTACTAAATGTGTTTTTGGCAATTGCTGGGGAGCCTCAGAAAGTTGAGGGGATCTTTGCAAATGCATCGGAAGGAGAGCTTCATGAACTTCGGAGTTTTGTTCTCCAGTCTAAGTGGTTCTCAGAGGGGCAAATGGATGACAAACATATTGAAATCATCAAGCACCTACCAGTATTTGAGTCATACAAAAGCAGAAAACTAGTAAATTTGAGTAATCCTATGAAATGGCTTGGCCCCAGTGGTGTCCGTGAAGATCTTTTGAGTGATAGCTTCATAAGAACTGAATCTGAAATGGAAAGAGTCATTATGGGAAAATCTATAGAGATAAAAGAACCAACCAAGGTGGAATTCTACAAATATCACATTTTCAACCACATGTCAGAGTTTATTCTGAAGGAAGAAGCTGTGTCAGCCATTCTACATGATGTGCAGAATTTGCTTCAAGAGGATATCTCGATGAAGTCTGTGCTTTCGTCTTCATCATTTGTTCTGGCAGCCAATGGATCTTGGCAGCAGCCCTCCAGGTATGGGACAATATGGCTTAACATTTTTTTGGGTTGTAAAATTTATGTCTTGTATGCAATTCTACAGTCCATCATTGAGTCTTTTTATAGCACATTTTGTTTGCTAGGCCCCACAGAAGCATTTATTATTATTATTGCAGTTTTGGTTTTTGGGCTAACTTTTATTTATACATATAAGGAACTTTCTTAATAATATGCATGCTAATGTGTCATGTATTATTGACAATCTCTCCCAAGAGTTACGCTCATTTACAATTTGGTGATTAATAAAACTGCCGTACATGTTTATAGACAAGTATTGCTCTTGTTGCTGATTAGAATATCATGCCAGGCTTTATGATCCTCGGGTTCCACTGCTACAAAAGATGCTGCATGGAAATTCATTCTTTCCCTCTGAAAAATTCTCAGATCCTGCAATTCTGGATATTTTAGTGAATCTTGGACTTAGGAGAACTCTGGGGTTTACTGGTTTGCTTGATTGCGCTAGATCAATCTCTCTATTGCATGATTTGGGGGATGCTGAGGCATTGCAGTATGGAAGAGAGTTATTGATTTTTTTAGATTCAATATCACTGAAGCTTTCAAGTAAAGCTGAAAATAATTATGGTCATCCACAAAGCGACGTTTCTTTGAGAAAAAATAGCATGATGGATGGTCCTGTTATGTACGATAGCTTTCATAAAACAGATGAGAACTTCCAAACAGTTGATAATGAAATTGATTCATTTGTAAGCAGCTTGATTGATGATATTTCAGAAGAAGAATTTTGGTCTGAAATGAAGGTAATATCTTGGTGCCCAATAATGTCTGATTCACCTGTTTTGGGACTTCCATGGTTAAATTCCAGTAATAAAGTGGTATCCCCCTCAATTGTTAGACCTAAATCACAGACGTGGATGGTATCATCCTCGATGCATATATTAGATGGTGATTGCCACTTGCCATATCTGCAAGCAAAGCTGGGTTGGATGGATTGCCCAGAAGTGGGTGTTTTGTCAAGACAATTAATTGAACTATCTAAATCCCATAGGCAGCTTAAGATTGATTCATTGCTGGAACCTGATTTTGATGTACAGTTGCAAAAGGAAATACCGTCCCTTTATTCAAGGTTGCAAGAATATATAAATACTGATGACTTTGTTGAACTGGAAGCAGAATTGGATGATATTCCATGGGTCTGGATTGGAGATGAATTTGTCTCACCAAATGCACTTGCATTTGACTCGCCTGTAAAATTCACTCCATATTTATATGTTGTTCCATCTGAACTATCAGAATATAAAGATTTGCTGATAAAACTGGGTGTCAGACTGAGTTTTGGTATTAGGGACTATCTTCATGTATTACAACGGCTGCAGAACGATGTAAAAGGGGTTCCTCTTTCATTAGATCAGTTAAATTTTGTCCATCGTGTCCTTGAAGCCATAGTAGAATGTTGCTCGGAGAAGCCACTTATTGAGCCGTTTGACAGTCCATTGTTGATTCCAGATGCTCATGGACTTCTGATGCCTTCGGGGGATCTTGTTTATAATGATGCACCTTGGCTGGAAAATAATTCTCTCGTTGGAAAACATTTTATACATCCCAGTATCAGCAATGATTTGGCTAGCAGGCTGGGCATACTGTCTATTCGATGCCTTTCTTTAGTCAGTGAAGATATGACCGAAGACATGCCGTGCATGGACTATGATAAAGTAAATGAGCTGTTGGCCTTGTATGGAAATGAGGAGTTTTTGTTGTTTGACCTTCTTGAGTTGGCAGATTGTTGCAAAGCCAAGAAATTGCATCTGATTTATGATAAGAGGGAACATCCCTGCCAGTCTTTGCTGCAACACAACTTAGGTAATTTTCGTTATTGATGTTTATTGTGTCCTTATTGGTCTCAATATTTGGACAGCTCAAGTTTCTTGTATGAATTTTTCTCCAATTTCTAGTACGATAATTGATGAACGAACACCTCCCTTCAATTAGATTTTGTCAGATAACATGGCGGTGGTAGTAAGGTGCACATGATTGGTTTTTGGGATCTTTAGGGGCCGGTAATACTATTGCACACTGTTTTTTTTTTTTTAATTGTATGAGAAAACATAATTGAAGTTTCATAATTTTGGACCTATTGGCTTTATTTTTTACCTGATGCCATGCTTTTCCAAAAAATATTATTCGTCCTTGGTGGATTCTTAACTTTCTCTCCCATTAGTTTAGCTTTTCCTCAAAAAACATATTTTAAACTTAATTACAGTTTTGCAATCAAAGAGCCAAATCTATTGACGTTGATGCTGTACAGTGAGTCAAGACTTACATACACTTGAAACATGAATTCCAAGAAAGATTCATGCAATTAGAATAAAATCAGTCACGCAAAATTCCCTAACAATGGCCATCTGATCTCTGAAGATCATTACCTGACTCAATCCTAAATTAATCACATTTGATTATTACAATTAATATTGATTACCGGATAACCACAACATTCATATTATTTGGCAAACTGTTGAAACTTTTAATTGAACACCTTTCTATAGTTCAGTTGCAACCAAAGGCAATAAAATGTCTCTGCAGTTGCTCAGATGTTAATTACTCATGCTGTGCGTTGTAGAATAAGTTTTAGGGTTCATGAAACATTTCATAGCATACTGAGCAGCTAATTTGTTCTTTTGTTTTATATGGTGTGATTTATGCAGGGGAATTCCAAGGGCCTGCTCTTGTAGCAATCTTTGAAGGAGCCTGCTTGAGCAGAGATGAAATTAGTAACCTCCAGCTCCTTCCTCCATGGAGAATACGGGGCAACACACTTAATTATGGTTTAGGGTTGGTTTGTTGCTATTCCATATGCGTCCTCCTCTCAATCATATCTGGTGGCTACTTTTACATGTTTGATCCTCGTGGTTTGTCACTTGCTGCACCTTCGACATCTCTCCCTTCAGCTAAAATGTTTTCCTTAATAGGTATCCAACATATTCCTCATCGTGTAAATTCATTTAAATGAGCTTCCTTTATATTCTTTTTCAACCTCCTTTTGAATTTTTACTGGATTATTGCTTGCAATTTTGCTGTTACTCTTAGTTTATTCATAGTTGTATATGGATCTTTGCTTATGGAAAAACATTCCAACACTCTTGGATGGCAGGGCCTGATGGTTCTAATAGTAGTTTAGGGCAACTCACTCTTACTAAGAGCTAAAATTTTGTTTATGTCCGTTTGTTCTTTTGCATAAACAGGGGTAAAATTTGGTAGCACGTTTTATGATAATTACAAAAACGTAAAGATGTTTTAAATTTTTCATTAGATTAAGTTGATTGTTATTCTTTGCGATGCATATTGAAATTAAGTATTCTTAATATATGGCGTTAGCCCCGTTCAATTCCTTCTTATTTAGATTAAGTTTTTCATGGGGAAGCAATGAGCTTAATGTCCCCTTCGAAATAAGTTTAGACCAACGGGAAGATGTCCATAGAAGATTGATCAATCAAATACCACAAAATCAGGCATTGAGAAAACTCAACTAATCATATCTCCAGAGAAAAATAAGGGAACAAATGCTAAGAGACGGAATTGACTAGACTCAGCAAGGAAACATGGAAATCAATATTTCTTGTTTGATCTTATAGTTATTAATATTATTAATGAGAGAGTTGAGTCTTGAGCTGCTAATGCATTACAAACAAAGTTTCCAACTTCACATTAGCTGCGTAGTTAGTACTCAGAAGTCTATTAGAATGTTTTGCTTTCTCTGTGCCTCTTCTATGCAAACTTGTTCTATCATAAATTCAGTGTTTGCTTTCAGCTACTATGCTCGTTGGTTGGTGTGGGATACGCAAAGAACTTTTCCAGTAAATTATATGGAGCATATACTTGTTTTTTGGGTTTAAGTTTCTTAGTTAATGGTTGTTCACAAGAGGTGCTTTTGTTAGATATTCTAGAAAATTTGAAATTTTTTGGTATTGATATTTTCCTTTGGAGTTCTGTTTCCTACTGTGTTTCTTGGAGGTTGTCATGTTCATTTTTCTTAAAAAATTTGTCGCTTTTCTTGATAGTTTGTCTATGAAAGAAAAGGGCATTTTTCTGGTTGATTTTGAAAATGTGAAAATATTTGATGTTTCATTAATTTGAAATGCAATGTTCACCTCTTGTCTAGAATTATAGAGTTTTGACATCTTTATTATTGAGCTTTTAGGTACTGACCTCACACGACGATTTAGTGATCAGTTTAGTCCAATGCTCATCAATGAGAATGAATTATGGTCATCATCAGATTCTACCATCATCCGAATGCCTCTATCATCTGAATGTCTGAAGAATGGATCCAACCTGGGATCAAACAGGTTAAGGCAAATCATTGACAAATTTATAGAGCATGGATCAAGAGCACTTCTTCTTTTGAAGTCAGTTTTGCAGGTAATGATTTTCTGTTGAGGATATATTTAGTGCGTTTGACCTTGCTGGGCTAGAAATACACATCAAAACCATGAAGGGTTCTTCCCACAATAGCTCAAGATTTTAGGATAAATGACTGTCAGCATTTTATCAGTTTTTCATGACCAAATGGTAATGGGTTTGGTTTTGCTACTCCACTCTCTTAATCAGAATTATAGTTTTACTCTGGGTGGAAACTTGTGCCTTTTCTCCCCAGAGGGCTTTCATATGCGGTACTTCTTTTGATATATACATTGAAATAAAAATATTCATGGGCCCTCTCCTGATATTTTATACTTTTGGGTTAAAGTTGCTCTCGACACGAAGAGTTTATAATATCCTGGATACCACTTCATCCGAAAGTGTCTTTTGAAAAACATTTTCTCATTTGCCTACTTTGTTCAAAAGGTGTTTTTAGAAAGTACAATTCACTGAGTGGAAAAAAATGGTTATGATCCTTCACTGGGAGTCAAATTAACTACAAGACTGGACATTTCAGTGTGTGTAGAACTTGCAATAGAATGGGTGGGATGCCAATCTAGTGATTTCTACCCCTTATTCATGTTACTTGAAATTCATTCTCTATGATATACTGGTGTGCGCTGGCAATCACTTGCTTTGAATCTAGGTGATGGTTTGCTGTCCATCTTGGGGAGGACCTGTGAGTGGTTAACATTCCTTTCAAGGTTTTCCCAAGTTGTAGGTTTGATTCTCCATCCTAGGATCTAGATTTCACAAGACAAATGTTTTATGGAATTTTCACTTTTATGAGAGATTTGATAACTGAGGGAATTTTAAATGGATTTGATTTTTATTTTGATTTGTCTTGGTCTGTGCTTTAAATTCTAATCTATAAGGAGGATTTGGGTTTTGGATTCCTCTGGTAACTTTTGAGACTGTTCCAGCTAGAAGTTATATGAATAGTTTTGAAACAATCACAAGATTATAAATCTAAAAATTTAGGTCGTGGCAAGTTTTGAACAACTTTTTCCTCCTTTTTTCTTGTTTTGCTTCTCTTATATGATTTCTCCAAACATGTGCAGTAGCTGTGGTTGACCTATGGTCAATGATAAAACCTGTTCTGTCAGCATCAGACTTCTAATGATCTTTTAAAATTTTCATGCTCTCAGGTATCAATACTGACATGGGAAGATGGAAGTTCACGTCCATGCCAGAATTATTCAGTTTGCATTGACTCATCATCTGCTCTTATGAGAAATCCTTTTTCTGAAAATAAATGGAGGAAGTTCCAAATATCACGATTATTTAGCAGCTCTAATGCTGCTATTAAGATGCATATAATAGATGTGACTTCATATTCTGAAGGAGTTACAACCATCGATCGGTGGCTTCTTGTACTCTGCCTGGGTTCTGGACAAACAAGAAATATGGCTCTTGATAGGTATTATTCTATGCAAAGTATGTAGTGGACATTATCTTGTTCATGTCTTATAATGACTTGCTCCATAATTTTTGATTTAGGAAGAAAAAACTTAAAAACTCGATTCTTTGTATCTTTGCTATTAGATTCTCCAATGAAAATAAGCCATGTGCGTCATTTTTTCAATAACATCATTGTCTGCTAATAATGTGACAAGTTATGGTCACTTGTTCGTAAAAAGGAACCAGTTTTTTACAAAAAAGGATTTAAATTCTCCTTTGCCAAAATAAAAAATGTTATGCTATTACATTGACTATCACGATTGCCAAACAAATTAAGCTTCGCTGAGGTCATTTTGACTAGTTCCATAGGCTAAGGACGGAAGAAGAAAACAAGGGGAAGAAATTTCACAGATGCATGATGCTTTCTACACTTTGGTAATTATTCAAGTTCACAGGAGTGCCACAATTTTCAAAGGCAGATGCCATCTCATTCACATCAATTCATCTAAGCTTTTACCTAGTGCCTGGAACAAGGCGGCTTGTTGACGGAAAGGGAAACTCTGGTTTCAACTTTTTGGTCTTGTTTTCTTTTTCATTATACCTGTCTATGGGATACTTTGTCTGCCTTCTTGTAATGTTCTTTCTCGTGTAATGAATTATTTGATCTGATGTGGTTTGTTTGATAACATCCTAGGAAGTATGGATGCTGACGGAGACATGGGACATGACTCCCATTTAATACGGAGTGCCGTGCAGGGCATGTCATGTCTGATATGAATGTTTGATAAATGTCTGAGACAACAAATTTCGTTTTTTTTTTTTTTTAAACTTCAGTGCCTCATAAATTACACTAATTTTTTTTTCGGCCAAATTATACTTATCATTTAAGCATCCACTTTTTTCTTCTCAGGCGATATCTTGCCTATAACTTGACTCCTGTTGCTGGAATTGCTGCACTTATATCAAGAAATGGCCATCACTCCAATCCTTTCTCCTTGAGCTCCATTATGTCTCCTCTTCCTTTGTCTGGTTGTATAAACATGCCTGTTACGGTCCTAGGGTGTTTCCTTGTATGTCACAACAGAGGTCGTTTCCTCTTTAAGTATCAAGACAGGGAAACATTAGCTGATGTACATGTCGATGCTGGAAATCAGTTGGTTGAATCTTGGAACAGAGAGCTGATGTCCTGTGTTTGTGACTCCTACGTTGAGATGGTTTTAGAAATGCAGAAGTTAAGAAAAGATGTTCCGAGTTCTTTTATTGACTCCAGTGCCTATCCTGCAATCAATCTCTCTATGAAGGCTTATGGAGATCAGATCTATTCCTTCTGGCCATGTTCTAAGGCTGGTGTTCTGAGTGATCAACCTAGTGATTGCAGCACGACTCCTGCAAGTTCAGCAGCCATTCTCAAAGCAGATTGGGAATGCCTTAAAGAACGGGTGATGCATCCGTTTTATTCCCGTATTGTTGACCTTCCAGTATGGCAACTATATTCAGGAAATTTAGTCAAGGCTGAAGAAGGTATGTTCCTTTCACAACCTGGGAATGGGATGATTGGTAGTATACTTCCGGCTACAGTTTGTAGCTTTGTAAAAGAGCATTATCCTGTATTTTCAGTACCATGGGAATTGGTAAGTGAAATCCGAGCTGTGGGTTTTCCTGTTCGTGAAATTAGACCTAAAATGGTTCGTGATCTCCTAAAAATTACTTCAACATCAATTGTGTTACGGTCAGTTGACATGTATATAGATGTTCTTGAATACTGCTTGTCAGATTCTCTGCAAACCGATGATGTCACAATCGGTTCCAGACAAACTGATGTCAGAAGCAGTTCTCATCCAGAGTCTAATATGCCTAACTCCTTTAGCTCTGCCACCCAAGGTGCAGCCAGCTCAGGAGATGCACTTGAAATGATGACAAGTTTAGGGAAGGCTTTATTTGATTTTGGGCGGGGTGTTGTTGAAGATATTGGTAGAGCAGGAGGACCCCTGGTTCACAAGAACGCTGTGACAGGAGACGGTCAAAATAGGGACCAGAAAATTATATCCATTGTTACAGAGCTCAAAGGTTTACCATGTCCAACTGCTACTAACCATCTGATAAAATTGGGCTTTACTGAACTTTGGGTTGGGAATAAGGAGCAGCAATCATTGATGGTTCCCTTGGGAGCAAAGTTTATGCATCCTAAACTATTAGACAAACCAATATTCGGCGAACTTTTCTCTAATCTCACTATCCAGGCACTTCTGAAGTTACAGAATTTCTCTCTTCACCTTCTGGCCCATCATATGAAGCTAATTTTCCACAAAGATTGGGTGAATCATGTAACAGGATCAAATATGGTTCCATGGCTTTCATGGAAGAAACTACCATGTTCTGTGGATCAAGGCGGTCCTTCCCCTGAATGGATTAGAACATTCTGGAAAACTTTAAGTGGTTCACAAGAAGATTTATCTCTTTTTTCAAGTTGGCCCTTAATTCCTGCCTTTCTCGGTAGGCCAGTTTTATGCCGGGTAAGGGAGCGACAACTGGTCTTCATTCCACCCTTGGAACATCCACCATTGACAAGTGGTGTTTTAGAAAGAGAAGCAGCCGTCAGTTATCTGGGTGAAGCATCTGATGGTAATACTGTTGAAGCTCAGTTAATTGAATCCTACACTTCTGCTTTTGAAAGATCCAAAACTAGGTATCCTTGGTTATTTCCTTGGTTAAACCAGTGTAATATACCCATATTTGACGTAGCATTCATGGACTGTGCTGCTTCATGCAATTGTTTTCCTATGCCTGGTCAATCACTTGGCCAAGTTATTGCATCCAAACTCGTGGCAGTTAAGCAAGCTGGATATCTCTCTGAACCTACTAATCTTTCCACTTCATGTTGTGATGATCTTTTTTCCCTTTTTTCTAGTGAGTTCTCAAATGGTTCCAGCTTTACTCGAGAAGAAATTGAGGTTTTACGTTCTCTGCCTATATATAAAACAGTTGTTGGATCTTATACTAAGTTGCAGGGTCAAGATCAATGTATAATCCCTTCACATTCGTTTCTTAAACCATATGATGAGCATTGTCTTGCTTATGCCACAGATTCAATTGAAAGTTCATTTCTTCTAGCCCTTGGGGTGCTGGAGTTGCATGACAAACAGATCTTAGTACGCTTTGGCTTGCCTGGCTTTGACAGGAAACCTCAAAATGAGCAGGAGAGCATATTGTTACATCTTTATACGAATTGGCATGATCTTCAAGCCAATCAGTCAGTTGTTGAAACTTTAATGGAAACTAAATTTGTGCAAAATTCAGATGAATTTTCAACAGATCTCCTAAAACCCAAAGACCTTTTTGATCCTGGTGATGCTCTGTTGATCTCTATTTTCTCTGGTGAGAGAACGAAATTTCCAGGAGAAAGGTTTAGTACAGATGGGTGGCTTCGAATATTAAGGAAACTTGGCCTTCGAACTGCTATTGAAGTAGATGTAATACTTGATTGTGCTAGAAGAGTTGAGTTTCTTGGAAATGAGTGCTTGAAATCAAGTGATATGGATGATTTTGAATCAGACTCGAGCAATACAAATAAGGAAGTTTCAAGGGAAGTCTGGATGCTGGCAGGATCTGTTATTGAATTTATTTCCTCAAACTTTGCTCGCTATTTTAGCAACAACTTCTGTGACATTCTTGGCAGGATTGCATGTGTACCTGCTGAGCTGGGGTTTCCAAGTGTCCATTGCAAGAGGGTACTTGCTTCATATAGTGAAGCTATTTTGTCTAAAGATTGGCCTCTTGCTTGGAGTTGTGCTCCCATTCTTTCTAGACCACAGATTGTTCTTCCAGAGTATTCTTGGGGAGCTCTCCATTTAAGGAGTCCTCCGCCCTTTTCCATGGTTTTAAAGCACCTGAAGGTAAAAAATGACACTTCTATTTTAATTATTTAACTGCATTATTTATCTAAATATTTGTCATTGCCCCAGGAAATTGGGAAAAATGGAGGTGAAGATACCCTAGCTCACTGGCCCATTGCATCAGGAATGAACATTGAGCAATGTACTTGTCAGATCTTGAAATATCTAGAGAAACTTTGGGGTTCCCTTTCTTCCTCAGGTGACTCCCTTGGCTTCCTTCTGTCATGGACTTCTCATTTTGATTAAGTGTCCTTGGGCTTTTATCTGGTGGGCCAGGGTGGGTGAAAAAAGCATTATTGGTTTTACACAAAGTCTGACGCAGATTGGTTTCCATTTGCTACGTATTGCTGCTATGCTCTTGGTGCTTAACATGTTTAATGCTGAGCTACTGAGATCCCCAATATTTGTTTCTTTAAATATTTTTATCACTGCAAATTTTATAAACCAATCTTCAGAAAAACTTGCAGAATCAAATTGATGCTTCAACATGAACGGTGTTAATGTTATAGTGACCTAACTTGATTGTCAAAGTTCTAATACTTTTTTCCGCAGATCTATTGGAGCTACAGAAAGTGGCATTTCTGCCTGTTGCAAATGGAACACGCCTGGTGACTGCTAGTGCTCTTTTTGTGCGTTTGATTATCAATTTATCTCCATTTGCTTTTGAGCTCCCTACAGTATATCTACCATTTGTGAAGATTTTAAAAGATTTGGGTCTTCAGGAGACACTGACCCTTTCTTCTGCAATGGATCTTCTCCTAAATCTTCAGAAAGCTTGTGGATATCAGCATTTAAATCCAAATGAGCTACGGGCTGTGATGGAAATTTTGAATTTTATATGTGATCAGATTATTGAGGGAAACACACTCGATAGGTCTAACTGGAAATCTGAAGCCATAGTTCCTGATGATGGCTGCAGGCTTGTTCATTCAACATCATGTGTCTATATTGATTCCTGTGGTTCTCGATACATCAAATGTATTGATATTTCCAAGATAAGATTTGTCCACCCAGACCTCTCTGAGCAAGTATGTAGTGTGCTGGGCATTAAAAAGTTGTCCGAAGTTGTTCTAGAGGTAGCATGATTTCAAATATTGATTTGCTTTTCAAGTTAATTCGCTATCATGCTTTCTTAATTTTATTAAATTTTATTTGTTGCCAAGTTTGTTAACAGAGTTGTTACTTACCGGAAAAGTTTCTGCTTGGGCTTTTAGGAACTTGATGAGAATGAGCAGTTGCAGACTTTAGATTCTGTGGGGTGCGTTTCACTAGTGACTATCAAACAGAAATTATCAAGCACTTCGCTTCAGGTTGCTGTATGGACCATTGTTAACAGCATGGGCTGTTACATTCCTGCGGTTAACAACTTAGCTTTGGATACAATACAATCCTTACTCAAATCAACTGCAGAAAATCTGCAATTTGTTGCAAATCTTAAAACGAGGTTTTTGCTCTTGCCCAAGTTAGTTGATATTACTCGTGTTGGTAAAGACTTTATCATACCAGACTGGAAGGGTGAATCTGTACATCAGACTCTTTATTTTGTGAAAAAATCAAAAACCCGTATTCTAATTGCAGAACCACCAGCTTATGTATCGATTTTTGATCTCATTGCCATTGTTGTCAGCCAGGTTTTAGGCTCTCCTACTGTATTGCCTATTGGACCTTTATTTGTTTGTCCTGAAGGATCTGAGATTTCAGTTGTTAATGCTTTAAACCTGTGCTTTGACAAGAAAGAAGTTGAATCCGGAAGGGGAAGCAGTAATTTGGTGGGAAAAGAAATATTGCCTCAAGATGCTCGTCTTATTCAGTTCCATCCGTTGAGGCCTTTTTATTCAGGTGAAATAGTGGCTTGGCGTTCTCAAAATGGAGAGAAGCTAAAATATGGCAAAGTTCCTGAGGATGTCAGACCATCAGCAGGCCAAGCTTTATACAGATTTAAGATTGAAATTGCTCCAGGCGTTACCCAAGTTCTACTTTCTTCTCAAGTTTTTTCATTTAAAAGTATAGCAGCAAGCAGTCCTCTGTCAGAAACCTTGGTAGGTGATAGCCTTGTAGTAAGCAGTAACAGGCCTCATGTTGAGGTTTCAGAGAGTGCGCAAAGGGGCAGAAGCATCTCTCAGGTTCAGCTCTATGGGCTTGCTGCTTATTATTGTTTTTTTCTTATGGATTGCCTACTTCTGCAACCCATTTTTCATGTATGTTGTGTGGAAGACTTCTCCAGAGGCTTGATTGGGATTTCTCTGATCAATATACTGGAAGTAGTTTCTTTTTTATTTGTTTAGGTATATGTAAACGTAAAGTATTTAAAATATAAAACTGGAGGAAAAAAAGAGAGAAACAAATAAGCCAGATCAAGCTTTTCAACTTCTTGAATTGTATGGAATCCTCTCTTTGGAAATCTAGAATTTTGTCAAGAACTAACTGTTTCATAATTCATATCCTATTTGTATTTGATGTGTTGTGACATCTTCTGTCTTGCTTGCGTGTCTTGATATGCTTTAACTGAATACTGCAGCCAACGAGAGAAGTCCAGCATGGCAAAGTTTCAGCCGTAGAACTGGTGCAGGCGGTTAATGAGATACTCTCTGCTGCTGGAATGAATATTGATGTGGAGAAGCAGGCTTTACTTCAGAGAACAATAGCTTTGCAAGAAAATCTCAGAGAATCTCAAGCAGCACTCCTATTGGAGCAGGTTGGTCTTTTGTAATTTGTAATATTATGTTTGTTTTTGAGTGAATTGACCCTTTGTTTTTTTGGGAAAAAAAAGTTTAAAGAATTCTATTCCTCTAATAAAAAATTATATAAAAAGGGGCATGCCCCTACGCAAAAAAATGATCTGCGACATATAACAGATCGATCTAAAAGATGTCGAATCTTCTACCAGACATCTCTGCAAACCTAGTCCTCTCGACTAGTGCTAAAAAGTGTTTCCATTAAACTTTCATATCAATTACAATTCTGTGGAATGAATTGACCATTTAAAATGGACACATACGGCGAAACTTCAGCAGTCAAAAGGTTTATCATATCACAGGCTGTCTTAATTATTGCCTGTCCCTATGCTTTTGGGAATGAATGGTTTAACTTGTTCGCTTTTTCTGTTTACAGTTAGGGGATTTGGAATGAAGTTAATGAAAGTTAGTTGCAGTTGTTTGGTCCGTTTGTGGTATCACGTATTTGTTGAATATTTGGACTGAAATAATCTACCCAAGTTTGGGAGGATTCAGAGGGAACTTGTTAGTACTTGGGAGAACTCGTCAATGGTTTCCTTTTTGGTGTAATTTTTTAATGGAATAAATGCTTTCATTACATGCATGTCATGTCTTCACTCGTGTGAAAATAAAGTGATACCTGGCTCAATTGTTTTCTTCTAAAGTGTAAAACCGCATTTCATTTCTGAGATGACATGTTATATTATGATAATTGTACAGGAAAGGGTTGAAGCGGCGACAAAAGAGGCTGATACAGCAAAGGCAGCATGGCTGTGTCGGGTTTGTCTGACTGCTGAAGTTAATATCACAATAGTGCCTTGCGGTCATGTGCTTTGTCATAGATGCTGTTCTGCAGTATCAAAGTGTCCATTTTGTAGGCTCCAGGTTACTAAAACCATTCGAATTTTCCGACCATAGCATCTTTGCTGCTTAGCTCCTGTCTCCCGTGGGTTTATTTGTTTCTGTCATGTAAATGATTCGACGGAAACAAACCTGCAATGTATAGACTATAATGGGAATAAAATTTATTTGGAATACATTTTTATTTATATATTTTTTTAAAGATTTAATAAATTTATGACGAACTACGGCATGACAGTTTTGGGCTGGCAAAGATCGTATTACAGCAGCTAACTTTATTCGATGAAAACAAATATACAGATTCAGGCATTCAGCCAACACAAATTGCACTAACAGATGGAATCAATGTATAGATTATGATGGTCATAATTGCGGGACTTGCGCAGCTGAGCAACACAATACAGGTGGGGGAGAAATCTTATGGGAGAAAAATAACAAAGGAGCCTAAAAAAGAGCAAATACTCATTTTTGTTTTTGGGGGGCGGTGCTAACGACATCTGGGGGTGGGGAAAATAGAAAGGGGGAGCTAGTATCAACTCCTGGATTCCTAGTTGAGGGATTTAGTGTTGGTCCTTGGGAATATCCAAGTCTTTGAAAATTGGACTGTCAACTCCAACGCCCATCGCATTGAGGCCATTGTCCACATATATAACAGCACCAGTGATGGCAGATGCCAAAGGGGATGCTAGAAAGGCAGCTGTGTTGCCCACCTCGTCTGTCATATGAAATTTTAACTCAGTCGTGACAGGAAAAAGACATTGTACAATGCGATGAGGAAGAGTATTGAAGGGAAATGAAAATATTACCTGCTGATAGTTCTTTCTGTAGGGGTGCATTCGCTATTGAGTAATCAATCATCATGTCAATGAATCCAATTGCTTTTGCAGCACGACTTCTCAAAGGACCTAAATGTAGTTCTACATCAGCAGGGGAGCGACATATACAATAGTATGAATGGAAATAAACTTCATGAGGGCTTAATTCATGCTTTTCTGTAAGGATTCAGTTTCATATAACACTCGATATGTATTCATTGAAGCAAAAAATACAGTTGTGACAAATGTTGCCAGTAAGTTAGGCGCCTGTATCTTAATGCAAATCAAGTCCAAACATATATGGGAGATTGTGAGCATATAATAGAATCTGGCAAGTCCATGCAATATAAAATCAAATTCTTTAACATAGGCCCTTTCATGAAATAGCTCATGTAGAAAGCAAGACGCCCGCTGCTATTTAATCTTTGACTCACTTGAGGCTGACAAATTATAGCAATCTTAAGACCCATTAGATATAGAAAAGGAAAAACTATATCACGCTAAAAATATTGTCCCAAGTACCAGCAGATATCGTATTGACTCTGATTTTGTGCTTTCTGCCCGCCTCAAAAGCAAGCACCTGAAAGAACATACAATTATATAAAAGTTCAAACATCCAGAGGCAAGGAAAAAACAAACAAACAAACAAAAAATACCAAAAATAGATTACACACTTACTCGTGTATCACTTTCCAATGCAGCTTTTGCAGAACTCATACCCCCACCATATCTGCATATTACTATTAATTAGTTCAAGAACGATAGAGTCACACCAAAATCAGGACAATAATAATTACAGACTCTTCAAGGCATAATTAACACACCCAGGAATAATCCTCTCTGAAGCAATGTATGTAAGAGAGATTGAAGATCCACCTACAACCAAAACAGAAAGGTAAGAAAATGATATACCAAAGCAAGAAGCAATATAATGGCAGCCATGTTAAATAAGATACATGCCTGGGCTAATAATGGGAAGGAAATGCTTGAGTAAAGAGACATAAGAGTAGCTAGATGCAGATAATGCAGCAAGATATCCTTTTCGAGATGTCTCCAGTAATGGTTTGCTCACCTATAACAAAATTGAGTATTGACTGCTTGTTAAACGCAGAGATAAAAAGCATAAAGAAACTTTGTTAGAGCATCTACCGTACCTCAGGTCCATTGGCAAGTGAGTGCACGAGGACATCTATACTGCCAAAGTCTTTTTTAACAGATTCAGCCACTTCCTGCAAATAAGAATGACGCGCATGACACATAACAAAACCTTGCAATTCAGTCATGCAGGAAATTAAGACAGTACATAAATCACTAATTGGCTGAATGCTTTACTAAAGATAAAGTTCCCTGCTCTGAGAAATATAGAACAAGAGTTCATTTCACTCAAGTACGAAAAATTAAATGTATACAGCAAAATATTTTAAAAAAAAAGTAATATGATGAATTAATTCATATAATTAAATTTGAAAAAATAACTTGAAAATGAAGTTAGAAAGAAAGGCTTGATGCTTGACCACACAAAAAAGTAAAGGAGAAAGAAAGCATAGTAGATGACAAAAAATTCACAATTTATTGGGCAGAGTAGCTGAAACGATACATTAGAGTGACTGAAAAATTGTGAAACTTTTATATTATCTCAAAAGATGCAATTCAATTATTCAAGCCCAGCACAGCATATTTTCGCAATGACATCCATTTCCCAAAAGAAAGTCACCTATGATGTAAGCATGGAAAAGATGAAAGATAAAAATAAAATGTGAGAGAAAAATGTCACTTTAGCAAGTTAGGGCTTCCCTTCACTGCAATTTCAAGATGTTCAACTATGTAAGGTGAGTTAAAGGCCGTGCAAACATCTTGAAAATCATTTTGCGGGGCAAAATTACAATGCTCATCCTCATACTTATAGTAAGTTGTACTTTTGAATAATTAAGGCCAGAGATCAAGTTGGCAGTCAAAATATTATCTTGACAATGCAAAGGTGTATACCTGAACAGTCCAATTAGAGGATCCAGCATAACGCTTGTTTGATTTTATCTGCACAAGTGTTCAAAAACAGACAAAGCATCAGAATATTCAATTTTTTTTATAAAATAACACCGTATAAAAGTTTGCGTCTGGAAGTTTGAAAAAGAACTATGTATTTCTCCCTCACGTCTTCTGGTACATCCGCAGGGTTGTCAAAAACTGCATCTAAGGGATAAACTTTAGTGATCTCCATCATCGAACCACCGGGTAATCTGAAAAACTGAGTATGAGCAAAGTACACCGACTTCAGATAACCAACCATTAACTCAACAACAGCAGTTGGCATCATACAAGCGTGAGTCGTCAAATTTTCCACGTCGCAAGCTAGACTCAAAAATGTTCAAAGCCTATAGAACATTTTATGGTCAGTAATTACATCATTAAACAAGGACTGGAAAACAGAAAAAAATGTCCCAAAAAAAAAAAAAAAAGAAACAAAGCCTTCATATTTGCATATGGACTTACAGGTACCCACGTGCCTACAAGAATTTCAGCTCCAGCAGCAGCAAGGGATTTTGCAATCGCCCAACCATATCCATTGTCATCAGCCACGCCAGCAATAAAAGCCCTTTTACCTATAATTATAACTACTTTCAGTGGAAAATTACTTATATCATCTAAATGGGAAAAAAAAATGGGGTTCCTAGTTAAGTTGTGTGAAAGAAAAACTATGACAAAAAGACCAAGAGCCATTTACAGGCAATAAATATGACAGAAAACAAAGCAACGTATACCACACCATCCTTAGGGGCAAAGAGCATCTTTCAATAACTTCTACATCAGCATTCAGCAAGAACAATTTGTTACATCGATGAGAGGTTACTGCTTTTGTTCTGAGCAACTTGCAGACCAATGTTCAACATTCTTAGGAATACATGAAATAGATAATAGAGGAAAGGGCAGTTCATGCTGTCACAATATAAATTTAGACTTCAAGGAGACATGTATGCAGAAACAAAATACTTAACAGAAGGATTTTTCAGCAAAAAGAAGAATAACCTTTTAAATCAATTGGCAGTCCTGACACTGGCTTGTTTTCACTAGACTCAGCCATTGCCCTTGTACATGTTTTGTCAAATCTTATGGAAGATGATGTAAAGCTTCGCCGGAAAGGATGCAATGATGCGATATGACATGCGCTTGCCAGTTTATTCCATGATCCCACCTTGGACTTGCCACCAAGAACCACAGCGCCTGCATCCGCAAATCTTTGTGATGAACAAAAACAGGCTGTAGGTATTGCCAATTGCAAGCCAGAAAATGCTGTCGCCACCATCTTCAGGGAATGTAGTATGGCAGAAGAAAAACTAAAGCTACATTTAAAAAATGATAACTAGTATCAATAATTGTCAATTACACCTCTTTGAATTGAATACTGAGACACTATACAGAGAATACAATAACAGGAAATACCAGTTTTACATACATTTTAGGAGCTTGGACAGTTAAGGACGCTCAAGGGTAATTCTATTGAATTAAATTAGCTGTATAAGCAGTTCTTAACGAACTTATGACTAAATAAATTCTAAATTTACTGCTGTGCCGTGATTTATACTGCCTTGTGGAAGCCATAAAGGGAAAATGTACAGGAAAAAAGGAACGCGTCATCTATACAGATCATTCCTCAAGTATCAAAGTTTAAATACCTAGGATCCATTGTACATAAGGATGGTGAAATTGATGGAGACATTTCTTATAGAATACAAGCTGGCTGGTTAAAGTAGAGGAAGGCTACCGGAGTTATTTATGATAAGAAAGTACCTAAGAAGCTTAAGGGAAAATTTTGTCAGACAGTTATAAGACCAGCTATGTTGTATGATAGTGAATGTTGGGAGATAAAGAAAAAACAAAAGCACAAAATTGGGGTAGCAGAAATGAGGATGTTGAGATAGATGTGTGGTCATATGAGAAAAAATAAGATTCAAAATGAAAATATCAGAACAAGAGTCAGTGTAGCACCAATCCAAGAGAAAAAGATTAAACATCGCTTAAGATAGTTTTGACATATGCAGAGAAGGCCATTAGAGTCCCCGATGAAGAGGGTCGATCAGACAATATGGAGTCCCATAAAAAGGAGCAGAGGAAGACTGAGAAGAACGCTCAATGAGGTCATTGAATAAGACCTCCTGGTCAATAACATATCTAAGGACTGGGTTGTTGACAGAGCATGATAGCGTCGTGTGATTCACGTAGCCGACCCCACCTAGTGGGATAAGACTTGTTGTTGTTGCTGCTGCTATCATCTATACAGATCCTTAGTTATGATTACGTTTTACTTTCGTGAGGAAAATGATTAAACAAATCTAAAAAATTTGTGGCATCTGGACAGAAGAATCAATCGTCATGAAACACTGCAATTCAGTAGCTTCCAGCGAATAATTAAAATCTGAGCAAGTACCCAAGGATTCACGACAATCAACAAACCCGCAATGATCAGTTCACAAGACGTCCGCAATTAATTGCACTCATCTGGTTAAAGTTGTCAAATTTACTCCGTAGATCTGCTTATACTCAATCACAAGCGCAACGCTACATTGCAATCAAGCAGCAGCCTCACATTATTTACACAGCACTAAAAGTTAAGAAGAAACAAGAAAAAAGAACCCGTAAGGGTGATTATTCAAGCCCATAATTACTTTGGGCACCTTTCTGCCAAATCATTGGGCACTGCAAATCTTCAGCAGACAGACTTGTAACAAGGACTTGGTCCAGTACGCAAATGTACCGAATATCCATCAAAGTACAGAAAGAAAGTTCGCATGCCATCGATCGAGAAAAGGCAATAAAAGGCTCGTGCATACTTAAAAATGTTCATTCCTTACTAAAACCCAGAACAAAGTTTACAAGGGAATCCAGAAATTCGACAACCAGAAGACATAACGCTGCCAGTGAAGGTTGGTTGTTACCTTTTGGTAACGATAAACGCCAATGTGGAAGGAAAAGTGAGGGTTGGGCCTTGGGTGTAGAGAGTAATGGATTATCCAAGTTGGCTATCGTCGTTCTTATCAGGAATTTGTTGAACAGAGGAAGATCCCAAGAATGAGAGGTTTTGATGGAGAACGACCAGAGAGTGAAGGTTGTGGGATCGATAAGTGAAGCAGCGGCCGGCTGGACTAGAGCAACAATAGTTGGGATGCTTTGCAAGTGCCGAAATGCAGGGAAGGCGCATTTCAACGGCACGTGCATTGCCCGTTGAATCTTGAGAAAATTGCATTGACGTCTTCGGAAAAAGAAAAAAATACAGCAAAAGAGTTTCTAAAAACCTTCTAATTAATCACAAGTCCCGAAGAGATGTAGTGCAATTTAATAAAATGTGGGTAGACTTCTTTGCCCTTTGTAATATAGACAGAAAAAACACTGGAAAAAAAAAGGGAGAACTGTGCATCTTGGAACCTTGTGCATGAGAAAGAAGCAAAAAGTCATTGATGGAGCATTTTCTCCATCCGTGTTAGTGAAGTTCAAGCACCTTTTTTTTTTTTATTGTCTCAGTCGAGTTTTAGGTTCAAAAGTTTCTTTTCTCTCCTCTCTTAGAACATCTTGGTTAATAAATTAGGTTTGGGTATGAGTATGTTAAAAATCATTCTGCCATTTACATTTCATCTTTATCTTCTTGACCAATTTTGAGGTTTGAAAGTTTCTTTCATCTCCTCTCTTAAAACATTTTGATGGACAAATTAGGTTTGGGCATAGGTATGTTGAAAATTAGTTTGCTCTTTAGTTGTTGCAAAGCTTTTGTTTTTGGTCCGATATGAACCAGTTAAGCAAATCAGCGTTTGTATTTTTCGTTTGGTATGTATTAGCAATTTAAGTTGGGATTTCACTATAGGTGGGTACGATGATGATGGATACTATGTTTTTGAATATATTGTGGGTGGGTTGATAATGGGTTACTCTGTTTGAGCATGGGTTAGTGAGAATAAATGAAAAAAACGAGGCCATGATAGTTGTCAATATTGCTGATTCACTTGTTAATAACGGCTATATGATGCAAGTTTACATTAAAGAAGGCAAGCACGTCCGGAAAGTATCTATTTTGTTTTTTTTCCCATATATAGGGTAAATTTATAAATGATGGAGAATATGATTTGTAATATATTGGGGGTAGTGTAAAAACAATAAGTATAAAAAAAGAAACAAGTTATGAAGAATCGAAGAAAATTATATCATTATCATTTCTTAAAAAAAAGTAATTCTTTTGATTTGAAATTCTTTGTTATGTTTCATAAGAATACATTTATGGAGTTAATAGATGATGGAGGGGTGGAGCATTTAATAAAGTTTAATGGAGAAAATAGTCATATATATATAGAAGAGAATGAAAATAGTGGCCATATAGAAGCAGTAAGGGATGAGCAATGAAGGAGTAAGATGTGTAGGTTTAGTCTGAACCGTTTTTTGCTATGTAAGTTGTTACTGATGCACTGCTAAGTTGTTATTATATACACTCTAATTTGTCATTTACCATAAGATTAATCAATATTTTAGAGGTATGAATGGATTGTCTATGTCTTTACTTACCTTGTTTAATGAGATTGGAGGGCCACTGTCAATTTCATGTGCTACGAAAGATGCAATGAGGCTGAACATACTGTCAAGACATATAAGAACCCAAATCTCAATTAAGAACATGTTATGGAAGCTTTTTTTCTTTTTTTTGGTAAATGGTTTGAATGGAATTATATATATATATATATATATATATGACAATACACACCAACAATTAGTTTGATATTGGATATTTGCAATCCATATGTTTTTTGGGATGGGTTGTGAAATTAGCAAAATTACACGTATATGAAGCCGTATGTGAATGAAAGTTAGCTATGAAATGGTATGTTCGATTCTGATGTGTAATTAGTTGTAATTATTTACACCTTATATTGTCGATATATGCTTCCCTGCTTGTCAATCGTTGCATTATCACTTGTCAATTTATCTGATGATATCAAGTTAGTTATAATGTCATATGATATAAAGTTAGCTATAATATGATATAAGGTTGGCTACGATGTTATATAAAATCCCTGATAACATGCTTATCATCACTGATATGAAATTATATAATTGCTTGTCATTTATTACACCTTAACTTATCACTGGTTGTTATTAGATTTGTCAATGACTTCACCATCATTTGCCAATGGTTGGAACTGTCTTTTTTTAATAGCATTCAATTAATATAACTTTCAGTAATACACTTTAGTTATAATTAGTTATAATGTGTCATGATATTTATATTTTAAGATATATATATATAATTCAATAACAAATTTGAAATTAAGAATACTTTAGTTGTCAATGTTTCTTGTACTAGTTATTAATATCTATACCCTGATTTATTAGTAATTGCACTATTACTTGTTAAGTTTTCTACTGATATATATTATGTTTTTTTTTAAAATGTAAGGAAATAAATGAAATTCAACGTAATTGGACTGGTTCTTCTACACGTAACATATGAAAAGATTAACATACGAAAAAAGAGAGTATTAAATCATATTATATATAATTTAATATCATTGAATTCATTCCTACTATAAAATGGGTTGTTAACCAGAGGGCTCTATTCATTTCTAACACCCATAATTGTTAATGGTTTTATCTCCTTTTGCTTTGGTTGAAATCTAGTAGCACTGATAGCACTTTATCCCTATGTTTGTCGTTTTTATGAGTAACCAACTATCATAGGCATCCGACCTCAAGCTTTTGTTGTTCATTCTTCGAGTACCATGGCATAGTAAATCCTGCATTATCACGAACAGTGCCATTCTGCTCATGTAGTCATGAGAGGACATGAATGTTACACGAATCACTGTAAACAAAATTTAACATATAAGGATCATGCGAATCTTATTGAAAACCACAATAAACAAATTAATTCAGTACAGCAAATAAACTCACGCATCAGACTAGATATAAACTTTGGCCGATTTCACTTTATTGTCGATTTTACCCTCATTCTCAAATAATTTTGGCTTAATAACACGCAACAAGTTATAGTTAAACAATTACTTTGCAAAAAAAAAAAAAACATAACAAAGAAGACAGGGTAAGACAAAATCAAATGGCAACAATAACACCATGCAATGCAATTGAGATTGGTATAATCCAAAATGTTACATTTTGATATGTATTTAGTTGTCATTATTTGCACTCTCTCTTGTCAATACACCTTTCCTTACTTGTTAATATTGGAACTGTCACTTGTTAATATATCCACTGATATAAGTTTAACAAAAATTTAATTTCAAGTGTGCTTGAACTTTGGAGACCTTTTTTTTTAAAAAAAAAGAGGTGCCGTTGTCTTTAACTCTTCATCACTTGTGTTTTCTTTTATGTTTCTTATTCTCACACTATCCCCAATATACCGCATATTATCTTTTCCATTATTTACAAACTTTTCCCTATATGAAAATAGAAAATAGATGTTTTTAAGACATACTCATTATCTTTAATGTAAATCTATATAATAAGTCAAATAGTTATATTGACAACTATCATGATTTGGATTGAAAACGCATTCTCCTATTTTTGTAGTAAGGATTTCTATTCATACGAATTTTCATCTTTTTCATCCACTCCCACTAAATCATGATCAAATAGAGCAAACCCACAATCAATCTACTCATAATATGCCCAAAAACAAAGCATCCATCATTACCCTACCAACCCATGATGAAACCCCAAATTAAATTACCAACATATACCGAACCAAAACCATAAGCCCTGCAATTGGTTACCTTATTCATAATAGACCAAAAACAAAAGCTTAGCAATAGCTAAAGGGAGAAACAATTTTCTACATACGCTACACAAAAACCCAATATGCTAACCAAAATATTTTAGGAGAAAACAGGAAAGAAAGTTTTGAACCTCAAAATCAACTAAGAGGATAAAGCGAAAGGTGCCTTGACTTTAATAGTGGTGATAGGGAAGGTGCTCCACCACTTTGCTTCTTTTGTTGTCAAGCTTTTCTTTCTCATACAGGAGCTTTATGAAAAAGATGAAGGAAATTAATTATGCCTTTGTTTTTTGCCTCTTCATTAGGAAGGGCAATAGTGTCTACTCATATTCTCATTAATGCAATCAAGTCCCTTTGGGACTTTCATGCAATTATCAAGTTTAAAGAGACTTTTTTTACAATATTTTATCTTTTGTAAGACCTCAATGTCATTTTCTCTTGAATCTTTCATACTCGTTAACTATTTTTTTCCCCCTTTCGGGAAAGATCACAAAATTTAAAATCATGCATGTAGTACTAAAGCTATTAAATACTTATTTAATGTAATAATTAGGTAACTAATTTAAAAATATTTAAAAAGACTTAAATTAGTTATTTTAAAAAATGGGTAAATTTAAACTAATATTATTAATAATATATATTAAAATTACTTATTTGTTTGAATCTTTACTATTAATAGAGGTATTTTGAAAAAAAAAAATCGAACCTACAACTAACTATTATATTAAGCATCCAATGCATAAGTTTTATCAAATTCTAATCATAAAAGGAGCTAACATGAAAAATGTTAATTTTTTTTGCCAACCATAAAAAATGTTAATAAAAAAAAAGTCAAAAGGGTTTCTAGAGTGCCGGTATGGCCGTATCTTTAGTTTTGAAATCCGGATGGCATAAAAAATTAATACAAAAAGATATATTTAAATATTAATTATAGAAATAAAATTGATAAATACTTTATTAAGTCCTTATTATAACCTTTAAATAACTAATTTAGGAATAACTAATAATTAGTTAAAAGCAATAAATAACTTTAAAATATATTTTTGTTTCTAAATATACTCTTAGAATAAATAGAAAATAAAATGAAAAAGAATGTATAGAAAAATATGTTAAGAAAAAAATAATTAAAGATAATATTAAAAAAAAATTAAATACTAAGACAAATCTAAATTGAAACTTATAAAATGAGTCACACTCTTTCTTAAATTTAAAACTTATAAATACAAGCTGAAAGAGTTATGCCACGTTTGATATGATGGAATTGGGAGGTATGGAAATGGAAATGGAATTGATTTCCATCAAGATGTTTGTTTGGTATGATGGAATTGGAAAATTTTCCAATTCCATTTCCACCAAAAGTGATGGAATTGGCCTCCACCCTCACACCCCAAGATCTGTAATTCCATCTCCCTGCTTTTGTTTTTACCCTCCTTAACTAGATGTAAGCGAAAGTTCGAAGGCCTTCAAGCTTATCGCCAGCGACTACCCACCTTTGCTCCAACGACCTTTAAGCTCATCACCGGCGACTATCGACCTTTGTTCTGACAGCCTGAAGGCGATAGCAACGGCTACCTTTTAGAAGTCTTTATCTTTTGACCCAAACTCTGTTCACCTAATCTTCAAAGTAAGCTCTGATTTTATAGTTTCAAATCTAACAAAATGGACAAAATCATTGAAAAATTAACCTTTGAAAACATGGGTCGTCAGTTCTAAAAAAATCGTTTGTTCTGAAACTTGATCAATTTTTGTATCTGTGAAGAAAAATGATTTTTACTTCTTTGGTTGAAGTTCCATCAATTTTTGCATGTTAGAAGAACCATGATTTTTGCTTCTACATGTGCGTTTCTTTTTCCTGGTGATAATCGATGCTTGTGGATTGATTATTTACGCCACATTGTTGATGATGTTGGGCAAAGACTCCTTGATGTTAGATTCGAGTGGCGGAGGAGCTGCTTTTTCTTTTTGAATTCTTGAGGGTGTTTTAGTATTTACACATTTTAATATATATTTTAATTAAAATTTAAATTAGATTTCCATACTTATAGCAAACATATTTTCAAACCTCATATCCATCTCCATTTCCATTTCTATACCCATCTTCATCTCCATTTCAATTTCCATCAAAATCAATTCCATGATACCAAACGGACCCTTATTATGAATTACTTATTAAATGACTTATATTTTGTATCAAGCTATTTTCTAGCTTGCAAAAAACCCCATCTGGCTGGGGTATATAATTTTTTTAACTAACTTTAACTAGTTTTCTTTTTATTAACACTGAAACTTTTTTTGAAGTCCCCCGGTCCCAACGCCCTGCGCCTTTGTTGTCTACCTGGTGGAGCATTTTCTATGCACTCTTTTTTATGTATCCTGCGGTGATAACCAGGTGGAGTCTACCTGGCGTCCGATGATCAAGAATTTGTTTTGTTTTGTTAGGTCTTTTTCTTTTTGGTTTTTAGCCAGGCAAACTTGGAGCATGAGCGGCTCTGGCAGTCAGTGATCGAAATTCCCACGGGCCAAAAACCCTTAAACCCCTGTATTTCATTACTCTTCTCGTCTCTGCGGTATCTGCCTCCAGCATGGGCGAGTCTGGCAAGAAATCAGATCTCGGTGTATGAAATTTGGCGAACTGGTTCATTTTTCCCCATTGGATGACTTGTTTGCAGAAATGTCAATTATGGTTTAGGATGAGAAACTTGTCTGCTAATTGTTTTCAATGACTTATAGTTTGACGCTGCTGTTGCTGGAGTCTCACCATCGAAGTCTGCCATGATTGGTATGGAGAATTCGTCTACTCTTGTGCTTCGATGCTCTTTTCGTCAATTTTGTATTTCGACATTATTTCTTGGGAAATTTTTTTCTTTTCAACTGTGTGTATTGTTCTCCTTTCGTTTCCATGACCGTAGTGAGCCCACACCGTTGCTGCTATGGTGTATTTAATTGATAAATCCAACTTTTGGTGTGAGATCCTGACACGATAGGATTATAATTTTCTCAAGTCTCAATGATTCAATTGTTTTGAAGATTTGATTTGAAATGGTGTAAGTTTAGCTTATTTTAATTTTTTTCTTTTGATAGAAACTTTCATGTGGTTGTTTCCGTACTTTGATATTGATATAGGAAAGAGAGAAAGTGAAGATGAACCTGAGAAGCAAGTGACTGCAAAGAAGCAGAAGAGAGACTGGGATGCTGAAAATCAAAAGAAGGAAAGTAGTTCAGATGACTCCTTTTTAGATTCTGCAAACTCAGATGAAGATTCTGCTTTGAATGATGTGAGTGAGCAAGTTGCTTATGAGTTATGACACTATAAATAGTGACTGTTTTCAAAATAGCAAGGAGATATTCTTATGTTGATTGGATTCCCTTGAATGCCGCCTTTCAAACTTCTGATACTTTCTGGGCATTGTTTTTTATGCTCCGTAGTCCAACGTAGCCCCTGCTGAAGGTAAGAGTGGGCCCAGTGCTGTACGGAAGAAAGGCGAATCAAGATCAGATACCGGGAGTAGCTCAGTTGATAAAGATGTAAATAATGAGATCCTCTGGGCTACTCATTTTTAATTTTTTCAAATATTTTATCCTAATGATGATATTTGGCTGATGGTTTTTAGGATATAAAAATAGAAGCAACCATAGTGCGTGAGAAATTGCCTAATGCTGGTGAGAAAGAGCCTGCTAAGAAAGTTGATTCAAGCAAACCCTCAGGCTTAGATTCTGACAGCAAAACTAATGAGGATATGGACAATGTAAATTCAGGGTTACTGAATTCTGTTTAATAGTTGGATGTTTTGACTGCAATTTAGTATTTACGAATTAGTGGTTAAAATCCCAGGTAACCACATCATCGAAGAAGTCGCTTGCTACTTCTGCTGCAGGTAATAATAAATCCACTCATAAGTTTGTGTCAAGCAATGACTCATCCCTGGATAGTGGCTTAGATGAGGATGATGTAAGTCTTATATTGGGCTTTTCTCTGATCGTTCTTGTCCAATTGATTGACTTGTTGTATAATCTTTGCTCTTACTGTCTTGTCAGGTTCAGAAGACACGCGTAACGTCATCATCTAAGAAGCTGCTTGCTTCTGCAGTTGTTCAAAGGGAGGGAATTGGGAAAAATGAGAACCCCTGCTATGGATCAAGAGAAGGATTTGATGAGTGCAATGTAAATTCGGGCTTTGTTGAGAAATTTATCTAAATGGAATTCCTTTGTTTTGGAGTTAATTATTATGTAGAGTCTTGGGCCTGTTGTTATCTAAGTTGTGAATTTATTATTGTTTAGGATTCCTGTAGTTATTGAAGAATCAGCTGATGAAATTGCACCTCAGTGATAATCTTATTTGTGGAATTAGGTTTACATAAATAACCTATGTAGAAGACCACAGATCTGCCTTATTTTACGGAAAATACAGGGAAGATAAAGACATATCTATAAAACAGGAAAACAGGTGAGAGGTACATGTCAGCGCTTAAACTATTCAATCACTGATGAGGGAAATTATATCCAACAAAAGAATAAGATAAATAAATATTCCAGTGTCTAAACTACTCAAAATAATGGTTGAAATATCCTAACTCTCAACACTCCCCCTCAAGTTTTGCATTCTAGATATCGATCCCGCCCAACTTGGATTGCAATTTTTCAAACGTTGTATTGTGTAGGAGTATGAATGAGTTAATAACACCTGTATCAGTATTCTCTTTAATGAAGTTGATGAATACCCCAAGAAAATATCTTTATTGGATTCTGGGTCATCATTGTTATGTTTAAAGTTGTTTATTGGTTAAGCTCATCATGGTTTAATGAGCTATTTAGTGACTGGTCCTTGTTTGAATACAGCTTTTCATATTTCTGGTCCAAGTATGAGGCAAGTTGTCTTAAGTTTAGGCTTTTGGCTCCCTATTCAAATATAATAAGAAGTGTTATGATCATCATTCTGCCACAAGTAAATTTTATGAGCATTTTAACATGATAGAAATCCAAGAATTGTGTTAATGGGTGCCCTTGTGAGAAACCCTAGAGGAAAACTAGTTGAGAGATGGTCAAGAAAACTATTAAGGAGTAAAAAATCAAAGTCATATCAGAGTTGTGTCATTGTGATTAGACAACATGGTCAAGGAGAGCAGTTGAAAGAATTTGAGGAGGCCTCTCATGAAAAGTAGGTCAAGAATCTGGGAATTTGTTGTTTGTCAACCAAGGATGTCATTAGAGGAAGTACTAGCTGTGATAGATTTGTTGTAGTTGAGTATAAGCGTTTGACCCTTTAGTGATGGTACACTGTCTTGTGTACAATTATGTATTCATTTCTGAAGATGTTAGAGTTTAATAGGTCTCTGATTCTCGTTCGTTGAAAGCTGAATTGTTTTAAAAGAGGGGCTGCTACAACATGACAAATGTGTGTACAAGTCTTCCCACGTGTCATATTTCTGTTCTAATCCTGAGTTCTACAGGGTAATTAGCCGTGAGTCATAGTAACCATTTTGGTGCTCCTGCCTTCTTGTAGTTGTCGCTGGATGCTTGTGTATTTAGGATACAAAACCTAAGGTCCTTCGTTTATTGTATTGTACATGCTTTCTTGTCTCAATAAGAATCAATTTTTTAAGCAGAAACTAAATAAATGTCTTTACAGGGATGAAAGAGTAGACATGCTCCGGGGGGGGGGGAAGAGTTCCATTGGTTTATTTGTAAATTACAATGTAGAAAGTGGTACATGTCATTTAATTCATGCTGTACTGCTGTTGTTCATCTTCCCAATAATTTAATAAAAGCTGAACTAATGTCACTTTTTCATGACTTAGTTCTAGATTGTAAAGGTTTTGATATTGGGTAGTCAGTCTTGATGGTTCAAATGTTTTGCTTTTGACAGGGATGAAACTTTGAGAATTGGTAATAATGCTAGCTAATTCGCTATATGTTGAGGCCATGCAGTGACTGTGGCTTTTGTTAATTACAGGTTTCAGAAGGAAACGAAGAGATCGAGGAGAAACCTTGTACAACTCAGAAAGATGTATGTGTATCATTGTATTTGTCTGTGTCTGCTAAAAGCTAAATTTATTTAACTTCATGATCACTTGTAGATATAATGGATGCTGGTATGGATCAGGTGAAAGATGAAGAAATGGTTGATGTTACCTCAATGGGAGCAACTAGAAAGGGAGTTGTAATTGACAGATCTCTTTTCTTATTTCCCTTTGTATATCAAAATGATCAACCAGTGATATGATATGTCATTCCCTCAAATTTTGCAGCCTAAAACAGCGTTGACTTTAGAAAAACAAAATGCCACATCGAAAAAGATATTTGTTGGGAACTTATCATTAGAGATGAAAAGGGCCAATTTGTATGTATAATTTCCTGTGCAAATGCTTCACATATTTTCTGTATTTCTTTCTCTGATTCCAACATTGTTCAGGGAAAATCTATTTAAGGGTTGTGGAGAAATTGTTGATGTCTCGTTTGGTTTATATCGTGATGGGACTTTTAGAGGCTTTGCTCATGTTGAGTTTGCCACTGAAGAAGCTGCACAGAATGTAAGCATTTTTCATGTTGGCATTTGTCATATTGCTTGATGTCAAAGACAAACTTTGAAAGGATTCCGACGTCTAAAAACAATAAGAAAAATGAATGTTACATAAATTTGTGGCAATCCTAGCTAAATAGCTTAAGCTATTTTGGTGAAATGGACAAGCCTATACAAAGATTAATAGTAAATGATAACGGTTTAAGTTGGTATCTCTTTCTTGCTGTATGCTGTAAGTTTTCACTTATAATCTTGCCTAAGCTGTCATACCTTTTAGACTGGTCTGTTCTTATTTTTGTTGAGTCCTTGTATTAGTGTGCAAAGATGACAAGCTTCTTCTATTTGTTTGTATCCAAACCTTATTGAGTTAAAGAACCTTTACATAATGTTAGGCCCTTATGTTGAATGGGAGTGAGCTGTTAAGACGTTTTGTCAGAATTGAGATAGCCCGTGAAAAGTTTGCATATACCCCTAATAGCAGGTATTTATGATTTGACTGCTTTTTTTTTTTTCCATGTCTAAATTTTTTATATCTTGCTCGCACATCTTACTTTTTAATTTTTAATAGTATTTTTGGTATAAATTTTTAATTGTATGAACAGGAACAACACATTGAAGGGTTTTCAAGCATTCTCTGGAGATGGTGAGGTAATTTTATCTCTTGCAAATATGGTTGTTGCTTTTCCATGCGTGTCTAGTTCTCAATGGCATGTTGTAATTTTTGTATAGGCTTGTCCATTCCAGCTAAATATCAGCACCTCATCTATGTTCCTGGTTCCTCTATTGATGAGAGGAAAAAATAATGCAAAAAAAAGTTACTAAGACAGAGGATATAAATCCTCTACAAGAAAACGCTAATAGGAAATAAAACATTTCAGTCTCTAACTTAGAGGAGCCTGGCAATCACTTTGAAGACTCACAAGGGACATCTCCCGAAAGAAAGGCCTCATTACTTGCAAAGCTGCGGTGTGACTATTAATCAACGCATTATGTATTGCTTCCCAGCTATTGCTTCATGGATGAACCAATTGTATTGAGTGCAGTCTGCATATAGTGGCATGGTATAGTCATTATTGAAGATGGGTGGATGTATCAACTATTGAATGAGATTGATCTTAAGACCTAAGTACTTGCAAAGCTGCGATGTGACAATTAATCACATCATGTACTGCTTCCAACCTAGTGCTCCATGGATGAACTGATTATATTGGGATTGATTGTCATTTTGTTCTTTATAAGATCCAAGGAAAGTTTACCTCTACATGATATGTGAGGACCAATGATCAATTCAAGTATATTTTTGCCAAAGCTTTGAGTGAACTTCAAGTGGATAAAAAAGATGCAAAAAGTCTTGTGGAGATTAGTTGACGAAATAATTTCAGCCCTAATGTTGGTACTCTTTTTACTGAAGCTTCTGGTCTTTTAAACAAGGTCTCAGAACTGGGAAGCCATTTTTAGCTATGAACCATGTGAGGCAAATAGAGTTGTGGACGCTCTTGCTAGATAAGGTGCTCTTTATGATCATTTTTGGTCTAATGAGACTGCTTCCATTTTCATGGGTGACTCTGTGCTTTCTTATGCTTGGGATCCATTCCCTCTTGTAATTGGGCTTAGCACATTCTGTTTTTTTCCAAGAAAAATTTAGTGGATTATGTTTATAACAAGTTGGACACGACTAATATTTATGCTCCAGTTTGAGGGGCAGTGTTCTGTACATATCTAATTTGTATGTTAGAATAGTCTATAACTAATAGCCATATTTATTGGCTTAATTGTAGTAGTGGTTTGTAATTAGTAGTATTAACTCCCAGGAGCCTCGTTTTAGAAAAGAAAAGAAAGGTAAAAACAAAACCAGGAGCCTCAACCTTGTATATAAATTGACAAAATGTTTCAAATAAGTTTAAGGCATTTTCTTCAGTCTTTGTTCATTAATCACAACTAACAAGATTGGCTTCTGTGTCGTTGATGAGTTCTTTTTCCTTCATTTCTACTCACTTTGCATTCATTAGAGCACAATTATTGGTGGCAAGTTCTAAAAACGAGAACAGACACTTCATTTGAAGTGTTACGGAACTTGAGCAGTCTAAGTGGTCACTGTGGCGCATCACCACAGAAACACAGCTTGAAAGGGATCTCCCTTGAACATTGGAAAACAGTATTGCACTTTCCAGGATCATCCAGCATCGTGACTGATCTGCAGAACTGTAGTATTTGGGAACATCAAGGACAGACCTGATGCAGTCTTTTGTTTGAGAATTTTTCTTGTAACCTTAAGGTTATTGACTCAAATGAGATGATCAAATGGAGGGGCAGGGAATGTAGACTCATGTGGAGCATGCTTTGCTCTGCCTCATAAAGGCTCTGCTGGTGAAGAGCTGTGATTCCGTGATGGCTTAATCATTATTACAGAGGACTTTGTCCTTGATTATTTGCAAGATTAAAAAGTCCACCGCTATTGCTGTTGCCCTTCACATTTATTTAGACCTCTCAATCAATCCTTGCAGCTGTCATTTTTGGGATGAGTCTCCAATATACTGTCGAAGTCAAATACAAGAGAAGAAGGTTGAAAGGTCTACATCTCAAGGAGGGTTTTTCACCCCATGGCTGAGGGTATACTGTTGTTAGTGGGAGGGGATTGGTTTAATCCAGAATCATCTATTGGCATGTTGCAGCAGGGTGTTGGTCTCTGGGGTATTTTGGTCACTATACAACAGGTATATGGTTTCTTATCAGCTGCTGCAGATTGGCAATGGGCCCAAGGGTTGCTGGTTGGAACTTTCTTACTTTTTAGGAGGAATTATTGTTAAGCAAGATCAGTAGTTAGTACAATTTCTTAGCGATTCTTTTCTATTAGAAAGGATTCTGGTTAAAGGAATTAGATGACTTGTACTTGCCTATAAATAAGGGGTGAACTGATGTGATTATGGTATTGAATGATATTATGAGTAAATTGTACTCTGTGCCATGTTTGTGATAAGTTCTCACCAGGATCTACACCCATCAAATAGTGACGCAAGATGCAACAAGCTATAACTATTTTCTTCTTTACGATGCCATAACTAGGTTTGTGTTTTTTGAAGGTTAATAAATAAGTATTTTTCCTTTTTTAAAATTCCAAACCCACTTCAATATTTTGTACGGATCAATAATGGTGGTTAAATTGTTCATGACGATTTTGAGATGGATTTCCACCTCTTAGCATAATTCTAGCGATTACAAGATATAACTTCCCTAAAAACAATTGGAGGTTCATTAATGTATAATATCTTACTGGCTAAATTGCATTTGGCAAGATTCCTTTTGGAAGTGTCAGTGGATATTGATATATTGGCAGATGTTATTCCTTCTTACCTTGGCAACACAGACATAAAATAGACAGGGCATAAATTCTAAGATAATTGCACTGTTCAAAAATTATGATGAAAAATGTGAATTAAACTTTTTTAATAGCGAAATGAATAAATATGTTTGGTTTTGTGATGATTATGGTAGCCATGCATAGAATAATTAGGGGTGTTTTTAGCCATCAATAATTCATATAGCAGAAAATGGTCACATATAGTTGTGGGGTACTCATGTAATCTGTGTCCCCATAAATTTAATAGAAACTAAACTAACCTCGCTTCATTATATTGAGGGCTGCAATAATTACTGCTTGCGTTTCATGAATGAAAATGTTGACTCATTGATATGATATTTCATTCCATGAACTTTTGCAGCCTACAATGTTAGCTACTTCAAAAGAACAAAATGCCACATCAAAGATGCTATTTGTTGGAAACTTGTCATATAGCGTGGAAAGGGCGGATTTGTATGTATTATTTCTCTATCAAATGCTTCACATATATTTTTTGCGCATGCACACGCAGAGATATATATAGTCTGATCCTGACTCTTGTTCAGGGAAAATTTATTTAAAGATTGTGGAGAAATTGTTGATATTCGATTTGCTACAGACCGTGAAGGGAGGTTTAAAGGCTTCGCACACGTTTTGTTTGCCACAGAGGCAGCAGCACAAATTGTAAGCATTTGTGATGGAAAATGGAAGATCTATCCTAGGATTAGGAAAATCTAATATTAAATTTATGTTATCTTTTTTTAAAAGTTGGGATATTGATTTATTTTGAATTAGGATATATATTCTTTTAAATAAATTTAGTTGGAATTGGATTTATCCTATTATCTTATCCTATCTTATCTTATTTAATATTTGGTTTATTTTAAATTTGTGGAAAATCCTGAGATTAACTTCCAGGAATCAAGAAACTTTAATAGATTTTATTTCATTATATTTGATTCTTTCATACCTTGATTCTTTACCGTTAGGGCTTTTATTAGTTTTCCTTCTATAATTCTCTGACTCAGCGTATATATACTTCTGTACAATATGCTTTATGAATAAGAATATAGAATTTTCTAAATCTGCCTCCCTACTCTCATGGTATCAGAGTACGAGGGGGGAGATTACTTTGTTTAGTAATTGCCGACCTGACACACGATGCCTAAAGACATACCCACTGGGTCGACTTAGTTGAACATGGAGACTGAGCACTCGAACCCATCGAATTCTAGGATACCAACAACGACACTAAATTTTGAAGGGAACGCCGTTCTGATCGTTCTAGAGAAGGTGATTGGCGACAATTATGGGGAATGGGCACAATTACTTCAACTCACAGTCGAAGAAAGAGGCAAAATCGGCTACCTCACTAGCGACTCACTAACTTTCGCCAACTCACAACTCGCATGACTCTGGGAAACCAAAAATTTGATGGTGGCATGTTGGCTCATAAATGCAATGATTTTCACTATCAAATGCAACTTCATGTTCCTCCTTATGGCTAAGGAAATCTGGGACGCTGTCAACGAAGCCTACTCAGACGGAGAAAATGTTTTACAAGTCTTTGAAATTAAGACTAAATTGTGGTAGATGAAACAAGGTACGGGAAATCTCAATGAGTATTACTTAAACATGTTTGCATTGTGGTAGGAGCTAGACCTTTAGAGTGAAGAGTCTTGGAAATGCCTAGAGGATACTGCACAGTATAAGAAGAAGGTGGAGAAGGAACAGTTGTTTGAATTCCTCGTTGGAGTTAATGATGATCTTGATGCTGTAAGGGGATGTATTTTCAGCCAAATCCCTCTTCCTACTGTCCGAGAAGCCTTTGCTGAAGTAAGGAGGGAAGACTCACTAAAAAAGGTTATGCTTAAACCCCTCTCAGATTCTCCACTGAACCCTGGATCTTCCTCTGCTCTTTTCTCTCATGGCACTAATCAAAAGAGTTAGAAAACTAAACCTGTGTTTGAGCATTGTATGAAGACAGGCCATACTAAAGATACTTGTTAGGATATTCATGGGAAACAAGCAGGCTGGAAGCCCAGAAGAAGGAAAGGAAGAGGCTATGTCACCGAAAAAAATGATGATAGACCTTTAACGTCCCAAAGCATACCCAGCGAGCAAATCTCAAAGCTGATAGAGATTCTCTCTAACCTTCAACCCACGGGACAAGCAACACCCAGTCAATCTCAACCTACTGCTACTATGGTCTATAGAGGTAACTTTATGTACGCTTTGAATGTTATCCAAAGCCTATGCTCTGGTAGGTGCTGGATAGTTGACTCTAGTGCTTCTGACTATATGACTGATAATCGTGCTTCATTTAATGATTATACTCCTTGTGATGAGCCCCTTAAAGTTAAGAGAGCTAACGCCTCTATGTCCCTAGTAGTGGGTATAGGAAATATTAAAATTTCAGACCAGATTACACTCTGCTATTTTACATGTCCTAAATCTGAAATGTAACTTGCTCTCAATTCATAAACTCACTAAAACCAAGAAGTGTCATGCTGATTTTTATGATTCTTATTGCCTATTTTAGGACCTATCAACAAGGAAGACGATTGGTTATGCTAAGGAATTTGATGGTCTATGCTATTGTGATAAAGCTTCTATGCATCCCAATACTAGTACTAAAGTTTCCCTTTCTAGTGATAGTGGCCTACTTTTGCTGCATAAACGCCTTAGGCACCCAAATTTTCAATATCTGGTTTAAATGTTTCCTTCAAATTTTTCAAATAAAGACATTTCTAAAATTTACTACAAAGTTTGTGAAGTTGCAAAGCACCAACGTACTACTTATCATGGGAATATTTATCGACCATCTACTCCTTTTTCAACCATTCACAGTGATTTGTGGGGACCTAGCTGTATTCCTGATCGAACTCATCACAAATGGTTTATAACCTTCATTGATGATCACTCTAGAGTGTGTTGGACGAACTTGTTAAAAGAAAAAACCGAGGTCTATTATGTTTTTATAAATTTCTTTCAAATGATCAAAAACCAATTTCAAACTTCTATAAAAATCCTTCATACAGATAATGGTTCAGAATATATTAACAAAACTCTTGGTACCTTTTTACAACGAAATGGCATTATTCATAAACATTCCTACCCCTATACTACTCAACAAAACGGCATTGTTGAAAGAAAAAACCTCCACATTTTGGAAGTAGCACGCACCCTCCTCCTCAGACACGACGTACCACAATTCTACTAGGGCGATGCCGTCCTCACTGCCACTTTTCTCATCAATAGAATGCCTAGTAGACCCTTGTCCTTTCAAACACCTCTTGAAGTATTACAAAAAAAGCACTATGTTCCCTATCTTCAAAACAACCTTCCTTTAAAAGTTTTTGGTTACACTATTTATGTTCATCTGCATAACCAATGAAAATTGGATCCATGAGTAGTCAAATGTATCTTCATAGGCTACTCGAGCTCTCGTAAGGGATACAAATGCTATGACACTAAAAGAAAACAATTATTTATCACCAGTGATGTTACTTTCCATGAGTTTGAACCTTTTTACTAGACCACAATTCAAGGGGAGAATGTGAGGGAATTGCAGTCTCCAAAAAGGGAGAACAATAGCACCCAACCTTACTTAGAATAAGAACCTCCTCTCTCTTTTGAAACCTTTCAAAATGAGAAACAGACCCAAAACAAGGGGGATAGACAACCTCAAAACAAAACCAAGGTCAATAAAGACTTTAACAAATTTTGTAGTGGACGAAATAAAACTAACAAGTCTTCAAGTTCTGAGCATCACCAGGAATTTGAGATGTTGGCAGATCTTGTCCCCAAGGCATTTGATGAGTCTGCTGCAAATGATGCAGATTATGAAGAAAGTACAGGAGTAGATCTGGACCTTCTAATTGCCTTGAGGAAGAAGCCAAGAAGCTGCACGAAACACCCAATTGAAAGCTATATTTCCTACAAGGCTTTATCACCTCAATATGGAGCATTTGTTAGTAGCCTAGACAACACTGAAACACCAGCAAATATTGAAGAAGAAGAAGGATGAATCCAAGAGGAAAGATGAAGAATAAGAAGAAGAAGACGAAAGTGAAGGGGATGATATTGATAAAGGCGGTACTAAAGGCTTGTGGTGAAACCCATCTATCTCTACCACATAAGGCCTAACATTGCGTTTGTAGTCAGTGTAGTAAGCCAACACTCAACATGCCCCAAAAGAGAAACATCTCAAGGCAGTCTATAAAATCCTAAAATATTTGAAAGGCACTCTAGGCAAAGGTATATTGTATGAAAAATCCAATAAGCATTCACCAAAAAAAAAAAAAAAAAATCCAATAAGCAAAGTGTTGAGACATTCACAGATGTTGACCATGCAGGTCTCATGGGAATAGGAGATCCACGATAGGATATTGTGCCTATATTTGGGGAATTCTAGTAACCTAGAGAAGGAAGAAACAAAATGTGGTATCACGAAGCAGTGTAGAATCAGAGTATCGAGTTATAGCGCAAGTGACATGTGAAATAATCTGGATAGAAAGAATCTTAGAAGAACAGAAGATTCAAATAGAGTTCCCCATGAAATTGTACACTGAGAGCATGGCTGCTATAAATCTATCCCACAATCCGGTTCAACATGACAGAACCAAACATGTAGAGGTGGACAGACACTTCATTAGAGAAAAGATTGATAACGGACTGGTTACCCTTATTCATGTGCCCACATGGAGACAAATAGCTGATATCTTTACAAAAAGACTCCACAAAGAGAAATTTGAAGAGTTTGTGGGCAAGTTGGACGTGATTAATATCTATTATCCAACTTGAGGAAGAGTGTGGAAAATCCCGAGATTAACTCCTAGGAATCAGGAAAATTTAATAGACTTTATTTCATTATATTTGATTTTTTGATATCTTGATTCTTTACTGTTAGGGCCTTCATTAGTTTTCCTTTTATGCTTCTCTAACTCAGTGTATGTATACCTCTGTACAATATGCTTTATGAATAAGAATATAGAATTCTCCAAATTTGCCTCCCTACTCTCAAAATTTGAATGAAATTTAATCCTATTGTTTAGGATTGTGGTAGTTTAACTAGGATTATGAACAAGGATATATAACAACAAGCCTTAAAGTTACTTGGTAGTGTCAGCTACATGGATCGCAAAACACTATTATGCTCTATCAAGAATCAAATCTTCGTATATGTTGTTAACCAAAAAGTCTCATTGAACAGCTTCATTGAGTGTTTATTTCTATATTCCTCTGCTCCCTTTTTAGAGAACTCTATAATATTTAATCTATCCTTCTCATTAACATCTCTAATGATCTTCTTTGTATATGTCTGAATCATCTCAAAATAAATTTTTTACCCTTATTTCTTTAATAGAAGCCACACCAACACTTCCTCATATATGTTCATTATGAATCTTACCTTTTTCATCTATGATCACACATCCATCTTAGCATTCTCATCGCTGTTGCCCTAATTTTTTGCTCTTAGCCCTTTAAAGCCCAACATGCGCTACCATGAAGCATTGTTGGTCTTATAGCAGTTTGATAAAACTTCTCTTTATGCTTATTAGGTATTTTTCAATTACAAATAACTTTGGTAGCCTTTTTCCATTTGAACCACTCAACTTGTATTCTATGTCTAATATCTAGATCAACTTCACTATCTTTTTGTATAATTAATCTGAAATATAACTTTGCCACTTGTGGAATGATTTGATTCCTCATTTTAACTTCAAAATCACTTCTAACTTGCCTCTTGTCAAATTTGTAGTACATATATTCTGTCTTACTTCTATTTAGGTGAAAACCTTTCGACTCCATAATTCAAGTATAGAGTTAATCTTTTCTTTTGACTCAGTCATAAGAACTATATCATTATGAAAAAGCATACACTTAGAGATTTCTTCTTGTATAAGCTTAGTTAAAACATCTAAAATTAGGTTAAACAAGGTCTCAAAGAAGATTCTTGATAGAGGCCAATCCTTATAGGAAAGCTCTTTCTTATACCTCTTTGATGAATTGAATAAATTTGAGATTTCAGTTACTCTCTCTCCCCTGAGTTGTCCTTTTCTTCCTCCTTTCTTTTCTCCTCCTTTCCCATGCTGCTTTACATCAATATCTCCCATTACCACTTGTCATGGATGATAGCTTTAGTAGTGTCTATCATATTTAGCTCTTTATCTATACATAATTCCTTTCAAATATTAATGATAAAGGGTATAAGTTGATATTTCTGTCCTGATTTTTGCATAGCAGGTTTTCATTTATAATGTTGGCTGTGCAGCTATGCTTTAGTTTGGTCTTTCGTTATTTTCGCTGAGAACTCATAAAGTGCGAAGATGGCATGCTTCATTAATTTGTTTGTACCTAAAGTACATTATGCTGAAGAATTTCATCATGTAATATCAGGCCCTTATGTTGAACGGGAAAGAACTGTTGAGACGTTCTCTCAGGCTTGATCTAGCTCATGAAAGGGGTGTATATTCCCACAGTAGCAAGTATTTGTGAAACGCCCTTTTGATTGCCTTAATTTTTCCCCATTTCTACCTTGTATCCATGATTTCCTTATTCTGTTGGTTTGTTAATGATTGTAGCAACAGGAATGAATCATCCCAGGAGGATAAATCGTTAGGAGGGAATGAGGTAATTTTATCTTATTCAGTTGCCTGTTTTCTGATGGGATATTATTCATGCATATAAAAATTAATCAATTTTATTAGCTTATTTGTGATTCATAAACCGCTAGATGGGTGGTAGCATCTAGTTCAATTGGTTTATGTTGTTTTTCTTCCTACTACTTTAGTTCAATTCGTGCATAGAAACTAAACTAACCTTGCTTCTTAGGACCTATAGGTTGAAAATCTTTTAGGCGTTGGATGGTCAGTTTTGGTGGCTTAAATGTTTTGCCGCATGTACAAGGAGGAAATTTTTGACATAAATGTTTATTTCTTTATCTTATGATGAGGGCATGAAATAATTGTGACTTGTCTTTCAGTCAGTGATCTCATGCTTGATTCTATGAAATGTTACAGGCTAAAATGCCAGCTGCTCCAAAAGAACAAAATGCCACATCAAAGACAGTATTTGTTGGAAACCTGTCGTATAGCGTGGAAAGGGCTGATTTGTACGTACTATTTGATATGCAAGTTCTCGGTAGTTATTTCATACGGTGTCATGTAATTTTTATAGCTAACCCTACCTATGGGGTTAAGGCCTGCTATTGTATGTTTGTATGTTTATTGTTTACTTATGATTTCACCATTGTTCAGGGAAAATTTGTTTAAAGATTGTGGAGAAATTATTGATATCCGTTTAGCTACAGATCGTGAAGGGAGGTTTAAAGGATTCGGACATATTGAGTTTGCCACTTATGAAGCGGCACAAACTGTAAGCTCTTACCTCATAATGTCTAGTTCGCTCATCATTCAGAACCCTTTAAAAATCATATGATGGGGGTTTAGATTGTTATTATTATTAGGGAGAATTGCTATAAAGTTCCCAAGAAGAAATATAATTACTAAAAAATCTCGTTGACAACAAAGCAGCTTGCAATAACTAGTTGAACATAACTAACATTTATGTTCCAACCTCATTGATATCATATTCCATCATAGAGTCTATTCTATGGAAATGTTTGTCATAGGATTTAATATCATTACAAGTCTGTCTTCTTTGAGCAAGGGTTGACCATTACGAATATAGAGGGTACAAGTCGGTACTTCTCTCCTTTGTGCTTCTGAGCTGCTATACCTCTAAGCTTGTTCTGTCCCTACTTCTGCTGAGGTTTATTAATGTTCAAAGATGGTGTGCTTCATTGATTTGTAGACCATTTTGAGCTGAAGAATTTTTATCATGTAATGCTAGGCCCTTAAGTTGAATGGAAGCGAACTGTTGAGACAATATATAAGGCTTGATTTGGCTCATGAAAAGATTGTGCATTCTTTCAATAGCGGGTATTCACCAATACCTTCCTATCTTAATATTTCATCTCATTCTCTGCCTTACATCCACATCTTCACTTCTCTGTTTACTTGTTAGCATTCATGGGAACACGGAAAACTCTGGAAGTGTTGAGTCTCAAACAGTGTTTGTAAGGGGTTTTGATACATCTTTAAGAGAAGATGAGGTAATTCTATCTCAACCATATTTCTTGCTTTATTTCTTGTGGATAAGAATGATTCCAATTGAAGGGGACCTTTTGGTTAACAACCTATCTAAGGATTTGGTTGTTCAGAGAGCATAATAGCATCGTGCGATCCTTGTAATCGACCCCACTTAGTGTGATAAGGCTTGATGTTGTTATTTTTCTTGTGGACAATATTGCATGCACGTCTCATTATTTAAGGCATAATTTGTATTCTTATTTCTTAGTTGCTAATGACTCCAATTCTGTTCTTTCAGATAAGGACCAGTCTGGGAGAGCATTTCAGTTCTTGTGGACTAATTTCGAGGATATCAATTGCAAGAGATTATGACACTGGTTCTACTAAGGGGCATGTTTCTTTCATTGTTCATTGTTTATAATGGCCAATGTCTTAGTTAACTCGATAATATGTAGTAATAAACTCTGAAAATTTTTAACAAGCCTCTATAGTTTTATCTCATATAAGTGGGTGCTGTTATTTTTTGCATATGCCTTTCAGTCTTGCTGTCTTGACATTGCATAAAGGGAACAAAAACAATTTGGTATCAATCTAAGAATGTTGCGGATGTTAAAAATGGAGTAAAAATAATGTTTGGTAAAAAAAATTGTGTGGGACCCATAGCTAGTGGGCCCTTGTCTAATAGGCAAGGCTGATCCATGTGGATTGTTTAAGGTCTGTGGGAGATAGAGGGGTTTGTTTGCTGTATGTGCTTGGGGAGAAGAGTTTCGTGGAGGTTAGGCAATACGTGAGTTGAATGTTGGAGATTCCCTAGGCTCTTGAACTCGAATGCTAGAGGTGGTTTTATGTTTCTGTTGGTATTGTCCAGGCTATTGCCTTCTATTTTATCACTGTCTGTAGCTTAATCACTCTGTGGATTATTATCTATGTTTTAATATCAATTTTGGAGGTGAGTTCGATCATGGTGAAATTCTCTTTTAATATTTTTTTTTTTATGAAGACATACTTATCGTAGTTGAATTGATCATTGAAAGGTTTGTTAATAATTTTCAAAATTCTGTGCGAACATATAAAATGACAATAATAGAGATAACAGCTTACATGCTATATAAGATGCTTTTATAATTGAATGAGCTTTATTTTGTACTGCTAACCGAGTCAGAGGAAATCCTATAATTTATGATCAATTTTTTTTACTGAATAGTTTTAGAAGAATAAATTTCATGGCGAGAGTAAGAGTGGTATTCACATTTTTTATTACTTGACATAGTTATGTGTTGGCAAACATGAAAATATGATAATATAAGTTGTGTTGGTGAAGAATTGCAATGAAAAATGATAAATAGAAGTGGCAATATAGAAAGCATAACAGCAATATAATGATATAAAATTTAGTATTTGACTAGAATACGGAAGTATTTTTCTGTATTCTTGGTCAATTTGAATAATCATCATCAGTATATATAATTATTGCCCACCTTGGTTGTAAATGCGTGCTCGTTACAGGTATGCTTGGGTAGACTTCATGGACATTGATGGCTTAAACAAAGCACTAGAACTTGATGGAACTGAGGTTGGAGGTTATGTATTGTCAGTGGAGAAAAGAAGACCTCGGCGTTATATTCATGATGGTAGAGGTGGTGGTGATCAGTTAGGTGGATGGCGTGGTGGCGATCAATTTGGTGGATGGCGTGGTGGTGATCAATTTGGTGGGTGGCGTGGAGTTGGACAATGGGATCAGGGAAGAGGTTATGGCAGGAGGTGGCATTGAACGTCCTATAAATTAAGCCTCGTAGCAGGAGGCCCAGGTATAGTTTATGTACCCTGAATTATTAATTGATTGATTTCTATGCCAACTCCAGAGTCTCTCTAACGTGAATTCAAACTTTTTTTTTTTTTTTTTAAGGGGGGGGGTTGAAACTCCTCCGATTTATCTGTTAGCGTACGTCCTAAAAAGCAATCATGAGATGATTGTTATAACATGCATTGTACTAAGATTTGTTAAGAAGCAAAATCGAGTTATTATGTTCTGTTATATTTGTGCAATAAAAATCAATACAGGGAGAATTATAGTGAGGTCCTAAAGAAGAAAGATTATTATGAAAGTCCTAATGATGAGTGAGTAGTTGAAACCAGTTATTATTTCTTGTTCTGAAACTTGTTATTACAAGTTGCTCACTTGTTATGGGACACATTTTGTGAACATGTTCCTTCCATGGGACCTTACTGCAATTGTCCCATCAACATATGACTGCCCCTAGAATATATTCTTAGTAGCATCAATATATGCTGGCTGATGACTGTAGTCATGGATATGAGAGATATCAAATCAATACATGGGTGCTGGTTGGAGAACAAGGATGATGAGCTGATCCGCTATGATAATGCTGCATGGATTGATGGAAAGTGTCATCAATGATACTTATAGTAACTATAATGCATGTGGTCACCTTAGAGTTGAAGTCACTATGACTCGCTGCAATAGGAGTTGTACACTTTGGCGTCACGTTATCAAGTGATAGACATGGCCAAAAGGCAGTGGTTGAACTTGAATGTATCACAAATCATGTAGAATGATATCTGTGGGTTCCATGAATTAGCAGAGCTAAGAAATGCATGATTGTGGGTTATAAAAAGTTTTTAAAAGAAAGAAAAGACATGCGTGATTGTGCTCAGATGAATGAAATAGTGATATTGATTCATTTGGTTTTGATCAGTCTACTTGGGGATCAAAAAATGTAGCTTGAATCATAAAGACGACACATTCCATGCCTCAAGTTTAATCTGGATACTTGAATAAGGGGGAATAAGGAACATGGTTTACTAATGATGGACTAGATTTGTTGAATCATGGACATTCCTAGCACTTCGGTAACAGAAATATACCGCTAGCTGTCGCCCATTGTAATCTAAAGATCATTGCTGATGTAATAAGAACCTTCATAGTCCCACAAAAGAGTAGACGTAGACCAGGAATTAATTACGTAATTGGGATTAATGGCATGCATAATATAATTTCATTGTCACTATTTAGTATTGAACTAAGTTTAAAGAATATCATATTTAGTGTTGGGCTTAAATATGGGTTTCATTATTAATCGCGGCCAGACTAGGCTAGTAACTGAAGTTCCGTGGAATTATATTTAATAATCTTGGCTTTAATTATTAGCTACAATAACAATGGGCCAAAAATTAAAGCTCGAGAAAGTTATATTACATTACATTGAGTTTAATTAATTAGCGAAGCTAGAAATTATATACACCCTGCTTGCTGTCAAATCACTTAAGAGAGGGTGGGAGAGAATCTTGGGCATGCCAGCTGAGGTTTCTTCTGGCAGAGGTGAGGAGGGGAGGTCCAACCACCCCTGTAGATGCCATTGAGGTAATATGACTATTCCCTCGCAATGATTCAACAAGCAAGACTCGTGTCCTGCCTCCTGTCTTCAGGTATAACTTCGTTATTCTTCCTTCTGATTTATAGGTGTGTCCTAAGGATCTTTAGTGGAATTTGGACAAAAACTTAAATAAATCTCTGCTTGTGTAGTGTCCTCCAAATCCTCCATTGTCCCCGTTGTATGCAGATAAGTTACTGCCACCATTGGCTCTCAATCACGAGGTGCCAGATAACATGTTTGCCTCAATTTATTTACTCTCTTATTATTTTGGAGTTTTTAAATTTTCTTGTATCTGCATCATTTGATTTAAATCACATTGGTTTGTGAAGCTATAATGGCGTCATTTGGTTGATAGTAATAATTTAGAGCAGGTCTTTTGCAGATGTCAGGAAGTTCTTTTTAATATTGTTCATCTCTAGCAAAAGTTAGTCCGATCCTTGAAGTTCTATTCAAATTTCGAACTAGCCCTTCAACCTTTATTTTGGTTCAATGATTGATTATAGCAATTCTCAACGTCAAACAAGGTTCAATATCATTCTTTTTTGTTAACTCCATTTAAGGAATTGTCTGACCCGACTCAGGCATTGCTTACGGACAGAATGGCAGCAGAACTGACATGAAAATTATATCATAATTTATTTCTTAACCATCTTTTGTCTTTCCCTCATGTAATCCCCAGTCACAGTTTGGGGTTCATCCCTCACTCACACCTTCAAAGTGGAGAGTTGAGATTTGGATTTGGTAGTTCAATCTTTCACATCTTCTGTAATTTCATGAAACAAAAGGGTCAGTGCTTCTCAAGCATACTGTGATTGCGGTGATTCCACAGCGTCAATGACATCTCAAATGGTGGAGAATCCCGGTTGAAGATTTTGGGACTGTTGAAACAACAGGAATTACATTCTAAACATTACAAAACGTTAGAGACTAACGTGAAACCATTTGGAAGATGCAAGGGACTGTAAAGAAACCCTTTGGAAAATTATGAAGCACAAGGGTCCGTGGTATAGCTGCCCACCAAAAAAATAAATTCTGGGTAGTTCGAGTATTACTTCAAGAATTAAAAATGAAAGTTTGCCCTTACCTCGAATTAACTTCTTTGCCTCAGAAGATTCTATTTCATGCGAAAAAGGTTAATAATTCCATGTATGTATTTGTTGTCTGCCTTGTATAAATAACGTATGATTAGCATATTTGTGCCTGCACCGCCTTATGCCAAAGTGCCTTTTCATTCTCAGATGATTTTATTCTGTTGGATACGATTCTGGGGATCTGGATTACTTTTGCTGATGACGAGCGGCGCAGGAGAATACTTTTGCTCGAGTTCTGTTGCTTCTCATGAGAATCAAAGGGAGCACCATAAGCTACAGCTGGATTTGGGAAGTTTTGTAGTTATATAAACCTGGCAATGTTGTTAAAGAACTAGTATGTTGTAGCCCCATAATTATTGTGTACAGTATCTAGTGGATGATATTATGATGTTGAAATTGGAAATTGTCAAAGGCCATTGGTGTCCTCTGTACAAAAATACTTTCTGATTTTGGGTTAAATTAATGTATGTCTCGTGTAATGCACAAAATTTAGTCCTCTATACAAAAATACTTTCTGATTTTGGGTTAAACTAATGTGTGTCTCGTGCAATATAATAAATGAATCGCACTGATCATGATTTACTATTAGGACTATATTGTTTATGTCTCATGAGTGACGCGTTATATTAGAATTTTTATATTACGTATAATAAATATATAAATCATTAAACCTGATGAAATATAATGGGCAAGAATTTGAACTCAAATTTAAGCTAACCTCAATTCTTTTGGCCAAAAAAAAAATTTAAGCTAACCTACAGAAGACATTTATTATTCAACATAAATTATTAATAAATATGATAGGCGAATTAAGGTTTGAATCTTTATTGGAAAAAAAATACTCATGTTTAGTACTTGACGGTATTTTAAATAAGAGTGCCTCCAATATAAAACATATTTATTCATCGTGGGGCTATTTTCTCAATATTTATTATTCGGATTTTGAGGGGGGAAAATCATTTGGAATTACTTATAAAAGATATATGTTTATATGTAACAATAATATATTTATTGGGTTAATTAGAGATTTGAGAGGAAAAATCATATAACTGTAAAGGGTTTCTTTTTTGTCAATTAAAAATTGAGATCAAATGAATTTTCGTTTGACAAGGGTTTGATTCTCCAATATTAAGAAGTGGGGGGCCTCGTCAATGCATCACGAGACAACATGCGTCCGTACATACAAACATATTGCAATTGGGAAGAGAATTTACGTACTGCACTGAATCTGGAACAGAGGGGACAACTTATACACTACGTGGTACTTAATATAAAAGCTAATTAATTAATTTAAGTAAATTTAAAAAGTTTATTAAGTTAGTTATTTACGGTAAATAGATGTTATGTTTCTTAAAATATTCTTTCTAGTCATATGTACTTGGTAAAATAACCATTTGATGAAACATTTAACATGTGCAACTACTACAATAATTAGGGGTGTTCAAGGCCGGCCCGTTCCGGTCCCGGTCTTATTGGGACGGGACAAAAAAGGGACCAGGACGGGACGGGACACGGGACGGGGTCGTCCCGTCCCGGTCCCGTCCCGGTTCCTTTTTTTTTTAAAAAAAAATTTTAATTTTTTTAATTTTTTATATAATATCATTTTTTTCATATTTTTTTAAGATTTGAGACTATTGTATGGAACTATGGATATATTTATTTAGAGTTTTTATATTTGTTAATGATTTGAGATTATTGATGATTAGAATTTTTAGCAAGTTTTTATTGTGTTAAAAGCTTTTGTTTAGAGTTTTTAATAACTATTATATGTAATATTTTGAGCTTTTGTTTAAGAGTGCCCAAACAAATAAAAAAGATGTTTTTATAAGATTTAAGCTCAAAAAAATATAATTAAAAAAATTAGATTTTTTTTAAAAAAATTTAAAAAAATTTAAAAAAATAAAAAAAATAAAAAAAAATATTTCGGGACGTCCCGGATCCGTCCCGTCCCGACCGGGACCGGGACAACCCCGGGACGAGCCGGGACACGGGGCAGAAAATCTGTCCTGTTACTGTTCATCGGGACGGAACCGGGACGGGCCTGTCCCGGTCCCGATCCGTCCCGTGAACACCCCTAACAATAATTATTTTGAAAAAACCGGATAAACATGAAAAACGAAATGGATTAGGCTTTTATATTTAGAATTAAACCGGATACTAAACTAACTCTTATATTAAGAATCAGAGGTAAGATAAAATATAAAATAGGTCGGTATGACATTGACAATAACGGATGACGGGCTTTTTAGCTGAAATTGACGATCATAACATGAATTCACCAATGAGCGTGCATAGAATATAGCGTTAAGAAACATGGTTGGAATACCCGTCTGCATGTAAACAATAGTATTAGCAGCGAAGTGGCCTAAGACAAAGCAGCTGGACGACAATTGGAGAAAGCTAGCATGATGAGAACAGCTAGGCGTGAGAATCAAATTAAAAGTGAAGTCCTCCATATAAAACCCCGCTTCTTATGAACCATTCTTGCACTAGTCAGATTATTTCGCAGCGTACTGCTGGTCTTAATAGTATAGGTGACTGGGGGAATAAATTAATAAAAATGTCATATCCGTCAAACCTCGCATCCTCCCCAGCAAGCCCCGACTGGATGAGCAAAGCAGACAATGCATGGCAGCTCACGGCGGCGACACTAGTTGGGATTCAAAGCGTGCCCGGACTCATAATCTTATATGGAGGGGCAGTGAAGAAGAAATGGGCGGTGAACTCAGCCTTCATGTCGCTCTATGCTTTTGCTTGTGTTTTCGTCTGCTGGGTGACATGGGGTTACCGACTGTCGTTTGGGGATAAGCTGCTGCCATTCTGGGGAAAGCCTGCTCTGTCAGTGGACGAGAATTACCTCTTCAAGCAGGCTTTTCTTGGCCTGTTCCCAAACGCCACAATGATGTATTTCCAGGGCGTGTTTGCTTGCATCACCCTCATTCTCGTCGCCGGGGCCGTGTTGGGCCGCATGAACTTCTACGCCTGGATGCTGTTCGTGCCTCTTTGGCTCACTTTCTCCTACACCTTCACAGCTTTCAGCATCTGGTGTCCTGACGGCTTTCTGTCCAAGATGGGCTTAATAGATTACTCTGGAGGATACGTAATTCATCTCTCGTCCGGGGTTGCTGGATTCACTGCAGCATATTGGGTAAGCACCTAATTGATTAACAAATATGATGAAGGTGAGGGATGAAGAATAATAATGAAGTGGGTTGGTGGCTTGCCTTGCATGCAGGTTGGTCCGAGGCTGAACAAGGACAGAGAAAGGTTTCCTCCGAACAACATACTGCTGATGTTGGCAGGAGCGGGATTGCTGTGGATGGGATGGACGGGCTTCAACGGAGGAGACCCTTACTCGGTAAGCATGGACGCGTCCTTGGCTGTGCTGAACACGCACGCATGCACCGCCACCAGCCTGCTCACCTGGGTCGTCCTCGACGTCATCTTCTTCCGCAAGCCTTCCGTGATCGGCGCGGTTCAGGGCATGATCACCGGCTTGGTCTGCATCACTCCTGCTGCAGGTGTTGTGCAGGGATGGGCCGCCATCATCATGGGGATGTGCTCGGGCTCCATTCCCTGGGTCACAATGATGGTAGTGCACAAGAGATCTAAGCTGCTTCAGAAGGTGGACGACACTATGGCCGTGTTCCACACTCATGCCGTCGCCGGATCTCTGGGAGGCATCCTCTCGGGCCTCTTTGCGGAGCCGAAGCTCAACTTTCTGTTCTATGGCGCCTACAACAAATATGTGGGCCTCTTCTATGGTCTCCAAATGAGAGACGCCAAAACCGGCCTCCGACAGATGGGGGTCCAGCTGCTGGGGATCTTGTTTGTGACGCTGCTCAATGTGGTCGCCACCAGCTTGATATGTCTCTTCATTCGGCTGTTGATGCCTTTGAGGATGTCGGAAGAGGATATGGAGGTAGGGGACGAGGCTGCTCACGGGGAAGAGGCGTATGCCATATGGGGTCAGGGTGATAAGCTTGACAATTCCGTTTCCAAGTACGGGAGTTCCTTGTACGACGATATTGAGGCTGCAGATCAGGCCAGAAAGAAGCGCGCAGCTGCACAAGTTGAGATGACATAGAACATCCCATCCACTCTACCCCCTCTCGCAATAAGATCTATCCAGCTTCGCTCTGTTGGAAGCTTCTTCATTCCATATTAAGTATGACCCCTCTGCATTCGTTATTCAGAAATAACTAAGCACCGTTATATATAATGGCAGACATGCGTCATCTTAATTAGCATTTCAATAAGGCTCCCCTTTTCCTAAGCTATATGTGTAATCTTGAGCTACTGTTGTTGGACAGTGATTCTTGAGGACTAGCTAAAAGGAATAAATTTTGGATATCAACTCTAAGATATACAAGAAACTGGTGCGGTTAAAAATTACTTTCTTTATTTATTTTCTCAAAACGTTCCAGCTAACGAAAAGGTTGGCTGGAATCTATGACGAATTAAAATAAATTTCAAAAAGAAAAAAGAATTTCAAGTTAATTATTGCCTTTCATTATCTTATTAAAACTCTAATTAAATGGGCTTGTTTGGGCCGTAGTGGACCAGCCCTCCGATGGGCCTTAGCAGCGAAACCAGAAAACCTAAGAAGCACGAACCAAGGTCCGAGGACGGATGCTAGTTCCCGAAGTGTCCAACAATGTTCCTGTTGTTCTGCTGCACCATCTGAGTTGATAACTTGCCTCCTCGTCCCTCACAGCACCCGCATCCTTCTCTTCTTCTGGGCGCTCCTTCCGCACATTCTTTTATGGCCACAGGCTAACACCTAAAATTGTACAGCGGATATTTACTTGCAAACGGTGTGCTTTCTCCCTCTATCATCATTTGATTCTGTATATCGCACCAGAGCGAATGATTCTACATGTGATTGGATCAAACCGACCACGGGAAAGCATAACAATCTGGACTTTTAGTTATTAACAAAAAGGAGTTTTTCTTCAATCTGTTGTGGTTTTATGTTATCTGCGTTTTTCTGTTTATCGTCTTGGGGACTAGTGTTCAGGGGGATCCTTCCCCCCCCCCCCCCGGTCTCGCTAATTTGAAGACTCATCCTTTCGATGCACATGTTCGAATGTTTGCATAATGGTGCACGATGAATATATATCATCTGATATGAAGCGTAAATAAATAAGCATGCTTGCTGGCAATTCTAGGATGACCTTCGTAAGGTCCTCATCTCTCCTTTCTGGTAGATCAGTTCTGGATTTGTTCATTGCAAAGTGCTAAATTGAACGGTTCCCTCCTTCACATAATCCAATATACATAGTAATCGCCTTTTTTTAACCTGTTTTCTTATGTACGGTGCATTTTGATCACGAAAGTACCATTCTATACTTTGTGTGTGTATGCTTAATATTCAGGTTATGATGTCAGTATTTGAACAAATCGCATCCGGTCTCTTATATTGCTATTTAGGCCAGCCATACATGAAGGGAGTGATATATATTGTTTCGCATAATGTTGGTCAGGTGACTTTATTCTAATGACTAATGATGAACAGAATATTAATCTC